ACGTGTGTACTGCAACGCGTAAGTTATATTGTAACACATAAGAGGTCTTGTTTTTTATTTTTCATCAATTCTTTCAAGAATATAGCACATAAGAGATTATCATATGATAGCTTATTTTTTATTTTTTATCCTGCAGAGATACCAAAACCTCTAAATCGAAAATTCCGCACATAGGAGATTTTTTCACATCAACGACGGTATGTATCTAATATTATATTTATTTAAATTTGTGTACCAACGATTTCAAAATTGCTTGTTTTGACACTGAATAGTGGTGTGTCCAGCAGGTGGACCTGGTGAGCCCGGGTGCCCACCTTGATTTGTTTGAACCCTACAGGTAATAGTAGTAATATCTAACAAGTTTATTTTTTCCCCTCTATTTATCGCACAAAAGTTTTTCTACGATGAAAAGAACCAAAACATATAAACTATGTACGAACATCTCACATCTATGATACAATCTATTTACACATTAAAATCAATAATATCAATTGAAAATAATTACAGTTCGGAGTCAAATCAAGACTAATAACAGAATAATTGAATTTATATTATATTCATATGTATGACTGACTACTGAGTAAATTTAAAAGTTTTAATTTATAAAATTGTCATTAATAATATTTATTAATTTAAAACAAATATATATTAAAACATTACATTACAAAAAAAAAAACATTAATTAACCGAGACTGTTCTGAATTTTGATCCTGAGCACGTCTCTGGCATTTAATGGTATCCTTAAGTTTTTCGTGTATTTCATTATACAGATGACCTACGGAAATAATTTAAACATTTATTTTTATCATTATTTACGACAGTCCTCAGTGACGTATTTATGGATGGTACAAAGGGCCCGTAACCTCCTTCCTCTATTAGCCGTCAGGTCTCTTATAAAAACTGTGAATTAAAAATTGTTTAATGAACAACTTGCTTATTCGAATTTTCATCGTTCGGTTTTTTGCCACGTATACAATCAAAACCATACAATTTAAAAAGACCCGAATACATTATTATTGCTATTATTACTTAAAACACGATGTTCTATATGATTCTAAAGTCTAACACGTTCAACCACCCGTAACTCAATATACCCACCTATCAAATTTGATCGAGTCACAGGCCTCAAAAAACAGCATTTTATGCCGAATCTAAACTAATTAATATATACTTAAAGTATAAAGTGTGTTGGTCGTTTTCATGACACAATTACAGGTTTGCGTAATATTTTGTTTGGACCATTATTACGATTTGCCAGTGACTGTGCACCTATGTAAGCGAATTTAATGTATACCTAAGAGTATTTGGGTATACTTACCTACAATTACAAATTTACATTTACAATTTTTCCAATTTTGGTCCTCGATTAATATTTAATATTATAGTAACATTACAGTAATGTAGTAAGTAGTTAACAAGAAAATACTACAAAAATAATCGCTTTAATAAAAGAATAACTTTTGATATAATTTAATCAACGTATTGCATGTGATAATTTGTTCACTTTTAAATTGCACTATTTTATTGTTTATTTTCTACTTTTATTGTTAATGTTATGAATTTTATTTATTGTATACTTACAAATTATTATGTAAACAATATAGATTTTAAAAATACGAATAATTTGAATGAAAAAAATTTGATTACAACTATTTTACAACTTAAATCATTACAATTAGAGTAACTTAAATGAAACTACAAAAACAAAACAAAATTATTTTTTTTTTGGTTAAATAATTTTAGTTTTGAATATTAAATATAAAAATAAAATCATTATAGACATCAGTAATAATACATCAGTTATATAAATTTATTTTTCTTTAGAAAATTATTAAACATAATATCAGCATATTATATTATTATTTTAATAAATAGATGGTAAATTGTATTTGCCAATCCAGATACCTACAAATTATTTAAATTAATGTGGTACAAATACCTATAGTAAATGTATAACTGCACCCGTTAAGATCTACAAATATCGTATATCGTATAATAATGATTCGAACTTTTATCATTACGTACGGATATAAATTAAATAAATTTATGTATCCTGTACTGCAATCTTCTCACCTACAACAGTGGAACACCCATCAGCAGTATATGCTAGTATCAGCTCTTTTTTTTTTTTGTTACGTATATTTACATTTTTATAAGTATACATCTATGGAACCGTTTAAGTCTATTCGGTTTACGTAATCGAATGTCAATAATTTTAATAAGGTATTTTTGTATTATTATTATTATTTTTTTTTTTTATTTTTTATTATTTTTTTTTTTTTTTTGTTATATACACCAAGGTTATAACTCCACCCATTAATATAATATTATGATCAATTAAAAGTATATATATTTATTTTAAAATTCTCTTGGATACATTACGTATTATAATAATATAAAATGTCGGTAGGCGCACTACGTATAAAATTATAAATTCGCGAAATAAACGTAGGTATACCTATGTACTTGCCCGACGTTAAAGAAAAAAAAAAACGAAATTTTGTCCTACGGTAATTATAACATACATACTTCTGTTACCTACTTATAAAATACAACTTTTATTCGTTATAAACAATAATAATAAAAAATATATTAATATTGTGAAATATTTAGAAATTAAATATAATATAACATAATAATATTTTATAGTGATGAATTATTATTACCGTAATACGCCCGAGCGTTAAAGTCTTCTGAAATATACGAGTAAAATGTTTAACGACCTTACAAAAAAAAAAAAAAAAATTATAAATAAATAAATATAATTGCGCAATATGATAAAATAAACCAGGCGCTATAAAAAAAAAAAAAAAAAAAAAAACATATCAATTCATATATAGTACACAATATATTCGCGTTTGTCTCGGAACGGCCGATTACAACCGAACTAAAAAATAATGGTGGCGCAAAAGAACTTTTTATCGAATTATTATAACCCGCAAAATGCTCGGCCGGTCGTTGTTAAATTGATAAATAATAATGGGCGTGTAGACCGGCTATATAGAGCGCGGAGAATTATTATCATATTTGTGTCCGATAATACAGTCCGGGGCGTGATAATTCAGTAATTCGTTGTGTATCGCCACATCGAGTTATTCGTTAAGTCGACGGGTGATTATGTACGTATGTGTCGTATAAACATACATCTAGCTAGTAGCCGGCTCCTTATTATACACATGTATACAATTATTAGCGATATTACATAGGCGTAATACGCGATAATTAGTAATTACTAATGTATAATATCAAAATATATACTTGCACGTAAATTATAATAGTGAGTTATTAGATTGACGGGTGTAATTTTGTGATATAATTAACCGTGCAATTTATATAATATTATACCAGCTGCAGTTACTGTATAGTACTTAATAATATTATATATTATATAGTTATCGGATAAAATGTTTAATAGTTTATTGTAAAGCTTATATTAAAACCGCAGATACACGCATTGGACAAAAACGAAAAAAAAAAATCAATCACAATAATAACATATTAAATATGTTATGTTTATAACAAATAGGTATACCGCTTCCTAGATATTAACCAATGTTGCATAACGTTCAATAATATGTAGTGACGTATACATTTTTTAAACATATATAACAAATAGAAGTTTGGTTAAGTCTCGTTATAGTTCTCGGGGACGCCCCACGATTTTCGGGTAAATATATTACATTCCGGGTGATCTATTTAAATGGTATCCACTCATTATCTCCGGAAGTATTACATTTTTGCGGGATTTTTTTCTAGAACATTTGAGAAACAAACATCTCTAAATGTCTATGTTTTTTTTGTCGCCCAAATTTTTGGGAGGTAAAACCATAAAATATATGGCAACTATTTATGGTATTTAAAATATCATAAATAGATGGATTATTAGTCGAAATAAATTTTAGTGTCGACATTTTTGTTTTCCATCAAACCGTTGACGAGATATTCCACTTTTAAAGCTAACCGGATTGAGATAATCATTAATGATTGAACATTTTTTGTTTATCTCATCGTTTATTTTAATAATTTTACTGTGTGTAAACAGACCGTTCGGTAACTAAAGTAGAAGTGAAGTTTTATATTGTGAATATTTTTTTGTTTCAATTATTATTATTATAGGTATTTTATTGTTATTACGGTTTTTTCGCAAGAGTGTCATAGGCAAATGTTGATTTATCAAGAAAATTCAAACACCATGGAGAAAAATGTATATTTATTTAAAAACATACGGCGTAAGAAACAGAGTTCAGTTTGACCGCGCGCGAGTAACAATCATTATCATTTGAAATAACGCCAAGTTTTTATAGTTAATTACTATACGTTATATAACTACATGCAATAAGTGCGATTTTTTTTTTTTTTTATACGATATTTTATCGTTATTATACTTCCTTGTTTTAAACATACATAATATATTAACATACAAGTCATTTAGATTTTAGTATACAATAGTCTACATGTTGTGCAGTAAAACATTTGAATACAAATTATTATATTTTCAAGAAGTTCGTGAAATTCACGAAATGTTATCGCCGTCGTTCGATGTTCGAATAAGTAATATACAATCGAGTATTTTCATTTACTACGGACAATTTCTCTGGAGCAGTTTTTTTTAACCCATCACGGGTAATAATAATTATTCTAATTATTGCTGAATTTGTATGGCCTGCAATTAGCCACACGTATTCAGAAATAGACGTTTTAAAAATAAAATGGAAAACACAAATGTTTCCAGCCTTCTAAAATCGAATGAGTAATAAATTCTTTTTTATATTTTTACATACGAGTAAAATATAATTCTACATGTGTGTACACGATCATTATAAACAATCAGTTTATATAACATAGATAAGTAGTACCTACTTACCATTTGTTCTTGTTTTTAGTTTCCCTGATTATATATTAAATTTCAAATTAAATACAATATTATTCATTATCATTAAACCTAAACTTTTTAGAAAGACTTTAATACATACATATATTTTAATTTTTATGTGAACTATACGCTATTCGTATGATGGCTATGTAAACCGTATATTCTTTTGTATGATTTTATTTTAAATTAGGAACCTTGAATCTCAGATATTTTAGGGTACGTAAGCTTATGAACAGTGTGGATCGACTACCTGACAGTCATAGAAACATAACAAAATATTATATTATGTCTGTATAAAATTGAACTGTATTTCCCTAAAGTATATATAATATTTTTTAAAAAAATTAATTGTAGAATTAAAATATTAGATAGAGATATTCAAGTAATTATATATTACCACCCGCATTTAGTACCTACACATAACACCACAGTTTTAAATATTTGAGTTCTTTATCAGAACATTCGGAGTAGGTAATTCAAATTAACACGAGATTATGCACTTATCATATTTATACTATAATTGTATAAAAAAATTTAATTCTTTTAAAACTCAAGTCTGTAAATATTATTTAACAGCTGGGAAGTTTACGAATATAATACTTACTAACTGACATTGAAGCACATTAGGTTGCGTTTTTTCATATAATACTCTATTACTCGTATGCATAATCGGTGGAAGCCCAGTATTTCAATAAGGGTTTATCTTAGACTTAAACCAAAAACTAAGAATAAGATGGACCTTAGAATTGAATGAGTATTTCAATCAATAAATTCTTTTTCGTAATCTGATTGACCTTGTAAACTAATACGATATTCTATTACCTTAGATATAGATTATAGAATATCTAAAACGTAATGCATTAGCCTTTACATGTTTATTAATAAAATTGTTATTTCGCTATTATGTTATTTTCGTGAATTTCCCGTTTTTCTTACATTTTATCCCGGGTTTTCCTAGATATGAAAACCACTTGGAAAATCAAAAAATGATCTCCCTAAAGTATCATCTAGACAAAATTTCGTTTCAGAATTGTGTCACACTTACATATCAAAACATGATTCTGGTAGAAATTTTTGTGACAGTAAAAAAAACATAAATAAAAATAAACATCATTGTAAAACCAATACATTATTTGCTACACTTTGAATCTAAAATTGAATAATATATTAGAAAAAATTACACGTTGATAAAACAATTTACTAGACAACATTCACGAATCATGATTCTCATCGACATTTTATTCTTTTTCGGGATAAAAATAAAATACGGTACCTGTTGCATTTGGCTTCAAACAAAGTCTTAAGTCTAAATATAAATATACAACTTGCAACAGATAATAACAATAAGAAGTATAAAATTCACATTTCGTATAAAGAAATAAATATTATAGTTAAAAAAAATTGCTGGTACTGAAGGGGTCATTGACATAATTTGATTATCATTTGGTTTTCATCCCGAACATTTATTTTACAAATAACCTCGTTAGTCCATTAAAATGGAGAGTTTCTCCGAATTATCACGATGAAAGGAACAAATTCTATTCGACATTTTCAAAATACAACTAACTATTTTAATTAAAATAAGAAACGCATCAAAAATCAAATACACATCTTCAAAATAGGTTTATAGTTGCCAATAGGCATCATAGACAGTAGACAACATTTCGCAGTTTGTAATGTTTGTATCAAATTATGCTAGAATCATCAGTTATTAACATAAATCGATATAATATATAAATAAAACAATAATATTATAATATAATAATAATCCAATCCCAATAATTTGAATATTTTTGACGGGCAGTTTAAAGTATACTATTAAACATTTTTAACCTCAAAATACGTCTACTCGGCAACGCTTTACGGTAACACTTTGGCGGGTTACACCAAGACACGAGGTTTATGATAAAGTAAAAAGTAACGTTTATTTACAACATAAAAACATAGTACAAGTGTTCGCCAGCTGACGGCTTTTGACGGAAGTAAGGGCGAGCACGCAACAATTAAAACAACATTAATTAAGAAAAACAATTATACATAAAAATAATTCGGAGTCGGAGAACAATGCTTCNAACATAGTACAAGTGTTCGCCAGCTGACGGCTTTTGACGGAAGTAAGGGCGAGCACGCAACAATTAAAACAACATTAATTAAGAAAAATAATTATATATAATGATTGTTCGGAGTCGGAATCAATCGCTTCGCGTACGGCGTCGGTGTGGAGTGAGCGAGCGGAGCGGTCGAGCAGTCGAGTCGAGCTGTGTGCAAAAACCGTTAAACGCCGACGGCGAGGGGCGTGGCCGACGTCCGCCACCAGCGACGCGCAGCGGGAAGAAAGAAATGTGGCGCGAAACCCGCCACAACACCATAGATAATGAAGAAATACTACATTATTATCTCTAGGCAACACGAAAACACTGAGATAGATAAGAATATCCAATCATAGAGTATAACTCTATATCACGGTCTTCAGGTCTTAGATGATATTTTCCAATACCGTGCTCTATGTCATGTTCATGATTAAGATATATCCTTGTTATTGGAATATATTTTTATGTGTACTTATATTCTTATCTATCTTAGTGCATGGGAAACGTTTTTTTCCAAAATATCGTAATGGACGAAAGTGTAGGAAGTCGTTCGACCTTATCAAGGTGGTCTATCAATAACCGATAACCGTGGTTTGAACAATACCGTACCAATATTCTATACACACAATTCAAATTTGTGATATTGGCTAATTTCTGTTGTATATTATTTCGTGTTACCTTTGCTTAAAATATAACAGCTCATAATTATTATATTTGAACCCAGTTGATGATGAACAAGCCCAATAGTATCAAGAATACTAGGAAAAAACGAGATGGAGTGGACTGTCACAAAAACCGTGAGTTTGTTGTCGAACCGACTCTGTATTCATCTGTCATCCAAACGGAATGGAACTTACGGAACATTACTCACTCTCACTTGCCACCCAAGCCAATCGTTAACAAAGTAATTTTAAGAATTGTACACATTATAGATTTTATTATTTATGTTTTTTTTTTTTTTTTACATTTTTCAGGCAATTATAAGTACTAGAGAAGTTAATTTTCCGTTTAAGGACCAAATGTATGACTACTCGAGTATGGTCGATGTCGGATTAAACAGTGGTATCAAGACTCTGAGGAAACCTAAGTCCCAGGAAGTACAGTCAATCAAACAACCAGAACCTAAGTTAAGTGATTATTTTCAACCAAGTTTTGATAATGTTCAAAGAATACAAATGAAAAGTGTGAAAACTTCTCCAGAACTAACTGTGCAATATGATGGTTTAGCAGTAACCAGAATATTGAATGAGGTTGATGATTTAGTTTTTAAATAAATTCAGTAAATTTTAAAGTAAGTACGTATAATGTTATACCTACTTGTTATTGTAGGGTAATATTACAAGTAATGACAGTAATGTGATATTTATAAAACTAATTAAGATTGTTTAAAAAAAATATAATATTTTAGGTTTATATATTTGTTATAATAATTTTTTATACTTAAATAATTTTGTAAATGTATTAATAAATTGTAATGTATTTTTAAAATTGATAAATTATTATATTTTTATAATAAATAAAATGTTTAAAAACTGAATAGATGTAATAATTTTAATAAATTTAATTATGCTTGCAGGTATGCTATTTTGTAACACAATGCCAGTGCACAATATTTATTGGTTTTTTAACTGTAGATATTCTCGCTCTAATAAATTATACTCTGTTTTTTTTTTTATACATTTTTAGTCAAGTCACCATGCAATGAAAAATAAGTCAATAATAATTCAATTAGGTATTAAAAATATATATTTACAGATCATATTCTATTTAATAGGTATAATGGTATTTTAAAGGATAGTATTTTATTTATTTTGTAAAATCCAATTTGCCAATTTACTTATCATAAACATGAAACACTGTCACAAGTTGAAATGAAATGAAAATTTTATCATTTATTGTTGTTCCATGATTGCTGTGTACAATTTACTAGGCAGATTGCATACCCAATACTTACACCTTTGTATTAATCTAACTATAAATTAATAAATCAATGAATAATATATTTTATTTTATTATAATTTCTGTTTAGGATAATCTTGTTTGAATATTGAAATCACAACTTATATGAAATATACATTTATTTTAAAATTGTCGTCACTCTTAAAAGTTAAAGTTAAATGAAAGTACATAATTATTATTTTCAAATTACTTTTAGTAATTTAAGCAAATTGTGGATCATAATTACAAGTTTAATTATTTATTTAAAATTCAATGGTGCTATCCTTTTACAATATAGAGTGTGGTATGATGACCAGTTGTGTAAAAAAAAAAAATAGAAAAATATTATGTACACAAATAGTTAAAGAATGTATATAAGTTTACAAATGTATAGTTGATAGGTAGAAATTCATCTCCAACAAGAAACAAGCAAAACAAACAAAGGTATATATATATAATATTATAATTTTAATAACTGCTATAAGTGATATTATCATAATATGTCAAAGTTGTGGTACCCATTCAAAAATTATAATGTATAACCATGATTTTGAAACGTTTAATCATCTGGTTAGTAAAATATATAAACGTTTTATGTAATTATCAAAAACTGGAGTTTCAATTATTTCATATATTTGGCCTATAAAAAATAAAAAAAACAATTATTGTATTACTTTGATTAAATATTATTGTACATACCTTTGCTTCAAAGAAATCTCTCACGCCTTTTATGCCAACTTTGTTAAAGTCTACTTTTTCTTGTTTGGCCAAGGACCGTTGACAATATTCCAAAGTCTTGCGGTTTGTCATAAGAAACTTAAAAATTTAACAAATTGTAATAAGTACTTCAAATTTCTCAAAATAAGTACATATTTTTAACATACTTCTCTAAAAGTCAGTTTTCCATCCTTGTCTTTATCGACGTCATCAATTAACTGGTTTAACGAGTTTTCAGTCCACGGCATACGACGCTTGATCATCATTCGCTTCAATTCATTCCGACACAAGTATCCGTCTTTGTTAGCGTCGTACCTGAAAATAAATGGATAGACACAATCAAAAGCATATTATAAAATTATAGTATGTATGCGTATATATTTGATATTAATATACATGCATGTATGCCATAAATATTTTTTAATGGAAATAAATAAATAATAATAATAAATTATTAAGTTATTATTATTATAGAACTGCCTATAATATACAAGGCCATTCACTGTACGTTTCGTCTCCTTTTCACAGCTGGACACGAGATTTTCCCAGGAGGTTTCTATATAGGTCAAAATTCTTGTATAAAACGTACATAAATCAATCCTCTGGAAATATGAACGTCAGTGTTTAAGAAAGTAACTGTGAAGACTAAAGTAAATCTATCATTCAAAGACAACCCTGCAGAAATCAACCGGGAAACTTTCTGAAATCGTCTTAAAGAGCTTTCATTTTCGGTCAGGAAAAACGAGAAAAAAACGATGGTTGGTGGTAAATTTTTTAATTGCAAATGCCAGTTATTTTCACCGAATACGAAAATATGTTTTGATTTAATAGATGCAATGGATCTTTAGAATTATTTATAACTATTTGAAACAAATGTCCAATTTTTTTTGTTGATTTATTTAAACCAAATGGTAACACGTGTATTAATGGTGGGCAATAGATTACAGTTTAACGTTATTGGAAAAAAAATTTAAAATTTTAAAAATAATATAATAATGTAATATTCTTATTTATACATTTTTCCAAATTTTAAAAAAATGATTATTGAATTAATTACCGATTAGTATACATTTTTTTATTTTAACATGGTATTCAATTTTTATAACAATATTCAAGGTATTGTATTATAATACTATACCTAATATAGATTACAGACATAGCCACATCCCACCATTCGTTGTATAGTATAGTAAGTGTTTTGAAAAATATATATTTTATAAACATTTTTCAAAAGTAAATAGATGTCTATATTTGTGTTCGGATATAATTTTAATTTAAAAAAATGATCTGTATGTGTATTTAGAATACTTTTAAAAAGCATCATTTGCAAGTGTGCTAGTATTGTATGTCGGTCGGCCATCTTTTAAAAGTCAGAACTCCCGAGAAGCAATAGGCGGGTAGGTGGGTACTATTGAAGTGATGAGACATAAATCCGAATTCCGGATACTTAATATTGTATATTTCTGTGGGTTTTTTAATTTGAAAAATCAATTTTTTTTTATGTAAAACCCAAAGTAAAATCAAAATGTAATCATGACAACAATTTTGTTATAAGCAATGCATAAAAAAATACTTAATAATTCAATGTTTCAAAGGCCGGATTTAGAGTGAAATCCGGATTTTCGGACTAAGACAAAACCGGATTTTCCCCATCACTATAGTGGGTACCTATATATATATATATATATAGGGTGGGCACTGAACGCCGCGTTTAAACCATATAAAATCCCCGGTTCACGTACTGGTCAAAGAGGTCTTCGATTTTCTTTATCTGCGCCGGACTGAACTCCGAGAACTCCAAGTACACCTGTCTCTTGGTCGTGTTGGACGCGTACTCGTTGGCGGGCAACGCGGCGTCCTCGCCCTCGGAGTCGGACGAGTCTCCCATGTGTGCGTATACGAAGGGTTCGTGGACGAGTGACGGTCGTAGCCGACAAACGATTATTGAAAAACGAGTCGACGAACTAGACACAGACAAAAAAAAAAAAAAACGTATCTGCCCGCACGCAAGTGGCCACCGCCGGTAGTAAATTATAGTATACTTTTTATATTAAATAGGTATTTTATTGCGATATTAATAATAAACGTGTACTGCCGCGTCGTGCGCGAGCTGCGGACACTATATAGTAGGTGCCTGGCACTCGCAGCGGCACATTTCTCGGACGCGTTTGCAAAGTGCGTCAGTCAAAATAACGGCGGGATTAAGAAAAAAAAAAATAAATAAAAATAATAACGATTGCGCTACACACCGGGTAAATCCGCTCTGCATGTTCGTGCGTGCCTATTACACGATTGTTGTTTCGCGATGACTACGACGCCCGAGTACCTGTTATGGGTAAGTACCTGCCCAATAATATTATTTTTGCAGGGTTTTCATTGTAGAGTAATCTACCGTTTTAACCGCGAACTGTGTAAATAACCCGTTGTAAACAAACATTAAACGCGAGCCTTATGTTATTATAATCAGGTGCCTACTTGTTAATGGCGCGCAGTTGCGAGTCGTTTTTTATTTTTCATTTAACCGAGCGAAGTTAGTTAGCCCAGGTACCACGGGTAATCGGTCAAAAAGTCCGGGGACAAAAGGGCCGTTTTGAACAAAGTCTGACAAAAAGTCCGGATTCACTTTTTTATTGTCGGACAGTAAGACCGAAAAACATTTTAAATCAATTATTTTTCAACTATATACCATATTAAGGAAATAAAAAAATTGTTTTTAACGGATTATACATAAACCTAACAGTTTATCATAAACTTGTTTGTTGTATTCGGTGAAAATGTTAAAATAAAATTTCGAAAAAATGTCCATCTATTTTAATAACTTCCTATGGTAAACTGAAAATTGTTATTTTTATCATTGTGTAGAGCAGTGGTCTTCAACCGGTGGGTCGCGATAAGTCCTTTTCTTAAAATGTAAATTAAATTTATAAAACTATATAAAGTGAAACAAAAATAATAATAATGGATATCAAGTATAATATTTCATATCACACTGGTATGATTCTACGTAGTAAGATATTGAGATAAAAATTTATGATTAAACTGAATAAACTGTGTTATTAATAGAATTAATATGCATTGCTATCGTTAAAGTACCATAATCGGCATAATCTACGAATATTATCGATATTATCAATGTTGTTGCAGTGTACTAGCTGTCTTCAATTTTAATAGTACTACTGAAAAGCATTAAGCAGTTTTAGCTTTTTTACAAAAGTTTTGGGTCGCGAAAAATGTAGGTCTAAAAAAGTGGGTCGCGAGTCCGAAAAGGTTGAAGACCACTGGTGTAGAGTGATCAATATTTATATTGACTAGTCTTCAAAATGTAACTTATTTTAAATTATTATTATCATTGTAGAGTGTAAAATGTGCTTGGACTTTTTGTCCGGGATTCCAATGGTAAATAGTAGATACCTACCTAATATATGAATTGCTCGAAAATATCAGTATTTATAATGGCAAATACATAATATTTATAATATATCTGTCGAATATCTATAAGCGCGCAATCTGTACTGGCCAGTCTCGGTTTTGAAAATTCATATTTATTTTAAAACTGCATTTTTTTTGTGTGGATATTTTCAATTTGTTGGAGATGAAAAGGACGTATACACATGGACTTAACTTAAAGCAGAATAGAGATGGGCTGCAATTTTTTCTATCTTGATTCGATGACACCAAGGGGAGTTTTGGTGTTATACCCCCTTGCCTCCTCTCATTACTTTATTTGGTTGAGCTAAAGGTTTAAGGTTGAAGACCTCCAACACCCCCTCCCCCCATTGATAAATCCTGGCTACACCACTGACATCGAGTTATTTCCGGGTACCCGGTACATTTTTACTATTAACACATTTGCCATAATTATCTCTTAATTTATTTAATTGTATGTTTCAATTATTTTTTGAATACAAATGTATTAAATTATTGTACAATTAAATATTTCACATTATTTCATTGTATAAGATAAGATGAGAAGGAAAATAATATAATTCAATGGTAAAATAATAATTTTATGTAACATAAAATGTTTATAAACAAATGGATAATGTAGTTTATTATAAATTTAAATTTTGTTTAAAGTAAACTGCTTCATCATCAGCACCACATATGAGTTGTTGTTTCTGTATATCCAATGAATTAATGGGATCGCAAATTGGTTGCATTACAGTGTTGACTGTCAATTTTGTTTTTACTTTGTCCGTATTGATCCAAAAGTTAGAATATTCCAAATCTCCTAAAATACAATAACAATTATACCACAATGAAATTAAATATTGAAATATTATTCAAAGTACAATAATTAATCAACATACCAGGATCAATTTGACACAAATATGACTTCTTAGAACTCCATTGCAACAGTTTTCCTCCAGAAGAACACGAAAATAAATGGTCTGGTTCCAAAGGGTGAAATGCCAATTCAGTAATTGATGAGGGGTCACCACTACTCATTGTTGTCAACAAACTGTTGGTTCTCATGTCCCAAACACCAACATCTCCTTCCTCAGAACCAGTGAAAATTAAATGCTTTTGACTAGGGTGTTGTGCGATGCATCCAATTGCCATTTGGTTCTAAAATTCAAATACATTTGTAATTTAATGGTTTTCTGTACAATATAACATAATATTGGATACAAACCTGAGAGAAATTGTTGATATCAGCTGTTATGTCACTTTTATTAACTCTTAAATCCCAAAGTTTCATTTGACTTAATGAATTGCAGCAGAGTACTTGAGTGTCAGTTAAGAAACAAACACATGTTAAAAGTGAGCTACTTATTTCCTCTAGAAAATTATTATTAACAATTCATTAATGTGGGTAATTATTTAACTATATTAAAAATGTACTGACCTACAACCTGATGAACTTGTTTAGTGTTCAATGATATGATGTTAAGTTTATGATCAGCACCAATCGTTGCTAATAAATAGTTGCAGACAGCAAGATCTGTGCAAGCGCATTTGTTTTTTTTACTATAAACAATTTAAAACATATCTTTTATATACCATTTTAATCAATACAAAAACTTATCATTATGATAATTTTATGTTTAATACACCAAAAATAAAATCAAGTACCCTTCATGTTCTTAAATATTTATACTTACGCTTTTATTTCATAAATAAAAATATTATAATTTTGATATTAAAACAATGTTATTGATCTGTGATGGTATGGTTATTAATATTTTAAGTTTATATTACAGTTAAAATAAGGTATTATCTAAAATACTATAAAATTTTTGGTGAAGTAATTAATATAAATAAAAAAAAGGTGAAACAGCTAACAAGTAGCCTACTATTGTAGGTAGTAGTTGGGCAGATGAATGATATTTAGGGCAATTTTATTTATATATATATATTATGTAACGATAAAACATTGTAAATAAAAAACTGCTCTGAGTGGTGTAGTAATAATACTATATTATTTTTTTTTGACACTCTTACCTTATACGTGGTGATTTACTAAGCGTGCTAACCCCATTCTTTGGTTAAACTTTGCGCATTATATTCAAATTCTGATTTTTGGAATTTTTAAGTGTAGTTAAAGCCAGTATTTTTTCAAATACTTAGATTTTTCACAGTATTTAAGGAGTATCTAGTGTTGATACTAACTTTAGTTTTTCAAATGAGAACTTATATTAATAATTTCATAAATAGATGGTGCATTACTTTAAACAAATGTTGGTGTTCAAATTTTTTATTTCCGTCAACCTGGTGACAATATATTTCACTTTTAAGTTTGGGTAGAGGGAGAGTAATGGAGCACAAATAAACTGCCGTCACACAAATGATACTCCCTCACTTTCCTCCTACCTAAACTAAAAATAGAACATCTTGTTAATGGGTGACGGAAAATCAAAAATGTTGTCACTAAAATAATACTCAGTCTATTTAGGGAATTTTTAATATAGGTTCTCATTTGAAAAACCAAAATTGGTAACGCCACAGAATACTCATTAAATATGGTGAAAAATCTAAGGATTCAAAAAAAAATATCAACTTTAACTATATTTAAAAATTCCAAAAATTAGAATGAGTTTTTCACGCAAAATTTACCCAAAATAATAGGGCGAGCGCGCTTAGTGAATCATCCTGTATAAAAAATAATTATTGGCAACAATTGATAATTTTAACCTAACGGTCAAGCAGATGGTGTTTTTTTTCATCGCGCTTTTTGGGAAAACTGTTTCTTTAATTTACAATTTAGTGAGATCCCTCGCTATTGTTACACTATATACGTAAAATCTATTTTCAATAGTTCTCAAATTTATGAGTCCACTTGAATTCATCAGTAGTCAATTATAAGGTATTTGTGCATGCCATGACCTAATATTGAATAAAAAATATTCCAAGTTAAATTTTAATTTGTTTAATATGTTTTAATAAAGTTATTTAGATAAATTAACTAAGTGTTTGAAAATGTAGATTCCTCAGCATGGTTTTATGCAAAATACAATGGCAATTTAAATCTACACTAAAATTAAACAAATTAATGGCAGTGTTAACATTGTGGTGTGACCATCAATAACAGTTTAAAAGGCATGATCGCTAGGAGGTAAATCAATTATTATTTATAACATTATTACCTTTATTAAATTTATAAATACCTACACTAATTTTTACATTTTACTAACATTGCGTTAAAGATTGAAGTCAAGACAGAATATTAAAAGCTCTGATTTTTATAGTATCTATTATCTCAATCTCTTATTATTTGTATTAAAATGAATAACATGTTTAACAAATTATGGCTATCTCTTAAAAATGTTGTACATTGTTATTTGTGAAATTCAATAATAATTCCTAACTTGTTTGTAAGATACAAGATTACCATTATAGGATTTAAAAGTTTCAGTATTATTAATCATTTTCTACATACATTTTTATTTAAAATTAATTTTTGAAAATTATATGGTTTGAGTAAACTTTGTTTAAAATTTTTAAAAAAAAAAGTTGATCTCTTATACAATAAATTAACTTTAAATTTAACTAATTTCAGACAATTCAAATTATGTTTAATTATTAGACAACTCAGTTTTATTATTATTATATTTAACATAGTAAAAATATAAATAGTTGTATATAAAAACAAATACGCAAATATGTTTACAACTGTATAGTGAATACCTACAAAACTATAAATATAGTACATACCCATATGAATGCAGATTTTCCCAAGATGTAACTTCTTCTAAATGAACAGTGGGCGCTTCATTCTCACCAATTATACGATACAATTTTACTGTTCCACTATCTGTACTTACAGCAACAAATTTGTTATCCAAAAACTTAAAAAATAATGGATCTATTAACAATAATACAATGCAAATAATTTTAAAAGTTATTCGTTATTACCTTAATTTGTGTTACATCTCCATTTTGTTCCTTAGAATCCAATAGTTTTGGAGGGAAGTCTATAGCCGAATTACCATTTCCAGACGTTAGTCCCCACAATTCCAAAACGTTATCCTAAAACATTCAGTTTAAACGAAAAGTTCACAGATATATTTAGTAATGATCCTATTACATTTTCATTGTCCCAAGATCCTGTGACAAACATTGTCGACGCCATCAGATCTTCGGGCTTCCATCTCACTTTGTTCACCTTTCTGCCAATAAATTCAGCATAAGTACTTGAGTTTTGCATTATTAGAAATATTTAACAGCTAATGACAATCTATAGTTAGTTCGACAATAGGTTCTTAATCAATTATATTTATATGATACTAGAAATTAATTTGTTACTGGTTTTAATATTTGAAATTTTGAATATTGTTATTGCATTTCACATGTTCGGAAGTTGGAGCGTTTGATAAGTATACTATCAGATGTAAACAGATTTTCAAGGAACATCCAACAATAAATAAGATTTATAATCTAATTGACCATACTCTACAACCGTGATTACCGTTATCACCATAGATAATAAAGAATTTACAGGCTACCACATAATAACAATCTAAAGTGGATTAATTTAGCTCACAATTAAAGGTCTATCTTAAGTTATTAACTATTAAATTATTTAAAGGTATATCTTTAATCGTGATCCAGCTTGATACAATCGCTATTTTAAATGGACCTATAACATTTTTCCCCGAGAAATACGTCTTGTTCCAATGTATTTTTGTTCTAAGCGTATTTAGTCCACATTTTATCTTTTTTTTCCAACGGACTTTTGTTCCACAACTATTTCTACTAATGAACACTTGTGGAAGAAATGATATTCGGAATACTATAACTATTAGAACAAATTTTCACAAACCACAAAACATTTGTGCCATAAACCATTTTGTTTCATAAATATTAATGAATTCGGGAGCCTGTAAAAAAACCAAAAATCAGACGTAAACAGTATTTCGGCCAGACCATATTTAAGCCGAAAATATTTGACCGGATAGTATTTTATAAGTCCACGGTTAAATATATATTTTTAGTTTTATAATTTTTAGATTCTTCGGAGTTATATGCTTTTTAATTCGACTACCTACTCTTAGTTGTTAGATAAAATGGGGTCATCGATTTCGTATAGAATACTTCTATAAGAAAGATTCAATTAGGTATAGGTACAGTTAGGTACAATTAGATATAGATAGTCTAATCTTTTGATTTAGCTATATAAACGTGTTTAGTTCCCATCAAAACAATTCTGGGTTATATGTATAATAAATAATATATAAATACATAAATAAATGTATTTATTATAGTTAGACATTTTGGTTTTACATCAATCAGGTCTTCTTCAGATTCTATAAAATGTAATAAATATAAGTTTGAAAAATGCAATCACAAGTAAAATATGTATTATGACAACTGCCGTGTTCATCTTATAAAACAAAGAATAACATAATATTATAATCATAATTCTCTATTTCATTTTCTAAATTGGTTTCAAAATTTAAATTATATGAGCTTTACATTCAATTTGTGTTTTTATTTTGTTTCTTTTTCATTGTTTAATCTTATGTTGTTCATTCAATATAGTTAGGATTATTATGCTTCCTTCCTCCAGTTAATTAAAAAAATATTATAAAATAGTACAATTATATGGCATTCGTATAGACATTTACTTTCATGGGTTTTTTTCCGAGGTGTGATTAATTTTTTGGCGTTTTTCTCTGTTAGATTTTTTTTCTGGGATTTTTTCAGCCCATCCTTAAGGACTACTATGGACCAAAAAATAAGATGAAATTAATGTTCGTGTAGTATATTATATTTGTTTTCAACAAACATCTTGAGATATTGTTCGTTCGTCTAATAAAAATGTGTGACAAATTTTACGAGTATTTGAATACATCCACTAAAATCTGTACCTACCTTAAAACTATATTATTATGAAATATTAAAATTTCCTTTCCATTAAAATTTTTATTGATAATAGATACCAGTGGCACCATTTATAAGGGCAGTATATGGGCTATGCCACCCAGAAATTTTGGTCTCATAAACGCATTGATGATAAACTCAATTGCCCAAAAACTATTTAGCTACTAGTCATACTACATCAATTTTGATAATAATATTAATTATTCTCCAGTAATAATATAAAAAATCTATAAATTATTATTGATCATAGAGACTCATTGCCACTTAACGTTGCTATGGCTTGACGCAATTTTCTATGTCTCACCAACCTTTATCTGTTCATCAAAAATATAATTAATATAATAATTTCATATTCGCTTATAATTTGTGTAGGTTAATAAATTATGAGTATTTTATTTTTGATAATTAATTATAAACACGAAGATTAGAGATCTATAATCTTCATAATTATAACTATTCTATGTTTGATAAATAAAACAGAGTGGATTAACGAGAAAAGATAAGAAAAGGGATGAGTACATAAGCGGTAGCTCAAGTATGGCTTCAATAGTAGACAAAATAAGAGAAAATAGACGAAGATGGTTTGGGCATATCACAAGAAGATCGGGTCAAGTGGAATTAATTTAGAACGAAGGTGGCCGACACCAAATAGTTACGATGAAGGAGGGAAGAAGAATTATACTGATTTATGAATATTAGGGACATTTAACTTTAGATGGTTCTTTATCATAGATTATAATATGTTATACGTTTTAAGAACTTAATTCAAATATATTGTACTTATCTATGTTGGTATAATCTTGCTTTTTAGGATTGGTTAATTCCGTTAGGTATGGATTACGGACTAGGAAAATGGTATGGATACAGAATACATGTTTAAATTATGTTGTTGTAGTTTTATTTAAGGGCAAATCAAAATGCTTAAAGGTAAGTTTATCAAATTAATAAAAAGCGATGGCTTTGCAAAGTCCTTTTGGTCCTTGGTAGGTACACTAAAATCTATAAGTACGTATTCTATTAAAAATAAAAATTATGAGACATTATTAAATATTATTACGAATAATTATTGATATTTAAATAATAATGCAAATGTCTAATCAACTCTAAAACATACTACAATAAAAACAAAATCAAGGTTTTTCGCTATTGTCTTCTTTTGATAATGTTTGTGTTTTGTTAGTTTTTGATAGATCATTCCATGGCTGAACTTCAGCGCTTCCAAATATAATATAAATCAAATTTCCTAGGAAGAAGATACCAGCTGAAATTGTAAATGCAGTATTCCATTCGGTCTTGTTATTCTAGAACATTAAAAAAGTTTTAATATTGAATAACATTTTTTTTTTTTGTTTTTTTTGTATAGTGATGTATCTTACAACGTCTTTAACGATAAATCCTACTATCAATGGTCCCAATATTGATGTTACATTTGAAAAACTATTTGTAATTCCCATTAATGTGCCTGCGAAATTTGGTGCTAAATCAATATGACTAGTCATAAAACCAGTTACAATAGCACTGTTGAGCCCTAAAGCAACATTTAATAAAATTATTGCTATTGTTGGTGATGTGTCTAAACAGAGGGCCATCAATGCTAAGGCTGCACCCCACTGTGCTATGCTATTCCACATTTTTTTTTGGTGTGTATTTGACATCAAACCGTGTAAATTGATGTAGTCGCTGATCCAAGAAAATACCATGATTAGTACCCACATGATAAAATATGGCATTGCTGATAAAAATCCATTCTAAAAACAAATAAATTCAAAATAATATTGTAAAAATCTGATGAAAATTTAAATTCTCCAAAATGTTCACCGATTTAATATTAAACTTCAGTATATAATTAATATAGGTTGGTATATTTGTTAATAAAATCCAGAATCCCCAGTTTTGTGCCATATGCACAACAAGTAACGACCACATAGGTATCGATTTAATTATTTTGTTCCATGGCGTTTTTAAATGCTGCAAACAATATTTTTAAATTATCTTTTTTAATATGAAATTTTATTTATTTACCTTTCTTGATGAGTATTTACTTAGTGAGTCTATAATAAATTGTCTTTCTTTCTCATTTATACTCGGATGTTCTTCTGGTCCGTTAGATCCCAATAAACACCAGAATATTATCCATATTAATGCTACAATACCGCTTACATAAAATATAGCCGGCCATCCTCCTGCACTATCAGCTAAAAATCCTGATGTAGCAAGCATAACCATAGAACCAAATTTGGAACCGCTAAACACAAACGAAATCAAACGACTTTTTTCAGGCGCTGGTGCCCATTTCGATAACAAAACACTAAGTGTAGGAAATATAAAACCCTAAAAACAAACATTTCAAGCACATAAAATAGTATTATTATATAATATTGTTTATTAACGTTAACCTTCAATTACTAACGAAGTATTGCATAAAATACCTACTACTTAGTATACGTATGTTATGAGTATATTTTTTTGATATTTATAACTGCTTTGTAATATTTATTTTATAATAATTATTTCATAAAAAAATACAATAATATAGTATTATATATAAGTAAAATACTGGTAAGGAGAAAAAAAATAACAACATATCATTTATCAATAATAGGAATAATATTTACAAATAATCAAAGCTGGGCTAGTTACTCAACTTTAGTAACTGAGTAAGTTACAATTAAACTTTCCTTAATTAAGTAACTCAATTAAATTATTAGTTACTAATCAAAAATTAAAAAGTTAAAGTTACAAGTTACTTTTTACATTTTTTAAGAAAATACATTAATTTTTTTTTAAATGTTTTTCAGAAAAAGTATTATAATTAAAAATTGGAGTAAAATTGCTAGTAGAAAAGTTTTTCATAGAAAAAAAATAAACATTGTAAAACCAATTTTTACCATACTAATTTTTAATAGTTTGGAATTATCAGTAAGTTATTCACTGTTCGTCAATCAGTTTCAATCTTTTCATGAGTTATAACTATCACAAAAATGTATTGTTAAATCAATCGTCAAAATTGTCAAAAAAAATTATTATTAATTATGAAGTTTTTAAACATTGTTTTTGTTTAATTTATATCTTTCTATAATTTAAAAACACAGTAACTCTTTAAAATTCTTTTATAGTTTTAATACGTACTTACATCATTCCAGAAATCCCACGAGAAAAGAAAAAAAACGTCTTCTAAATTATAAATACTGTATGTTAAAAATTAAATAAAATTACATCCAGGACACTGCCTTAACGTACACCGCTGTAAGTTTATTACTACCTATTTTATTTTAGCGGTAATGTCATCAAATCCAAACTATTTGCTATTATTATCCAAATAACTCTTAAACCAATCTAAAACACTAAAAGTATGCAATGTATTTTATCTTTTTAAGTGATTTTCTATACTCTGCTGTGGTTTCATCTTTATTATTATTAAAAACGTGATTTATATTTTTAAACTCACTTGCGCCATTCCTTGAATCATTCGATTAGCACACATCAGTAGTATACCACCGTGTATTGCTGACCACGGAGTCATTATTGTTAAAACGCCACTGACTCCTATCGCGCCAACTAAGAAATATTTACCTCCATATTTCTCGGCCATTTGTCCACCATATATTTGAGTAACTAGATAGCCCCAAAAAAAAGAACTTAATATTAGGCTTTTTGATGGTCCGTCCCACGAAAATTCCTAAAATGTTAATCAATTATTTTACAATGTATTATCACTCGAGCTCACTATTGTTAGAATATTATAGATTTTAGAGGTACATTAGTTAGATACTCACAACAAAATTTTTGTTAGCAATTGAATTATTGGTCATGACCACAATGCCAACAGACAGATTGACTCTCAACGCGTATGCAATGGCCATACATATGAATAGAAGAAATGTTTGAACTTGCCGTTGGCCCCATGGATGTTTTTCTATAAAACAATTTAGTACCGTTTAGTATTTAATAGATTTCACCCTGAAAAAGAGCTGCTAAAAAACAGGTAGTCATATTGTCTACCTAAAATAATAATAATAAATAAAGTATACAACAACTAAATAAAATAAACAATTCATAATAATTTTGCCAATAATATCTATGTGCAAACTTTATAAATGCTAATAAAGGTGCTAGTACTTTTATTTGGGACATTTAAAATCTATTTCTTTTAGATTCGGAGCGTAGCGAGGAATGTACTGGTTTTACTATATTTTTTTATTTTTATTTTTTCTGTTTGGACAATTTTCTCACATAAATGATTGCTCCAGTAAAAAAACGACTAGAGACTTTTTTGTTGTATTTTTAATCTGGTCCGTGGATAAGCAGTGGACACCTTCCCAGACACTGATATAATTTCAATGAAATTTCGTCCAAAATAGAGACATCTATTAAAAGAGATACCTTTTAAATATAAATGATATTTTTCAGGACCTCCCTAGAATAATGTTGAAAATCCGCTACTGTAGGTCCGTAATTGATTTTTTGATTTTTAGGTAGTTTTTTTAATAATTGAAAAAACCGAAAAATGACGAAAAGTTAAAACTGATAAATTTACGGCGCTAAGATTCCTTTATTTTAAATATGTGAAGCGAGGAACGTATTGGTTTTATAAAGAAGTTTATTTTTATTTTATTTTTTTTATACAGTGTACAAATTTTCTTTCAGAAATTTTGCACCGATTTCAAAGTGTAGCACCTTTTTAAAAAATACCTGTGGGTGGACCGTAAAATTATGTGTGCATTGTTATCTGTTTTTAGTGCTTTTACAATTATTTCGATTGATATTTACTTTTTTATGAAGTAAGTACCTTAATGATATGATAATAATAATAATTATATAATCATATAATAACAATGTCAAATCCATAAATATAAAATTATTTTCGCTATCTATAGTCGAACCGGGTCAAGGTTTTTGAATTTATCATTTCAATTTGGTGGTTCGATTCTTAACATTGATTTTTAGTTTTCGAAATAAACGTTCCAGGATGCGGGCTCGTACTTTTGCATATTACCAAGAAATAATTAGTTTATCAGTGGATATATATTATTATCATTGAAAAATTCTCTTCTACGAAAAACTAGAGATTACACTTTGAACAATACATTTATAATATGCATTTTAATATTATATTTCTTATTTTATGTATTAACATGTTCTATTTTACAAATATAAAAGAGCCCATTTCCCGTGTCGATTTTAAGAGTAAGTGAAAATATATTTCACCACCCTCTCCCAACCAAGTCTGCACTCTTAAAAAAAAAGTTAGACATTTGTAATAACTAATAATAATACATCATTATAAATCAGGGTTAGGAAGGAACGAGGAACGGGAAAGAGTTCCTATTTATGTAGATCATAAATGCAATTTTCTGTTCCTTCTATTATGAAAAAAAAAAAAAAAATGAAACGCACGTTATTTTAGTGATAATATTGTTTAGAAATTGTTTAGTAATGGTTTCATTTCGTCAGTTACTAATATTTTATTTATATATAACCGTAATATAAACGGTATTTCGATGATAATCGTTTAAAATGGTAACAAACAATGTAACTTATTTAATTATGACAAACGTCAAATTTACAAATGATAATTAATACCATTTATTGTCAGTGTAATAATTCTTATTTTTTTGTATAGTTAATAAAATATTATATTTTGAATTTTCAGTAAATTGATGATACATTTTTTTTCAAATAATATATTTTTTTTCATTTTTTGGGTAGGAACTAGGAAATTAATTTTATTTAATTTATTAGGGTTTTAAACATGTAAATTCTAAAAAATAAGAATAGTCTCCAACTTTTGTTATCTTACCTCCCCAATTTCCCACCTAACAGGCGGGCGTAACAGTAGTTACGCCTGCCCTCGGTATCTTTTTTTTATGAACTATAATATGCGTATTCATAAAAAAAAAAAAAAAAACGCTTAAAAAAAGGAACGAATTCCTTTTTTGAGGAACGATAAACATGGGTAAATATAAAGTTAAAAAAGATTGACATACTTTGTACAATGGGTCACTGTCAGTGACACTGTCAGTGGCACCGAACTTTGAAAATGGTGGTCAGGCGAAATTAAAATTCAACGACCACAATATTAATATATTCGGCCTTTAGTAATAAATGAATAAATAAATAAATAATAAATCTATTATGTACCAATTTGGAACAGTTTTAATTTGTTATTGTATTATTACCTTTAATCTTCAGTCTTCGGTATAATTTCATTAAACAACAATAACAATATGTATACATATTATAACTTATAATTATAAATGTATATAATGTATTACCTACTTTATAATTAAGGTATAGAAAAATTTGTTTTCAAAAACAAAGAAAAAGACAAAAAACAATAACCAAAATTGTTTTTAATATTAATAATAAACAAAATTTAAAAAATGTATTAGGTAGGTTATATAGATAATATTTTTTCATTATTAATAATTTTTTTTAAAATTGATTTATTTTTAATGAGGACCTGGAAACTATGGTAGTTAACCCTTAAAGTTGTATTTGTATTATATAATTTTTAATTTTACATATTTAATAAGTACTATTTTTCCATAAATCATAAATTTATAAAATTACTAAATCTAATTACTCGATTAAACATTGAGAAAAGAAAATTGTACTAAATAGATATTTGGACATCAAAACTTATACAACATTGCTACTTCTATAAATTTGTTGCCCTGAAGCAAAAAAGCTTCTTTTGCATCTATGTTAATCCGGCCCTGTTCCTATGTATTTATAATAATATCTTTTTCGGTTCAGGAGTGACAGATATTGTTAAAACTACCTTTGTTTTCTTTCGGTTTTACAAATACATTTCTTTCATTGTATATAGTATATGTATTTGTGAAAAATTAGACATTAGCACAAGACATTAATAATTATTATAATAATAGTTAGAATCTATTCGAACTATTAAAGCAGAAAACATATTTGCTATAGATCTGTTAGGCCGTCAATTTTCGGTCTGTTCTGGTCCAACATTTTTTTTTTTAAGTCTGGGTCAATCTAGTCCAACATATTTTGTAAAAAAAAAAAGGCCCTGACTCAGTTCGCTGATAACGCTAATCTTTTAAAAAGTCAAGTCTAGTTTTAGATATTTAGTTTTTTTATATAAGCTAGCTGGTTCAAATATATTTAAAAAAAATCTATACGACATTCCTTTAATAATTTATGACAACAGTGATGTTATAACTGGCTTTAAGTGAATAATTTTCTTGTTAAGGGCCAGTTCAATCCCTATAATAATTGTGCAAAAAAAAAATTTCAGGCTCGGTCTATTATACAATTCCATAACTTTAAAAAGCCCGGTCCAATCCTTGGTTTGATATTTGAAGTTCAGCTCAACCCTGCCCTAAAAATTAAACTAAAAAATGTGCGATCCAGCTCCTTTTTTCAGGTTCAAGTCTGAATCTTACAGACTTGCTCCAATGTAATACGCGCTGGGCTTTATAAGGACCAGACCAGCGCGGCTCTTGCAGGTCTATACTTTTTATGAAAGTTACCCGTTCTCGCCTAAAATATGCCTTTTCATTTTTCTTCGAATGAATAAATTTAATTTATTATTCGAATATTAATGGATGATTGTATCATAAATTATTACTATTGTACTACAAAAACAAATTTAAAAATGTTCAAAAAAATATTAAAAATTTACATAAACTACAGGGGTGATTAAATTAAATTAAATAAAAAATATAAAAGTATAAATGTCATATTATTTATTATATAGGTATACTGTAGGTCGTATGATAGTAAAATTGTTATAACTTACAATAATTATGTGATATTTGTTTCACGAAGTAAAATGATATTTAATGATATTTTAATACAAATATTGACATTAAATTAAAATATCATCATAATCAATAACGTTGGGAAAATACGATAATCGGTGATAAATTTATCATTGAGTGGAAATTACGGTACGTTATAGATATCTTATGACGGAAAAATAATATGAGTAAAAAACTCATACTGGGTGATTCATTTAAATGGGTACATTTTTATCATATTATTTATAGTCTAAATAATTTTTTTTATAGTATACCTATAGTTTAAGGACCTTTTAAAAATATAAAAATGATTGTCTAAATAATGAATTTAATATAATTTTACCATGTTTTTCTTCGGCTTTTGCAATAAACTCCATAATAAATTGAATTTATTTTAAAAATTGTTATGACTCAATTACGAAAAAGTGGAAAAAATTGTAATATTTATTTATTTAAAGAATTAAATTTATGTCACAGTTAATATAGTCGACTGTCCGTATTATACAAACTAACTAGCTTATTACATAAATCGAACTCATATCATTACGGTCCATTATAATTTCCACCTCCATCGTCACTTTCATAGAAATATAATAAATATTATACACAAGACATTTATCAATAACTCATGTAAATAGATTTGTTTTATTTTTATTATTATTAAAAAAAAAAAGGACCGGATTTAGGAATTTGTAGCTCAGGCTTTTAATATTTAATTAATAGGACTAATATCTAACTATAAGAATATATTCACGTTTTAAATATTTTCTGAAGGGAAATTTTATCTGGGTGGTACTTTAAGGTCATTTTTTGATTTTCCAAATGGTTTTCATAATAATTGGAAAAAACCGGAGGAAAACTTAGGAAAAACGGGAAAATATACGAAATGTATTATTTTCGATTTTGGTTTTTGTTTTGAAGCAGTTAAAAATATTCGTAGACTTGAAATTCGACCAAAAACTTATATCTGCCTTTTCTAAAGGAAAATTTACAAAACATTGAGCTTTTTATCGGCATTTCAATTTCGCGAGTATTTTAAATGATTTTTATTCGGTAGGTATAAAATTGTTTTACCAAACAGAAATACTTGCAAATTTAATAGGATGTTCAGTATAAGTACAACTTTGTGGTCAAAAAAAAATGTGAGTTTAATGTAGTTTCTTTTATAAGAATTTTAATATCAAATTTTAACAAAATAAGAATTTTAATATCAAATTTTAACAAAAATCTTAAATATTATGGCCTTTCAAAACATGTATACCCAAATTTCGCTTAGAATCGTTTTTTCGTTAGCAATGAATACAATCGTTGCGCACAGATAAACATTAGACTCCCATCTATATCCTACCTTCCCAACTTCTCATCTACAACAGTGGCCACCCATAGTGCGAAGTATATGTCAATCTTTTTTAAATTTATATTTACCCATGTATCGGCTCATTGACCAATCGGCTAATTGATAATTGTTTATTGAAAGAGCTCACTATATAATATGATAAAGTTTGCTGTACTTAGCACAAATATAATACCCAATAATGAAAAAATAGTTATGGTTTCATTTTTGTACGACCGTACTTCGTGATACAGTGTTAGTGTTTCATTTGTGAAATACCAAAAGTATAATCGTCTGTTTTTATCGTACGTTTCGGAATTTAGAGAAAATATTTAATATTTAAAATTTTGATCTACATAACACTAATATCAGATTTAAGATTTATGAGTTATAACTATTTACATTTTAGACCGATGGAGTAGGGAAGACTGGAAAAATTATCAATTTATTATTTAAAAATAGGTATATTACCCTTTCCTAATCTTCCGGTAAATCTGCTATTAGTGCTTATCAAAATTTCTAGAAAAATATTCTCCATTTGAATTTGCGTTCAAATAGGGGTGTTTCTATTTGAAAATCGAAAATATATGCTTATTTAAGATACATAAAGTAGAGGTAAAAATTAAAAATGATTTTAAAATAAAGTTGATAAAAAAACAGAAATCAAATTCACTTCAAATCCTACAATAAAATTGCTGATTCATGATAACAAAAATCACCTAATACGCATCTGTGGAGTTGGCCCCTACCATGGACGAATCGTTCTGGACAAATTGCAAGTTTTAACCTTTTAATTATAATTAAATGTAAATTTATTCCCGGAATTTGTAAATTGACCGTTTCCCGCGGGGAAATTTTAACTTTGGATTGCAGCTTCCCCATGAAGACCAGATTGATCCGGACAAATTATAAGTAAATAATAAAGTATTGCATTTATTAGGTTTAAATATTTTGTTTAAATATAAAAGGATAATGTGCCCTATTAAAGGAGTTCTTTTTAAATTTTATTAGACTAAATTAAGTGTCACACCTACAAGAAATTATTATATTATTAAAAAACTGTAATTAGCTGAAATACCTACTAAATTTGAATTTCATGGAAAAGTAATGAATAATAATGATAACATGTTTTCAAGGAGTCCCTATCGTAACGTAGATTTCTCAGATTTTCATTTTATATCTGTACATAAAAAAAAAATATTATTTACAATCACATTTCTACTAATGATCGCTAATCAAATAATTTAATAAAAAAAAAAATGACCGTATAGTGTCTTTTAAAACGTTAAAACGTTTAACATAAGCATTGTGAAGTTCAGCAGCTGCCACTGTCGCCAACTTCATATAAACGCTTAGAAAGTTTTGAAGCATATCCTAATTCCTAGTACACATATTAGGCGTACACAAAATACAATGTTCAATTATCTCTGTTATAAGTTTTCTCTAGCTTCTCCCAGACGTATTCACATTATTAGCGTTTATCATACGAAGAAAAACACACGATAAGCAATAAAAATATTTTTAAAAATTGAAAAAAAACTGAAGAGATATCAACAGTAGACATGACAAATAATCTAAATAGAATTGATGGTGAGCAAAATTTAGTTAAAGAAAAACAATGAAATTAATTTAATTTTAGTTATATATAAATAATTTATTGGAATAATTTAAAAGTAAATTTTTTATCATGTAAAACTTTTTAACAAATCACTGTTACATAATATTATACTGTTAATTACTTTTTATTTTGTTTTAATGAAAGTTATCTTTTTAATATTTGAATGCATACTGTTAGGTTTATGATTTTAGACAATTTTTGAAAATTAATTTAATTTGAAAAGAAAATATTATAGTTAAGTTAAAACATTTTAATATGAAGGATAAAGTTTTTAATTTGTGTAACTCCTTATTACTTCCGATGACCGAGTGAAATTATGTATATATATATTTTTAATTTCACAAAACTTTAGAATATTTAAAAACGAATAAAAATTCTATTTACACATACTTTTTGTTATATAGTCAGTGCATTACTTCTCGAAGGAGCTATTATGTAAGGAATTGTTTTATATTGTTCTCCTCCTCCCCTATATAATATAGCTTTAATTCATTAATTCACAACCTGCGGCATACCTACGTTTTAAATTTTAATAAAATAAGAATGAAGTGCTATGACCATCGACTAAAGAAAATGTAACTTACTAAAACTTAAAAAATGTTTGAAAATGATGTTGTGCGTGATTTGTAGTATAACTTTGTCGTTACAGGCGTATAGGAATAATATATATTATCAATTAGTTTTGTGTTTGACTTTTGGTCGAGTTTTTAGATTCAAAGCAAAGCGAGGAATGTATTGGTTTTACAATGACGTTTTTATTTTTAATCTGTAAACAACTATCCTAATAGAAATCTTACTCCGATAAATATTACGGTCTTTAAAAACATGTACAACCGAACTCAGTTCAGAATTGTTTTTCGTTAGCAATGATTAATCATTACGTACAGATATACATTAATTTCCCTTCTATATCTTACTTTCCAATTTTTCACTTACAAGTGGCCCACCCATTGTGCACAGTACGTCCGTTATTTTTTCTGGTAGGTTAGTATAGTACTATTTCCTTACCTTACGTAGCTGTAGGTTTAATATTATCACATTTTTTTATTTTTCAGACTAGAAAATAAAAAAAAATAAAATCGAAATTTAAAAAAATAGAAAGATCATATAAATAATAGATTTTCAAAAACAATTTTTAAAAGGAGAGATACGTCTCTCAAATCTCCCCCTTAAGCATAATTATGACAACGGTAATATTATAAAAATTATTGCATTAGATAGGTAGGTACGGCTGCATCGAAAGGACATTGAGAAGCCAAGTGAAAAACAAAAAAATTCAATTAATAATTCACCTACCTGGAATTTCGAGAAATAATATTATCATGATTCATTATTATAATTACACTTAACATATTATTTTATTATGAATAACAAGTTACCTACAACAAGTAATAAATCATTGTTGGAATTTTTCTTTAACTATTAAAACGGGTCGTTATTGACTATTAAAAATATTAAACTTTCCGAAATTTTCAAAATACTTGTCGAACTATATTATAGTTTAGTAATACATTTTGAATTGTATATTTTATAATATACACGTATTGTGTATGCAATATTTTTTAATACGTACTCATCAAGGATTTAAACGGGATTATGAATATGATACAATGTATATACCTACCTGCCTATTAATTCATTAAATTGAAACTCAATAAAAATGTTCTGGAAAAAAAAAAAAACGTTGGTATATTACTATATTATTCATATTAGTATTTTGGTACATAACTCATATATTGTAATATATATAATTATATATTTTCTTATTTTATGATTATACATTTTTACATCATGGCACGGTTTTAAATACACATGTTTTTATTCACATATAGCAATAGTTCCGGTAATTAATTTTCGATTATGATATTAATATTATTATTATTACTATTATTAGGTATTATTAAATTAATTTAAATTATACAAATCAACTAAATAACCATAATATACTATTATTATTACTATTAAATATTTTAGTAACATTTGAAAATTCGTGTTCGTTTGATTAAAAATACGACAAGGGAACTATATAATATACATAATATAATAGAATATAAAGAATACTTGTAAACATGCACAAAAAAAAAACGTGTACATACATGTACTATAGGTAAATAATTATAGATATTAAATAGTTCAATATAATCGTTTAAAAATATAATATACCCAATATTACCGAAATATTACCCATTTATGTATAAGTCGTAGGCCATATGGAAAATTAGTATGGGTGTTATTTTTTTTATCTGGCTTTTCGAACAAAAATGCCATATTGGTCCGAAAAAAACGATCGTGGCACTTCCCATTTTATTGTTAGTGGGCAATAGATAAATCGAAAAGTCTAGTGTAAAAGTTGAATTGTATAGAATTGGAGAAAGTATTGAAAACCTACTGCAATTCCCATCGTTAGCTTAGCCACCTCCAAAATTCAACCAAATCCTCCAAATCAAGTTCTCATTAATAAAATAGTGAGTATAAAAAATCAATGTTATGAGATGATAAGCCTTTTTCCCAAAAATATTTGGGCTACTTGCGCCTATGATTGCCCATTAAAGAAATAAGAAGTCGGCAATTCTCATACACCTACAACGGTTCAAGGATACAAAAAAACGCGTCTAAACAAAAAGCGAACTGATACTGCTGATATGTATTTCACTGTTATTGCTGGGAAGTTGGGAAGGTGAGATATATAGAATTGTATAAATATATTATATTTGTCAATAACGCATTGCTAACAAAATACGATTCTGAGCAAAGTTTGGTTAAAAATGTTTTGAAATGCCATGTTTTTACGTTTTTTTTTTTTTTTATCAAAATTTGGATTTAATTAGGCTTATAAAAAAAACTACTACATGACACTCAACTCAACAAACAAAATCAACCATCAGTACACCAATCAACATTCAGAAAAGATGCAATATGCGCATGAAATCGACTACTTCCGAAAACAAACAAATCTTAAAATTTACTCACAAAAAATACCAGGGTTAAGGGTTGAAACACAATGCCATGCGTAAACATAATTTCATCAACTGGCTTCATTTGAGCGGGAATCTGTATATGGATGTAAAATGCTATAAAATATCCTCCTTCTGTAACGATGTACAGGTTCAGTAAAAATCGTACTTGTGATAAAAAAAAATTTTGAGCAGAGGCTAACTGGCTTATTACTTAAATATCCATCGAAATGAAAACTTTAATATTGATGATCAATCCGCTTGCAAAACGCTGCTTAAAATATAAGTATTTTGGACTTGGTCATCAAACTTTTATTAATTATTATTATTATTTTAGTTATTATTTAGGAATAAAAATTGTTTGCCACTCCTCCCTTCCCCCATGGAATTGACCAGAAGATGCCCCTGAGCAATACTATTAACCGAGCTCACGATCGTTTTTTGTTGTCAATGCTTAAATTTGTTTAGGTACGGTTATATAATAAATTTCCCTCATTATCCTACCTTCCCATCTTCTCATCTATAACAGTGGTCCACCCATCGTGCGAAGTATGTCCGTTTTTATTCTTATCAATTATTAATATTAAATTCAATTATTTCGCCCCCTCCCATATTTAAGGTCTGGAGACGCCCCTGCCTGTATATTTTCTGGAAAATTCGACAATTATATACATGCGTAATAAGTCGGCAAAACCTTGCTTAAAAATTTTGGGGCCCGGCGCTAATTTTTTGATGAGACCTTTAAGTTAAATTATAAATTCAGTTTTTTTGTTATATCGCTTTTTTATAATCAATTTATTTTGTTAAGATTATAAATAAATTATATCTTGTGTCTATAAGTAATTATTTAATGTCTACTGATATTAATAAAACATTTAAGACTATATTACAACTTTAAATAATAAATATCAAACATAACAATATTAAAAATATAAAGTAAAATTATTAGTAAATAAATGAACATGTTTCAGTTTAAAGAAAAAAAAATAAAATGTTTTTTCTGAGCCTTTATATCACTAAACTTCTCAATTAAATCTGAAAGATCTAGTTTGTTATGCCTCTTTCCGCAGACAGTCGAACTAGTGAATTTAATTTTTCTTGGTGAAGTCCTTCTGACGTTTTCAATGAGTTCTAATTTTGAATTTTTCCTTTCCGGTTCACAATTTGAAATTGCCAAGATTAAGTAAAGCCGTAAGGAAATGTATACAATTAGAAAAACCTTTTTTCAAATTGTTTTCACGTTTTTCTGCAACACTTTGGTATTTTCATCTTATTTTTTCAGACATTATTGATAGAAACGCATAAAAATAAACGAAAATTACCGTAATATTACAAGAGCACTCGCACGTCGCGTAGTATAAAAATACCGAACCGACTAACATTGCACACGTTTCACGTGGCACACAATATATTATGTACGGGTTCAAAGATTAATATTATCGGTTTGTAATGACTTTAACGTACGATTTCCCAACTTAATTTTAAGAGGACGTTACACCCGCACCTACTGTCTCAGTGCAACTACCGAGTAACATGCAATAACAATGATTACGCAGAACAAATAAAAATAGCTCAATTTTAAAAGGCACTTTTATTGTGTCGCAAAAAGTACACCACGGTGTACACATTCGAAGACGACGGCGATTCGTACCTACCCGCCCACGAATGACAAATCGTTCGTACATTATGTCGTCGCACGTTCGCCCGTTGTATTTGCGCGAGCGCGCGCGCGCGACAGTTTTAACGTGTCGTTTATTATTATTATTATTGTTGTTGTTGTCGGAAGAACGAGGCGACCGCCGGCCGCACGTACGCGGCGCGGTAGAAGAAGAAACCGCAACCTCACACCGCGCTCAAGATTCCCAATAAATGGTGAGCGCGTCTCGTGACCGACGGTCAGTTGCACTGATTGCCGGCAACACAGCCGGTCGCGGTGCGAAACGCATATACCTACGGTATTATTGTTGTTGCGCTACCGGGTACACCGGGTGGGTATCATACAATATTGGAGGTACGCGTTTCGCCGTCACCGTCTGCCCGCGATAAAATTTATATACGGGCGAAACAACGACAATCCATCGCCGACGACCGAACGCCCGGACGCCCGCCCGACAACAACAACAACAATACGTTATCGGTACAATACGATAATATTCCGCGATGAAGTCTCCCGGGCCGGACCGGCCGACGGCGTCGCGGCGCCCGACTTTTCGCCGTCCGCCTTCCGCGCTGCGGCCGCGGACCGTGGCGATCGCGGCCGTGGTTTTGCTGGTGGTACACTGCTCGGCGGTCTCGACGTCGTCGGCCGACGACGGCGGCAACCGGACGCCGTACGCCGCAGCAGCCGACGACGACGACACGGTCGTAATCGAAGGTAAGGGATGATGACGCCGTCACCGAACAAACGCATGCTATTTATACGATTTTTCTTAATTAGGTGTCGGTTTTTAACGACCGACGCGCGATATTAATTTTTTTCGATACCAATAATATTATTATTAACGTTCGGCCGGACAAAGGAACGGTCCGTATATTAGAGATAAACCGCGGTGAAGATTACAGCAGGCGTCTGTAACAGGATCAATATGTCTCGATACGCTCGTTATTCGGAGGGTTGGTAAACTCCTACAAAAGTCGATAATCTCCTGCATTGACACAGTGTTAACTCCTATATAAAAGATAGGGTTAACTCCGTTTTTCGTATGATCCGCGGCGGCGCTAATACATAGGAGCGCACAAAGGGATGCCGAATCGGTGAACTTTGAAATTAATCGGCGACAGCAACGGCGGAAAATCCGTTTAGACGAAAAAATCGTTTATGTTTGTTACTTACACCGTTGTTAGCTATTTGTTCATTTCATCATCGAAAACGATACAATTTTTTTACATAGATTTTACACCGTTTGTGCAGATTCGACATTTGTGCTTTTCACGACGCAAGTATATCAGTGTGTATTCCTTATCGAAAACGCAACGCGCTTTATTTCGATATTTCCGAAAGACCAGTCATCGCGCAATCATCTTTGTCTACCGTCTGTGGTACGAAATAATTACTCTACTAATATTATAGGGGCCAGTGCACGTTATTATTCATAGTATATATATATTATGTTTAATATGCAAATATTATAAATATGGTATCCGACTTTGTTGTAGCGAACGATATTTTTGCGAATTTAATTTGCATACAAAAATGCGTTGTTACCTATATAGGTATACCTATAACTGTATACATATTCAAAAAACTGGTTTTGATTTTTTTTTTTTTTTTTTGGTTTGCTTTTTCGTCTCGTTATAGATTGGCCGGCTATATATATATGTATAATACATAATATTATGATCTTTCGACCGGAGGCCAATCTAAATAATTTAAAATGTTTTATAATATCATTTATAGACGAATCAATGTCAAATACATAGGTAGATAGACCTGCTGCAGAGTAGATAGGTATTCTATTTAAAGGTACTCGAAAAACGGTTTTTTTTGTTCTAAAAAAATTAAACGCCCGAATTTAAAATAAGTCAAAAAACTGTATACTGCAGGTATCTATATATATATATATATATCATAATTTTGCGTTACTCTTGTAATCTATATATAAAAAAAAAGACACGTCACGGTAAATTAATTTGAAAAAAAATAAATATAAATTTGCGATTAAAATTAAAATACATAAACTGGTTACATTATATTCGGATATATAATGCAATTTTAACAGCTGCGGGTTTATAATATATTATTGTATTATAATGTATAAAAAAAGATCAACCGATATTCGATTTTTGATCTTTTAATGTCCATATGAATTTTTTAAAGACGTTATTTCTATTGAATACATTATAAATAAGTGTATAAGTAAATACATAAACTCATTTTTTTTTTTTTCTGAAATGGTTAATTTTTAAGTAGGTACTGTTCAAACGTTATATTTAATTGAATATTTCAGGCGTCGGTAATAATTATAATATTATATAGTCCGATACATAATTAAACTTTATTAAAATATAGTTTCGTTCACAAAAACAGTCAATCGTATAGATAACGTATTAATTTTGTAAAGAATCGTATAAAGAAAACCACAAGGAAAATTAAAAACCGATTTGCCAAATTGTGAGCAACTTATGTTCAAATTATATATACTACGATAATATAATATGATTATGTGTTATAAACGGCATTAATACGTACGTAAATAGTGAATATAGAGACGTTATAATACGATGGAAGAGATAGATAACGCGAAGAAGTCGTATCTAAATGGGTCATAATTCCATAAGACTATTGAAAAGATCTGTTGACATCGGCTATAAGGCTCTTTGAAAGAACTATAGGCATAGAGAAGAAAAAGAGAGAGAGGGGGAGGGAGAGAGAGAGAGAGAATATTATAGAGTACGAGGTAGCTGGGCAGCATATATTGTTGGTGAACCATAGCGTATTAATTTTATCATGTATATATGATATAAGAAGAAAGTCTCTTCAAAGTCATATCGGCACTACACCTAATCGTTTTATAATATTATCGATTTTTCTCAATGGCCCGGAGATTAGTTACATAGGTAGGTAGACGGGTCATATTTACACAACTTGATCTCTATTATACAACTAGGTATATTACATTTTCCTTAAAAACCGTTTAAGCTATGATGTATACCTATAGTTCTGTGTAGGTAAATAGGTATAAACTTTCTTCGGGGATGTAATAATCGCTAATATTACATGTATACATGATGTACTGTAGCGACGACGTAACAATAATATTAATAATAATAATACCATCGCGAATGTGACGAAATATTGATTTACTGCGATAATGCGCGTTCGGGTTCGCCTATTCGTTGTACAATAATATTCGTAAGTTAAACGGTCCGAACGTTATAAATCATAATCGTTACGATGGCAAAAAATAAAACAAAGTACAATTACACAGTCTTCGTAATCCGACACTGCAGCCCAGTGGCGTACGCAAGGGTTAGGGGAGGTTAAGGGTTGTATCCCTCTCATCGGCTTAAAAAAAACAAAAACATACGAGTAATCTAATATCGAAATGTACGAGGGCTAATCAAAAAGTATCAAGACTGGTAGTATCATTCGGAAAAGGAGCATCGAAGAGCAGTAGGATTGGTATCACTTGCTTTTATGACTTTCTCTGAGTACATTTGTTTTTATTGCTTCTCTATAAAATTCTTCGGCTTGATTTCACTGATATTTTTGTAAAATATATTTTTCGAGTTTGGCGATTTTGTAATAAACCCAAAAGAAGAGTAACTTGACAGATTTGGAGATTTTAGAAAATTTGTCTGCATTTTTTTCCAGTTTCAGAGGGATGCAACATTTCATGGNTTTTGCCATTAAATGTCAATTGAAAAACTGTGCCCTCGGTTGGCAGCGAGTTCCGCTACTTTTGGATTCATTACGAAATCGCCAAACGTGAAAAACAAATTTTAGAAAAATGTCGTCAAATCAAAACGAAGAAGTTTATAGAGATTTTATACAAATAGATGTACTCAGTATAAGTCATAGAAATTAGGTTTACAAATCGTTTTGCTCTTCAACGCTCGGTTTCCGAGTAATATTATCAGTCTCGATACTTTTTGATTAGCCCTCGTATATGTTTCAGCCAAGTTATCAGAAAAAACTTGAAGTATTGATTAAAAATTACCTATTCTTTAGGATCCGGCTTTTAAATTACCAATTCCCATCATAGTCGTGTTGGATAAAGAAAACAATTTTTCACGATTCTTATTTGCTACATCCCGACCAATTGAAAATTCCTGGACACGCCACTGCTGCATCCAATCCTTTGCATTAATCCGACCCTTTTTATTTTTTTACCAGCTGTAATTTTATTTTTGGGTTATCGTTTCAACAGTTCGATACACTTAATCGGTAACCGCCGACGATACTGTGGACATCTCCAACAAGAACTATAAACTCGTAACAATACTACAGGTACTATATAAAAAAATATACTAAATTACTATACGCGCGGAAATAAATTTGAAATATACGTATAATCCAATCAAAGCGTATAGGTAATGAAAATAAATAAATTATAATTTTTACTCGACTTCTATTTGACTCGATAATCCGGCAGTGATATAGGTAATGGTCCCGGTATTATATGTGTCGGATTACCCGCAAGACTCTAATACGCGTCGTATAGCTACTGTAATAATTATGGGTTTGTCGGTAAATTCAGTCGTAGCTATAAATAGCCATAATTCAGGAGGGTTGGATTTTTTTTTTTTTTTTAAGGCTATTATAAAACATTGTCGTACGAAATTTCGTTTAATAAATTACAAGACCTCTTTTGTGTATATTATATTATTCCACGCGCGAGAGAATGCGCAATTGCGTTCTATTTTGATTCAACGAAAATAATTTATTCGAAATCTGGCATGAGTGTGTGTGTGTGTGTGTATAAAAATATATTATAATTTAATATATATATATATAGGTACTTGATATATTTATCGGGTTATGTTGATTATAATATATAAATCTTGAATACGGGCGCGTCCCAAACATAAAAAAAAAAAAGTCAGGATATATTTAAATAGCGTTTTTTTTTCTTTATAACCGTTCGTCGAAGTGAACCTTTATCGACAATAATTCTTCCGATAACCGTGTTTTTTTTTTTTTTTTTGATAATCTCATCTTTATACATCGTCGCGGCTTGTACAATCAGAAGACCGACCGATTTTAACCTATTTTATTAAAAATATTTTATCAGCCGTTTTAATAATAATTTAACAAAATATATTCAATTGAAAATACTATTGGTTTTTGAGTCTTCTGAACAATTGTGTTTGGCTGATACGTTCCTCTGATTCTAAACCGCCGACGATACAAATTATTATACTACAGACGATAATTATTAATACTGCAATGACCGCGAAATAGATATCACCGGATTACGTGGGCTGCTGGTACAGGTGATAGGTAGCGATGATAGTGACGGCGGTGTATATTTGTTTGATATTTATTTGTTAACTTATTAAAATATAACTAATATTATTTTATCATTTAACTTGAAACGGATAAATAAGATCGATATAAACTTGTATAATTGTATCCGGTAAGTGAAATTACATTTGTTACAAAGTAATATTTATATGTTAATATACTTACAAGTAGTGCCATAGTTATGGAGAATGACGAGGATAGACCCCCCCAAAAGCCTCTTTCATTGCCAAAATCATAACTACACGCTATTGACTAAGTAAGCCTATGTAAATACCTATATGCAATAAAAACAATAAACGATTACAAAATTGCAGTACTCGCACGAGGTCACAAATATACTGGACAAATAATATTAACGTGGTCGTGCCCTGATACACATACTGTACGAAATTCAATACAAGCGAAAATCGCGCGTAAACGAACAATACTCATGCATTTCATGAGCGTATGAGATTTTACTGATTTTGCAAATATTATTTCCGTAAAAAACCTTAACGATTTTTAAGTATGTTATCATGTACCCATGCAATGTAATAATCCGATTTCTTGTGCGTTTGTGTGTATAGTTGGGTACTCCGAAGGCACATCATTCTGTACGAATTTATTGGTTCTTTTTCCTTACGTAATAATATGCAAATAGTAATATACCGACTTGTTGAGCTTCTATATTATATACCTAAGCCTTTGTAATTGATTTTCGTGTATACGGATAGTAATATAATATATTATTATTATTGTCTAAAAACTCACGCAACAGTGGGGTGGCGGCAAAAATATATTGCAAAAAACAAAAACCAATCGAAAATTTACTGTATTAAATGACTTAACCGGCCGTCGCGAACACGTCCTGCGCCAAGGTCGCACCGGCCAATAATGCGACACAGGTTCAATGACAGCGGCGACGACGACGGAGGCGGTAGAAGCGCAAAAAAATAGTGTCTGTTTACACGCGATTATAATATTATTATTATTATTTAACGGATTGGTTATATGAACGATAGATAGAAAAAAAAAAAAAATAAGAATAATAAAAAATTGAAAAATAACGGATAATTATCGATTCCGCGTATTCGATACGTATACAGTATACCCCGAATTCTGTTTATCGCACATCGGCACACGTGGGCTATGGGCATAATATTATCGTATTAATCATGATAATAATAAGTACGTGAACGGATTTTAATATTATTATAATATCTTGCGGATAATATTCGCTTTTTACGGTTTTTTACGCGCGTCCCGATCGCGATAAAATACCTATAGTTCTGTGTCTATAGGTATAATAAGTAGGTATATAATATTGTTATTAATTCAATTCGTCCCGCACGTGTATCGCCCCCGTTAACCCACTCCCTTTGGTAAAATCCTCGATAGCGATGAGTATACGTAATATTCTATAGGCGGGTACGATTTTTTTTCCGTCCAAAAATACGCGTTTGCAAAAAAATGGGGTCGTTCACACCGATTTCAAAGATATCTAAATGTAGAGCTCAGGAATTTCCAATGGGAGAAAATGAAGTAAATAATAATCGCCAAATAAATGGAAGAATCTCTTTCTCTAATCAATAACCTATGTTGACTATATAATATGGACATTTGAAAGCCGAAACGAAAAAATCCAATTCTCAATCAATAAATCAAGCTTTTCCTCGTAACTTGGCCAAAATAATAGACGTTTCCTCCAGATGATATCACCAAAATCACTCGAAAGTGATTGTATTTGCAAGCCTTGGGGGGAAATGTATATTACTCCTAACCTCCCCTTCAACGCACGTTACTGTTTGAATGTATATAGTATGTTACATTATTACACCGATATTTCACTTTCGGTTCGTCACAGACCGGCGGCCGCAGTATAATCGATAAAAGAGTAGAAAAATCTTTCCATCTTTCCGATATTATACTCGTACATCGATTTATAAAAAAAAAAAAAAACATAAACAAAAATTGCGATCATTACAAGGACGCCAACGGTCGAGCCGAGTAAGCTGGCAAACGACCGCGATACATATACGAGTAAAGGAGTATTTTTAAATTCTTTGTGTGTTTTGCTATAGCCGGTAGTCGTGTATATATGGGGACGCGTCATCGGGAAGACGGTAAATATTATTGTGTACCCAGTAAAGTATATAAGTATATAATAAAAAAATAAAACAAACGATTGTCGGTTTTTTTTCAAATTAATTTTTTCTCCGAAACGATCACTAAATGGGGATATTTCCCGATTGACCGAGCGTCGGGTTTTTTTTTTTTTCAATTTTTCAAAACTAGATTTAATACCTATTTTACGCGTTGCGTAGTATGTCTTATTCAATTCGTCTGGCTCTGGATTAACAACGAGTGCGTAAAAACCGAATGTATAACCAGTTATATTATACTATTATAGATAAAATTACAGTCATCCGTCAGACATCTCCGGGCCGGATAGGAAAAATCCATTACTATACCATCGGGACATTCCTCCGTGTACTTATTATACGAATTAAAACTCGTGTACACAAACAAACAAACGCATACATACACACACACGCGCGCGTGCACACGCACACGCTAAAGACTAAAAAGTACCAGCCATATTATATTATACCTATTGATATTCCGGTCGGCGTCCCGTAGTAAACTATTGGCGGCACACCGATTGAATACACATTCGGATATCTTTATATTATTTTACGACAAAAAACAAAAAAAAAAAAAAAAAAAAAAAAAACCGTTTCCTACGGTCCCGTACGTTGTCTATATAATAATAACGTATTGTGATTAATTGGTTTTAATTACTATTGAAAACTGCGCGTGTTTTATATATAAGTTTGTATAATAATATACGGCTATCCATATAGTAATGAAACGCCATCTGCGCGCGCTGCGGACTCGTATACAGAACGAAACGGACCTGCGATATTATTCCGTCGTTCCTCGGTCGTGACCTGACCTATTGAAAAAGTCCGTAGGAAACGCGATGTCATAGATATAGATAATAAACTAGATTGCTAGGTTCCCTTTACTTGCCATATAAACGTTTAAAGCCGTATATCCGCCATTACTAGTAGGTAATTTGTATATTATCGTGTCATAATTTTGATAACACAATTTATCGCAGATTTAGATACAATTTAAATGTTAAAAAAATGTCTTTTTTCGTGAAAGTAACAAATTCGTTTGATTATTTGACATTAATTATTGTTTAATAATTTATTGTTGACTAATTAATTTAAACTTGTGATGATAATCCGTTGAATAATTTCATGTTATCTATAGTACCTATCTACTATTCTCATCTATTCTGTGGTTCCATAGTAAGTATATGTACACTTGAAAAACCAATGTTACATGTACGTATAGGTACATTTCGAATTTCCATAAAGATTATATTAGTTATAGAGCACCTAGTTTTTTAACTGCCCGGGGTCCTTTCTCATCTATCTACGTCACACTGTCTGTTATGGGTACCGACAATTTGTACATTCGGGAAAAAGAGTTGATGATAGGGCTAATGTACTTTGAACCAATGGGTTACACAGGTATAGTTTTATAAATGTACGTATAACATAACATCAAATAATACAAATTATTATTACACTGAAAACAGTAACAGTATTATAGTCATGTTTTAGCATAGGTATATAGGTATCCAATGCTAAATTTACTTAACCACAATACTATCTACATCTGTGTTTTAGTGGATGCTATTTTTAATCTATTATATCCATTCAAAATGGCGGATAGTAACTTCATGTCTTATCACTAGTCAGCAATCTAATTTATTGTCGTAATATATATCTACCTATATTATATACTCGAGAAAATCGAATTCCGGGTGCCCTGTAGGTATATACGGCGTATACAGCGTTTTCTATTGTTAGAACGGTATTGAAAAAAATGAAAAAAAAAAATGTACAATGTATAAGTACTTATACGTATATTAGCAGTTACAAAACGATATTATAATAATAATATGATCATCCGATCTGGTTTCTCTACATTATAAAGTACCCGATACCCGTCATATCACACGCCCTCGCTCCTCGAATATTATAATAATATATTCATCGATTCTTCTTTCCAGGACGATCCGTAATATTATAATATACGACAATGTACGGTGATATTAAAAAAAAATTACGGTAGCCGTATAATATATGGGCGGACCACGGTATACGCGTAATCTTTCGAGTTGAATTTATTTCGTATGTTATTATAACGGGAAACAATCCAAATAGTATAGGTACATAATATTATCCGAATGACGAGGCAGATATATCCGTACACACGGATATCTCATTTTCACGGATTATGGACCAAGTTCGTTAAAAATAAAAACGCCCAACTCGGTACAACCTATAAATACTGTCAAACAGAATTATCCGTATTTACAATCGAGTATTTCTGTAAAAATCACCGCCGCGTTTTATGAATTCTATATTTATACACGTTGTCACGTTATACTCACGTGTTCCGAGCACGGATTTTATATTATTGTTGTTATTTCAATCCTATATACCTACTATGCGGTTGATACGTCATATTTCATATAGGTCGCATATAAATTAAAAATTATATCTTATATTATAATTTTTTTTTTTTTTTTTTTACGAATTTCAAACTATAAAATAAGTATTCGTAATATAGAATATAGATAACGACGATTTTTCGGTAGTGATAAATGTACGGACTCCTGCGGATTCCTCAAAATTTTTTGCACGGTTTATCCGGTTTATCGCATTTAAATAAACGAAAAATAAAAAAAAATTTAAACGTTGAAAATAAAATGTAAATATTTTTCGCGCTAAATAACCATACCTATCTATATAAACAAGAACCTTACAAGCACCTATATATATACATAAGAGGTACATATATTAATACAAATTATGATTAGAATTGTATATTTACTGCATATTACACGGTATTTAAATCATGAATTACGGTAATTGTACGGTAATCGGTGTTTATAATCAGCGGCGTTCTTTAATAAATCAAATTAATAATCAGAAAAGTCAAATTTCAAGTACAGACATTATGTTGACGCGTTTTAAGATTTTTCACGCCGGTAAAAAGACAAAAAGTCAACGACAAATAAAACATCAAACGATTTTCCGCTGTTTTACGATAATCGATTTTCGATAGACGCGTTGGAAACCGACTATTATTTCATAATAATCTAGTAATAATATGTAAGACAATTAGACGAATACAAAATGGTTTGTTACTAATAGCAGAAACTTTCTTCTTGAATACCTGGGCATTTTTTCGTTTACGAAAATTATTATTATCAATGATAATAATACCAAACGGTTGTCCGACATTAATGTCATAATGACAACATGACGCGTTTTCGAAAAATTTTAATGCGCATTCGTGATAAACAAACGCGTATTAACATTAAACACAAATATAGTTTTGCGCAAATTAAAATATTATTTTCCGAATTTGTAAAATACGTGTGGCGTGATACACGCAGTTGAACGAAACGACTCAATCGCCTAGTTTTCCGTTCCGAAGAAGTTTATTATAGTATAATAATATGTTTTTTTTTTTTTGTAATCGAAGGGTATGGGAAAAATACCGCGGAAAATTCTCACGGTATTACACGCAGACTTACGGTTTCCGCGACGATTTCCGATTTGAATACCTGAATATAGTTAACTGATACAATATGTCCGTATACCTGTACATAATATATACAATATTATTATTATCGCGTCAAACTTTCGTAGTGTGTGTCGTTGTGCACAGGTATTTTTTGGCGTAGGCGGTGGAGACCAGCACCAGTATTTCGACAATAGACGCACAATAATAATAATAATAATAATAATACGTAAATGTATTTTTATTGAATATATCAAAATGTTGCCAAAATATATTCAATAGGTCCGGGAATATTTCGAAATCATTTTACTGTATTATTTATTGTACGTAGGTACAGGTATTACATTATGTGTACACTTAAACGGACCGCGTAGCACAAGTATAACAACAATATGATAATAATAATGTTGGCGACCGATAAGACAGGTGGGTACCGTTGAAAACGAATGCATAGACCGTAGATAGGTGTACCTTTATGTACGAATGTATCGGAGACGTATATTATCATTATTATTACAAGTACGCGAGACGTCACGATAATCGAGTCGGAGACGTATTAATCTTGTTCGCTGTCATTATTGGTGAGAGCGGAAAATAAAATACTAGTATACATATAAATCGAAATATTTATTTGCTACAAAGTTATTAATCGGATATACCTATAAATAAAGGTATGCTCAGCATAGTTGCGTGCCCAGGAGTTTACAATATGAGGGGATGTAGTAAAAATGCAACAATCATTAAGGCACGGGTTTTAATATTACTCTTAAAATCCACAAAAAAATTCTTGAAAAAATCATGAAAATCCCGAAAAAGACTTATAAAGTATTTAAAAAAAAAAAACAAAATTGGTAGAGTTATTTAAAAGTTTCTCCCCCCTCTTACGGCTCTATTAAATACGATTTTCTAACATCACATGAACGATTAACATAAAGTTTTTTTTCTATAATTACTTTATGTTGAAAGTTTCAAAACTTATTTTTGTAGATTTTATGTGTAATGATCCCGAGCCTTAATTCTCACAGTTTGTGAATACATCGTATAACAAAACCGACAGTGTGAATTTAAAAACTGGATTCAAAAGCTAAAAAATATAATGCTTAGACTAAACACCACTAAATAAACGCTCGTAGTTGTTGTATCGTAAGCTAATGATTGACGGGGGGCGGGAGTTATATAACCTTTAACCTCCCTTCATCTGCGTATGCCACTGTTTATTTAGAGGTAGTGTATAGTCCTGTAGTCGAAACGGAAGGGCGGTGGGCCATATAATATCAGATAAGAAGGTGTATGAAACTCTAGAATAACATAATGTAATATAATATGACTCGTCTAAAATATTAATATTCTCTTTGTCCGTCTATAGATACGATATTATGTATAATATCACGGTACTCGTAAGTAATATTGTATTTTATTAACTGCGCGTCGGCGGTAAAGGGCGAAGTATATAAACGCGCAAAAATCGATCCAAACCGCAGAGACGGCGATGATTTTCTCGTACGATAACACTACCCGGTAAACATGGCACGTATACGCGTATTCAGCGTACATATTTTTGGTATGAATTATGTAAATATGTATGAATAAGTAAGGAAAGCCCACTCTACCAGAGCGTCTTAAGTTTCTATAATTTCTAAACGCATTTCAAAACAAATACACTATATATTCTTCCACATCCATTTTGTATAAAAAACAATTTTGAAAGAATTCGGTAACCCTGTACCTTTGGTTCCATGGCAAAAAGGCCCGAATCAATTTCCATACAATTTTCAATACAGACAAATTCAATTTTTAAAATACATATAATATACACTAATAGGTACAATGTACATACACCAAAGCAATTTTTTTTAAAACACGCAATAAAGGGAAAATAATTAAAAACCCAAATTATAAAAAAGTAATGCCAAAAATTTACTTGAGCCCTCCTTCCCTGGGACCAAAGATATATGAATAAAACCTATGAATACGTTACATATCCTAATTTGTAAATATGTGAGACAGTATAAGTAGGTATACTTATAATTTAGTTATCTATTTTTTAATATTGGCTAGTATGAATTCATATTAATGTATAATGATATTAATAATAATGTTTCGAATAATATACATATCGCTTAATTAGATTAGGTCGTAGTCGACTTAATTCACACCGAATATATATATTCGTATAAAATACGTATATGTGCTATAAACTTTCGTGTAAAGATGGAAACAAAAGAGGAATACATCATAGTAAAACCATACGCTCTCAAAATCTAAAAGGAATTTGCAGAATTTGTAGGCGTTGTTGGCACGGCCGCCGCCTACGTACTTACTTATACCAACTATTTACTACATATTATTATATATTTGTATACGCACTCTACCGCTCACTCATTCGGCAATCAACCTATTGTACACGCACTTATAAAATATTATACAAAAATAATAATAGATAGGTACCTATATGACATTATAATATTATTATAATGTGTGGTAGTAGTGATGTATGTGTAAATAAATCTAAATACGCGATCTTCAGACGCGAAAAATTCGCATTGTCATATAATATTATGATATTATAATGTACTATATAAACTGGCTTAAATCGCAAGTAATATTATTCGTATACACATAAATTATTACTATACTATTATAGGGTCAGTCACCTTCCTGGATTGATAAGGGGTTTTTTTTTTTTATGTCGCCAGTCAAATGCAATTACAAGTGTAAACCATTCTTATCCATAATAAAAATAAAAATAAATTATAATATGTATGGATAATGTAAAATTAAGTTGTTATGGTTTTTTAATGAGTATACCAACATATCATGTTAAATTTAAAATACCTATAACAATAATTAGTACGGATTTTGAAGCACTGTTAAGGTTAAAATGAGTATAAAATCAACTTTTAAAAAAAATACCGTCATACTTTGTACAATAGCGTCAATGGGTGGGCCACTGTTGTAGGTGAGAAGTTAGGAAAGGGAAGTTTGAAGATATAGAGGGGAATTTAAAGTATATCTGTACGCAACGATTAATCATTGTTAACGAAAAACGATTCTGAGCGGAGTTCGGTTACACATGTTTTGAAAGGCCGTAATATTTACGATTTGAAAATAATACATTTGGTAAATTTTCTTATTTTTCCTACATTTTTTTTCCATTTATTATGAAAATCTCTGGTTAAAATCAAAAAAATTCCTTATTAAAGGAACTACCCCCTTCAAATTTCTTTTTAGAAAAGGTGTTACACTTGAAAATTAGAGCAAAATTTCTAGTATAAAAGTTCTTCACAGAAATAAAATAAACATCATTGTAAAACCAATACATTCCTCTCTCCGCTCAGAAACTAAACTGTTTTATTATTAATTATGTTTATTCTATATTATTAACCTACCACTTATTTATATAATAATAGTTGAGTACTGGGTTTCACGAAATATTACACAACTATTATTTTATATTATAAACGAACTATTCGTTTTTTCCGAAAAATTATAAAAAAATTTAATAACTATTATATAGGTACCCACAATAACTTTATTTTAAAATGCATACCTATAAGTAGCTAATAAAAAATTATTAAATCTAAAACTGGTAGCAGCAAATCGAGGAGAATGTGACGGCCTTATGAAAAAATTAAAAACAATTTTATGTAAAAATGTATCCTATACAGTAACGGATCCAGGGGGTAATCGTACTCCCCTTACTTATTCTCCAATAGACTCTTAGCTCCGACATACTCTCAGTTTATTGATTCGTCATAAATGTGTGTCTTAAATACATTTTCCAAAAAGTCCACTTACCGTTGTTTTATCCACCCCTGATTTTATGTAATATGGATAACTTATAAATATAAATAACTTCGAACTATAGTAGAAAAAAACATATCTTTTCAAAATCCATAACTGCTTTAATTAGTAAGAACTGCACTTTAATATGATCATACAAATAGGTAAATGCTTGCAAATCTATGGATAAACTGTAAACTAAAATAGTTTAGGCGAAAAAGGCTGACTTTTAACATATTTAAATTTTTAAATACTCATATTGTATCGCTTTCTATAAAGAATATAATACAAATATATCAAAAAAATTAGTGGTGAGTTGTGCAGCTGTATTTACAGTTTTGACTCCAAACAATTTTTCTGGGGGAGGGGGTGCATCACTAAAATTATAACAACGACTTTTTTATTTTTGCTTATCTAAGGTTTTAATTAATTATTAATTTATCCACATTTAAAAGTGAGGGGGCAAACAAAATTCCAGGGAGGGCTATCGCCTCTGTCATATACTTGGATTCAACACTGTGTACTTACTAGAATTCAAAAAGCGCCACACAGTTAAATTGTCTCCGTGAATTAAAATAAATCGACGATAAAAACGATGGCATAGATTTCGGTGAAAATATGATAATAATAATATTACTATATTATATTGTATAGGTATAAAGGTATTTTTTTTTTTTTTAATGACTATATAATCTTCCTACTACATAAAAATAAAATAAAACCGCGTAAATTTCGTCTTTGGATTAATCGTTTTCGTTTTATATTCGAGTACGAGATTGATGTTTATTATCGTTCGTACCTACCTTCGGCTTGTAAACAGTTAAACGGTTTTATCATATAATAATATTATAGTGGCAATTTTTATTTTGCGCAGCGAAATAACCTACAAAAACAAATTAATACAAACCATACATGTATATACACTTTTTATATACTTGTATTCATAATTTATGTACATTATATTACATCCCCTCTAGAAATCGAGTGTATAAGAATGTACATTTTACAACATATAGAGTGTGTGCAGTTGGATCAGTATATTGACCCACGTCGTTATTGACCGCTTAACTTTAAATACAGTATTCCATTTATAATGTATAAGTATAATATAGCAATAAGGTTTATCAGTAGCTATATGATGTACGACATTATAATTGTATCAGCTTTGTTTTCTTTTTGAAATTTTAAAAATTTACCTTTAGCTTCGGTAAAAATCGAACCTCTGCGTCAGAGCTTTGTACTATAATAATAACTAAATTATTTAGTAATGAACAATATGTTCTAATTTTTTTTTTTTTTTTAATCTAAAATAGACAGATTAATGCAGAAGATATCGGTCGATAATTCAGTAAGGACTGTAGGACTCCTTAGATAGAGATAAATATAGAAATTTATTGGAAGCTGCTAAAAGCCTTAAAGGTTCATGAAGTAAAGAAAATAAACTCGATATTGATAATTATGAAAATAAGACATATTATAATTCCACCAACAAAAACATAGTACTTACTGAAGAAATGTGTATACTAGGTCAATGACGCGAAACTAACTAAGGTTTTTATCGGGGGAGGTTTTATGTATATTTGCCAATAATAGCAATAAAAACATAAATATTTAATACATTTGAATAGTACTTAAATTATTATAACACAATGTCGAGTTCCCTTGGTTTTTTAATAATTTCATCGACATGAAACTTAACATGTTTATTTATAGACATAGCGGCTAATCCATTAGGGGATTGGAAGCGTTGACTTTTTGTCTCTGTCTTACACGCGTGCAACATAGAAACCTAGACGTATTATATTTTCTACGTACTGGTTGGTCTAGTAATGCAATAACAATTTTGGAGTAGTTAAAATAAAAAAAAGCTGATACTGAGGATGGGAGCGGCCACTGTTGTAAGTGATAAGTTGGGAAGGTAGGATACATAAGGTTATTTTATTTATATCTGTAAACAACGATAAACCATTGGTTGACGAAAGACAATTCCGAGCGCGATTCGGTATTACATCATTTAAAGTGCCATAATTTTTTTTTACGATTTTCGTTTAAATTTGATTTCAAAACTTTTATTGAAAAAAAAAAGTCGTCCGATAATTTCAGAAATGTTACCACGTCTAGGTAAGTCAAATATAAGTATGATTACCAAGTTTCAAATTTTAGTATTTATAACCGAACTACATCAAAAAACTCCCAAAAATTAAAATTCCTTAAAAGCTCAAAAGTGATTCAAAAATTTTGGCAATGATACCGTAAGAAAGTAAATTAAAAAGACAACAAAAAACGTATCGTGTGATTTTTCGATTTAATCATTTTTTCCTGGTAGAAAACGTAGTCGGTGTTTTTATAAAATAATAAAATCGTAAAATTGTACGTTTTCCTAAGGTTTTCCCACTTAAGTACTTTTATTTAAAAAATGACCTCTCTAAAATAAAATCTAGAAAACGTCAGAAAAGTTGCTATACGTAAAAATCGCACCAAATTTACTAGGAAAAAACTTTTTCACAAATTAGAACAAAAAAAGAAAGAAAGAAAAAGAAGAAATAAACAGCATTGTAAAACCAATAACTCGCTCGCTACGCTCGGAATCTAAAAAGTTGGAAATTCGATCTTAAGGAGAAAACTTGACAATAAATTGAATTTCAGAAATTTTATCACTTCATTAGATCAATCGGTACGTTGCAAATAAAACACGTTTAAATTCTTATGTTCCACGTGTGTAAGACAAAGACAGATAGTCACCACTTCTAATAATTATATTTGGATATAAATCATTATTTTTTAGTAAAAGGGATGTTCATTGCTGTTTTCAAATTATCAAATGAAATTTGTGTGTCGACATTCAAAACTATGTTGATATCACATACCTATAAACCTCTGTAGAGAAAATCTCAACAAGTTTATTTAGTGCGTCAGTTTCTTCATGAGTTAATTTCGAAGTTCATGAATTATTAAAGAAAGAGGGAAAATTGGTTAAATGAAACAACTTGTATACTGTGTATATAGATACCCATATAATATTATTATTGCGAATGACCAGTTTTGGATAAAATTTTAAAACGTATAGAAAAAAAAAAACAAAGTGACCGCATCCCAGATATTTATAAACATGAAAAAAAAAACAACTAACTAGTAAAGCATAAAAAAAAAAAAATGTATGTATAATATATTTTGCAGAATTATTGTTAAAAATACATTAGGAAACGATGGGCGAATTTACGAGTTTGTGTGGATGATGACCCGTGGAGTGTCGAGTATGTGTGTGTGGGTATTTTGGCAAAGATATAAAAACGGTTTTACATATATGCTAACATATAAAAAACATTGCTGTACGTGTCTGTGTGTACTTACCTAAACACGCACACACCGGGAACCGGAACAAAAGTGAATTTCAAACTCGTTTTAGGTTATCCGCGTCCGTTCCAAGTTCCAATAATAATTGCTATATAGCTATACCTACATGAGTGGTGCGTAGTGTAGGTACTTGCAGATCTCTCTATATTATTTAAAAATATTATGCGGTTTCTTTTTTCGCGAATTTCCATACATCACCGTGGCCTATATTATAATATATTGTGTTCGGCGTCTCTGTCGGTTATAAATGGATACCTTTTACCTATACCTATAGGTATTTTGTTCGGTTAAATTTTTTTATTTCCGGAATACGACTATTAGGTATAGGTATATGCGTTTCGTAGAACGGGATTTCGTAAAACGGTACATTTAAACACGTCTCTGTTAAAAAAAATAAAAATAATAATAAATAAATAAATAAACAACATTATAACCATTCGCGAATCGGTAACCATTAAAATGTTAGAGTCGCAATATTCAAACTCGAGCGTAAATATTATGTTTATTTATCTTTTATAATTTATAATGGCTATGCAGTCACAGTTACAGTTTCGCCGGGAATGGGTATATCTACAAATCATTATTATATGGCTGTAATTTCAGTAGACTTGAAATCCCAAAAAGCAGCTCAAAAGTACTAATCAATACATAAAAAAAAAAGAGCCAATACTGGGGGCGGGCGTATCACTGTTGTAGGAGGATAGTGGGAAAAATGGGATACATAAAGTTATTTAATTTATACCTGTAACTATCGATAAATCATTGCTAACGAATAACGATTCTGAGCGAATTTCGGTTATACTACATGTTTTGAAAAGCCATAATATTTACGATGTTAGTCCAAATTTATTATAAAAATGTCTATAAAAAAAAAATACTACATTGAACTCAATTTTTCTTTTGGTTTTTGACCACAAAGTACGATTGATACTGAACGTTCTGTTAAATATTCAAACACTTCTGTTTAATTAAACAATTTTATCTGCAGAGTACCTACCAAATAAAAATTTGACCTCATCTAGAAAAGATAAATTCAGTAGAAGCCGCTTATTAAGAACACTTTGAAACTGAGGTGAAACGTGTCACTTAACCGATAGTTTCAATAACACGATTGTATCAGTTATCCGTGTTTCTAATAAGCGGCTTCTACTATACAAGTTTTCTCTCCAAATTTCAAGTCTCTGCCGCATATTTTAATTGAATTACAACAAAAAAAATAAAATTGAAAACAATAAAAACATTATTTTTGTAAATATCCCCGTTAATTTAAATTTTTTTGCTGTTTACTCAATTATTAAAAATAAAGTACTAGAAAAATCAAAGAACTACTTTCTTCCTGAGCAACTAGATCCAAAATTTAACAAAAAAGGTCACTTGCCATTTTTTAATTCTACCAATATTTCTCGTAGAAAATTTAATTAAAAACAATGAAATCGAAACGCTGCAGTGCGTCGTAAACATTTGCCGTTTTTCTTCTTATTATTTTTTCCTGATTATTATAAAAACCTTAGTAAAATCAATAAATTATCTCCTCAAAGCACCAACTAGATAAAGTTTTAGAAAAAGTGTTACACGTGATACATCGGAGCAAGATTTCTGGTAAAAAAGTCACGAAAACAAGAAAAAAAAAACGAAAAACACATCAGAGTAAAACCAATAAATCCCTCAATATACGCTCTAAATCTAAAAAAAAAAAACACCGTTATGTGGGGATATTCAATATTTTGAAAACAATATATAATTAAACTAAATATCTATAACTCAATATGTACAAAAGTGGTTGTTATTTTCTATAATTACAAATTTATTGGCACGCAATGTTATCAAGTGTAAATTGAATAGGAAACACCAACAGAATGCTTTTCGAAAAAGCAAAAATACATTTAAGAGAGTCATACAAATTGATGATAATTCCAAAACCAGCCAGATTGAGTTTGAAAACTTAGTGCCCGATGCCAGTTATTGTTTTACAAAACAATTATAAAAACATATACCAACAAAATATAAAACAATTGAAAAAAATTATAAGATATTTTTCTAAATATATTCATCAAAATAACAAACTAAAACCTGGAGTATTATAAAGATAATGTGTATAAGTACGACCGGTTTCGATTTAAAAGCGTCATCGAGTAATAGAACAACAAAGACGGACAAATAATACGTGACCGTATATCGAATGAGAACGGGAAATACATTGACAAAAATTACCATATTTTTTACATAGGGAGCAAACAAATTTTATTAGGAGAGATTGTAAACCGTGATGAAATGACATAAATTCCTATGTAGGTAATTAATATAATTTAACAATGAATTTTAAGACTTATGTACAATACATACAATAAGAGGGGGGGGGTGCTTAACGTTTTGGTTATAGTGGATAAATTGTTTTGTCCTCCCCTAGATTTATACACAGTTACGCCACTGGCTGCAGGTTCCTGTGGAGTTTTAAACATCATACGTTATGCGTATATAGAATAACGAGAAAAAAAAAGAAAAAGAAAATGAGTTGAATTTCAAGCATCTACTATAATAATTATCATTAGGTAGCGCGAAAAATCCGGACGGACGAACGCGTAATTCGAGACGACCGATGATTTACAGCAACGTAAATTATCATCGACTAAATTATTACCCGTGATTATACGTGATTTAGACGTCTACCGACCGATCGGTAACGATTTCGGGGATCGCGAAATAATACGCGGTGTGTACAGGTGTACCTAATGAATGCGGCGATGATTTCGCGATTATTGATGTTCGTAAAAAAAAAAAACTTCGGCGGCACTTCCCCCCGCGGTATATACTGTAGCGAATATTAATAATAATAATAATAAAAAATAATCGAAACGCTAAATAAACTGCGCCCGGTATAACGCCGCAGCGTCTTCGTCCGGCATTAAACCGTCCGCCCGGAGCGTTCGGTTGTTCTTTTCGCGCATCGTAATATTTTAATTGAATCGCGCGGCGCTTACACGCGGCGGCGGCGGCGGCGGCGGCGGCGGCGGTCCGCGTTCTTTTCTCATTCCGTCCCGCGCGATTAATCGAACTGGAACATACTTCGCCGAACGCTCGCACACCCTGTAATCAACGTCCATTACAAATATCCCGTGTAATAACGTACGCCGGTCCGGCACGCCCATTACGGTATTAGGCGGGCGGGCGCGTCCAACCGCCGGACGTCATCGCGTCGAAATGCGACCGAACGTTACCGGCCGAAAATTTTGCGGACGGGTAGTACGGGAAAATGCGCGTGCGGCGTTTGCGTGGGCTTTACCGGAACGCAGTCCGAGAATCGCGTTACGGCGGTCGCTGGTGCCGCAGCGGGCAAGCGTAATTTTAAAAACAAAATAGAAAATACGGGCATACGTCTCACGATGCGCGGCCCGCGAAGTTGAATACGCGCTGTGTTGTGTTGTTACTTTTGTAGTGTCGGGATTCAATAAGTTACAGCCGTGGGGGGGGGGAGAAGGGTTTTTAAACCTATCGTGTTTTTGATTTTGATTTTTTTTTTTTTCTTTCGTCAAGGGCTTCCGGGGATTTTTTTTTGGAATTTTTTAGCGCTTTTTTTTTTTTGTGGATTTTAAGTCCTATATAAGTCCCGAACCCTGTTGTTATCGATTGCAGACAATATATTTTACCATAATAATACGACGATAACCGCGTAATGAAATACCTGACAAAAAAAAAAAAAAAAAAATAAAATTATTGATTTTGTCGGCTTTAAAAGTAAACTATCGCTGTAGTGCAGACTAGGTAGTCTAAATTTCCGAGTTTGGCTGGGAGGGGTATCATATCTCCGGCCTTGATCACGGAGAATTGAGGAATGCGCAATAGGTACACAACACCACTATTGTTCGGCATATAACTGTGCAGAATGAGTCTTACTAATTATACGAAATTAATTAGATACTCGGTTGCACTTAGACGTGCCGATATATATCGTTGACGGACACTGCCGATAAACTTCCTTTGAAGTTTGCAGCTAAATCTAAATCTTATTTGATATTTCGGTTATTTTACAGCCGTCAATGCCTATAATAATATTATAATAGAATAATCCGTTTGAAAATCAACATTTGATATGACGACTGTTTTATGCCGGTGGTGTACGGGATAGGGGTAAACTTGTGAGACCGACATCGATTTTATAACTCGAAATCTTCGATACATTGATATATCGGATTCGTGATAGTAAAACATAACTACTATGAATAATAAGTGTAAGCGTATAAATAATAAGTTATACCGAATTATGTATTAAAAAAAAAAAAAACACCGACACGCAGATTAAGGTTTAAAGAGAAAAAAAAAATTAAAATTAATGTATTCATTATGATTTTCGACGGGCAAAAACCATAGTAATATATTATAATATAAATACGCATTAGCGAAATATGTCACTGTCCCCGCAACGGATTTTCAACGCTTCTCTATATTTTTCTACATTATTCGATTCGTTTACACCTACATTATACACGCGTATAATATAATATCATTATGCTCGTATATCGAAATAAAAATTGTATTCTTCGAATCCGTTTCGTACGTACGCGCAGACCGACGCCCTAAAGGCTTTTTATCGCACCGTATGTCGTCGGGCTGAACTTATATTTATACACGCATACATACATAATATAATACGCCCCGAACCGGTCTCGATAACACAAAGTGCGCGCGGTGGTCGGTTTTTTTTTTTTGAAATATTGTGTGTATAATATTCAATGTCATCGGGAACCGTATTATTTTTACTGTTTCGCGCTCGCGTATAACGCGTAATTCTTTAGTTGTGCGGCTGTGCCCACGTTGCCGCGATGTCGATTAATATTTTCCCGTACCTATTATTATTCGTGCACTTATTATGTAATAATAATAATAAAGCAAGAAAATTCGGTTATTGACTCGTAATCACTTATATACTCTATAATATTATCCTACACGTATTTATCCGTGAAATTGTGTACGTTGTAATTGTATATTTTTCGTTCATTCTGTACTGTTGGTTTTAACATTAGGGTGTATTTGCCGATTATCGAACCTGAACTTAAGAACATTGTCTATGTATTTTCGTCAGTTTTTTCCGATGTTTTGACTTTTAAGCGAAACACGATGATTTTAGATTTTGAACGGAGCGAGCAATGTATTGGTTTTACAGTGATGTTTATTATCATTTTTTTTCTACGAACAACTTTTCTACCAGAAAATTTGTTCAGATTTTCACGTTTTTCTGAAAGGGAATTTGACTAGGGTGATACTCAAGAGAGGTGATTTTTTATTTTCCCAGAGGTTTTCCTAATAATTGGGAAACGTATTACTTTCTAATCGTAAATATAACGGCCTTTCAAAACATGTAAGACCAAACTCCGTCCGGAATTGTTTTTCGTTAGCGATGGTCAATTGTTGCGTACAGATATACAAATATATATTAAATATTTATAATGAATTTCCCCTCTACCTTCCCAACTTCTAACCTACAACATTGGCCCATCCATCGTGCGAAGTATGTCCGTTTGTTTTTTAAAATGTAATATATCACATATTCGTAACTCGCCGGAAAATTAAAATATCGAGAAAAATTTAACGTATACAAATTTAAACAATGTTCTAATCTTTAGGTGTGTTGAGAGACACCCTAATGTTAAAACTAACAGTACAAAATTAACGAAAAGTCTAAAATACTAAAATATAACGGTTTTTCATGAATTGGGCAATTTCACCGGCAGGATGTAACATATATACAATATATACAGAGGTATCCTAATGGAGAGGACGATGGGAATGATCGCCTCCCCCTCCCCAGAGAGAAGTAAACTTTAACTGGCATTTGACATAATCACATTGGTTCAGAAGTATAATTTGACATAATTTTTTTTCTTATCAATCATTAATATTAAATTTAATTATTTCGCCCCCCCCCCATATCCAAGGTTTGAAGACGCCCTGAATATATACTTGACGTACAATACACAGTACAACGAAATTTGCATTCGACAAAATCGATTACGCGCTTATTAGTATCAACAAGAATTGTCCGATATATTTATCTGTGTGTTTGTATGTCGTATTTGTCATTTTAAGCGTGATATCCGTGATAAGCGTGTTATTTCACGCACTCACTCTCGCTTCTCGCTTAAAAATTTAAAAAACCAACCAACAATTCACAGATGATAATATGTTTTAATCTTTAAATTTTAATAATAGGTCGATTCACTCTATATAAATATTATTAAAAGTAACCGCACAAATTCGGTAGTGTTGAGCGCAAATCTACTTTGTCGCCCGTTATTACAAATCGCTTGAAGATTCCTATTTCTTTGAGGTCCTTGTTATCGGTGTTACCACTACAGGAACGAGGAATGATAACGAATTTCTATACAAAAGAAACTTCCCCGATACTGATATTTTTTTAATAGATAGATAAATTTATCCCGCGAAAACCGGTAAAATATAATATCATATGCCAATTTTTAACGTGTTTATTAGGATATCCGTTTAGTGAAGACAACACCGCGGATACCAGGACGACGAGGACGAAACGACAGAATTCGTGGACGACGGTTTCGGGTCCGTGTCTGACGAGCAGAGGCACCCTCGGCAAGTGCACGAGCTTCCGGTCGTGCTATCCATACATCAAACTACCGGACTTTCAGTTCTGGGACCCGTGGGTGATCGGCATGTACGACACGTGCACGTTCACGAGTGCTGACCACAAACAAGTGATTATATACGAGTATTTTTATAACATACGCGGCGTTGCTGTTGTACGTGTACGACGAATATAATTTATAAAAACTAACCTGACCTGACCCGACTGCGTATAACACCGCCCTATACTAGAATGTCTTGATAAAGCCGTCTCTGTCAAAGCGCTCTATCCTATACTTGTGTGCCGTTTAGATGTTCGGCGTGTGCTGCGATCACCCGAGCGTCGTGGGCACGGACGAGAGTCATAAAGAAGAAGGAATAAGACCTCCACCGCCGCCGACCATGGTGGTGCCGCCGAACTGGCCGCCGCCATTGCCCACCCATCCCCCGGATCACACCATACCGCCGATTCCAACGCATCCGCCGTCACCGTCACCGCCGCAGCCTCCGACGTCACCACCTCTGAAACCTCCGATGAAACCGCCGACGATACCACCGTGGCCGCCACAGGTACCTGCCAATACCAGCCCACCATACAAACCACCTACCACCACAACCACTACCACTACTACCCCATCCTATAAACCGCCTACTACTACCACCACGCCGTCTTCTGTGGACAGCGAAGACGGAGTTCACGATTATCAATGCGGCCTGAAGAACGGACCCCAGGACCAAGAGAGGATCGTCGGTGGCCAAAACGCGGACCCCGGAGAATGGCCATGGATTGTAAGTCTAATATAGTATAACAAAATCATTATTCGTAAATTAAGTCGATGCACACAAATATGAACCTGTTGTGGCACAAACAAGACAATGTATATGGTTAGCAACTAATTATACCGTTACTCTTGAATTTCGGAATGAATATATACCGTAGATATGGTATAATTTTGTTTTATTAATCACGGCGTAAATTAATCTGGTTAGACGGAGATTGGGGGGGGGAGCTAGGGACTAGTTTAGCCCCCAAAATCATCCATAGCCCCTCTCTAGGATCCAATCAAATCTCCGTCTATGAATTGTTAGTTGTAAGTTTTCGTGGATCGAAAGTCAATTGACGAACGGTAATTATCTATTTAACTTTTAGTAATGGGTTACATATATTATTGTTTTTATTCACTAGACATTTTATGAAACGAGGTCGAACCGAATTAATTGCTGTATCTATACAAATCTGGTAGTCACATTAATGTCTTAATTATTAGGAATAGAGATCGTCTATAATATGATGTATATATACATATATTATATTGAAGTATTTACTTCAGACACAATTATACGATGAATTTGGTTTCGCATTGTAATCTGGTCTTTTATTTGAGACTTTGTCGTATTGTCTCGGTAGCCGTCGTGCATTAGATCGCCACCTATATAATTTAATAATTATGATTTATATGTACACGCAGTTTGTCGTTAATTCAAAAATAGGACAACAATGGTCAGTAGTTTCGTGTCCAATAGTATCTATATTGTATTTTAATAAATACTGTTCTCAATGGCGAGTTACATAATATTGTTATTGTTTTTATAGGTAGCGATTTTCAACGCAGGCAGACATTTTTGCGGAGGCTCTTTAATCGACGACACTCACGTGTTGACGGCCGCCCACTGCGTTGCTCAGTAAGTTTTATAATAATATAATTATTATAATAAATTATGAATTGAATATCGCTATTGATTTACGTGTTTTAATCGACTCGATATTTTTTTAAAACGTGCAGCATGAGTTCGTGGGACGTAGCTCGTTTGACTGCGAATCTCGGGGACTACAATATCAAAAGCAAATCCGACGTAAAACATTTGGAGCGAAAAATCAAAAGAGTGGTCCGGCACAAAGGTTTCGATCAAAGAACTCTGGTCAGTGAACAACATTATTATTATTTCTTTAAAAAAATATAGCACTGAACTATGTACACGGTTTGGTTATTACATATCAGATATTTAAATGTTTTAAAATCGTTTTTTACAGTACAACGATATCGCTCTCCTAACATTGGACAAACCCGTGAAGTTTACCAAACAAGTACATCCGATATGTTTGCCGACAAGTAGATCGATGTATGCTGGGCAAACGGCTACTGTTATCGGTTGGGGTAGCTTGAGAGAGAGTGAGTTTCAAATGAGAATGATATACGTACGGTATTTTTATTATTGTCTCTAATGTGTAGGCGGTCCACAACCGGCGGTTTTGCAAAAAGTTAACGTACCGGTGTGGACAAACCAAGAATGTAAGTTCAAGTATGGATCTGCAGCTCCGGGCGGTATCGTAGATCATTTCTTGTGTGCCGGTAAAGCAGCCAGAGACTCTTGTAGCGTAAGTAAATCGTGTATACCATTTTGCGTTTTTTATATTAAACAGAGTAATCAACGTAACTAAGACACTTATTATCATAGAAATTATTATTTTTTCGGAATTTTTTAGATCGTTTAAGAAATAAGTAGTTCTAAAATGTTACGTTGCGGTTATCTTTTGTCTCCTTTATTTTAAGGCGTGAAACCACTATCCACTTTTGGTTTTCAAACTATAACCTATATTAAAAATTACATATATCGATGGAATAGTAGTTTAAATAAATTTTGGTGTTGAAATTTCCGATTTTCATCTATCTGTCAGTGAGATATTCCACTTTTAAGTTTCAGCGAGGAGAGAGTGGCGGAATACTGTTAAAACGCCACACACCGTCACACAAACGAAACACCACTAAGTAAAATGTAAAATTTCTCGTAAACGGTTTGACAAAAATTAAACATTTCAATATCAAAACTGATTTTAACTAATATTCCGTCTACTTTTAATATAGGTTGTCATTTGAAAATTGATAGTGTGTACAGTGGTTTCATCCCCTAAAATAAAAGTGAAAAAAAAAAGTAATACCAGGTTTTAGAGCTATCTATTTCTTAAATGTGCTAAGAAAACAAATTCCGAAAAAGCTAATATTTTCCGAGACAATGAGTGTCTTACGTTATGTGGATCACTCTGTATAAGACACCTTTGCAATTATTAAAACATAATCAAAACCATGTTTTTAAACAGGGTGACAGCGGAGGCCCTTTGATGCTTAACGACGGTAAGTGGACCCAGGTAGGTATTGTCAGTTGGGGAATAGGTTGCGGTAAAGGTCAGTATCCCGGAGTATACACCAGAGTAACGAGTTTCATGAATTGGATAACGAAGAACTTAAAAACATAAATTTATATTATATTATTATAATGATATTATAGTATACCGTTTAAAGTACCTTGGTAAATTATATTTTTATTTTCTGTATATATTTAATTAATATTAATTATTATTTATAATCTTATATTCTTTTCACTTTTTGTATTGTTTTAAATTTATTTTATTTTCTATTTAAATTGATGATACGATATAAATAAAATATTGTGATAAATGTGATCAATGATTTGTCATAACATCTTTAATTACAAATCCTTTTTCGGAATCTAGAATTATCGTATCGCCTAAAATCAAAATAAGATGATGACGTCATTTCAAATCCCAAAGTATCAATCGTTTTTTAAATTTTTTTCTTACCCGTTTTGAAATGTTTTTTGGCGTTTCGCACTCCGACAAGACAAGGTAATCCGTATTCTCTGGCGACAACGGCCCCTATATACATTCGTGATAATACCTATACGTTAATCAATATTGCGTGGATTCGTAATTAAAAAAAAAAAATTAACAGATGTATAATTATTATATACAGTTATTAATTTTTTTTATATATATATACGTGTATACCGCATACCGTGTGATATTATACCACCGATTTCCGTGACCAATCCGGAAATAATCGGAAAATACGGCGACCATGCTATATCGATGGATTTCACGATCAAAATGTCTCCCGCCCGCAAGCAATGCGCATCTTCGATGTGCTCCAATACACACGCTCGGTTTTTTACCCGACCAGGAAACACGCAACAACCGTTTAATTGTATCGAACTGTTAATCGATTCCTGTATATTATATACATATATAATACACATTATGGATGCGAAATGCAATTGAATAGTATTATTAATCGTGGCGCGTTAAATTAAAATAGATAGACGGAAAAAATCAACCTACCACGTCCGTGTAGTTTGTAATAGGAACCGGTGGCCCACAACATACGTCGTCGAATTGCAACGAGCCCAATGTAGGCCATAATTTTCGTCTTTTCGTCGCTCTAAAACCAAACGAATTCTGAATGTATTACCAATTATACGTACAAACATTTTTAACGTGCAAATTTCGTTAGACTTTATTATTATTATTATAACCCAACGATATAAAGAACACTTATACGAGTACATATGTGAGAGGGTTAAAGCCATAGTAATGTAAGTCACGTTTTCGTTAAAATTTATTTAAATACTTTACACATTTCTTGAAAGTTCAATTGTTCGATAAGCAAAGTGAATTAAGTCATAATTCATAACTAACAATCATTTCACCTAGATGCCAGCACAATATTTGTACAGAACGAACAGGTAGTTTTGTTAACTTCAAAATTAATGTAACTTACACCGCCTAACCGCTTCAACCCCCTCATATATACACAACCATTTTACTCACTTGTGTACAATTTCGGGATAGTTTTGATCGCAAATATTTCTTACTTCGTACTGAGACATGAAGAATATCAATTTCGAATCTGGTATTTTTCCATTTTCCACCAGTTTATCGCCGAGTTTTAGATATCCCAATCTCAGTTTCTGGGTAATCTGTACCAACATATCTTTTGATTGTTCTCTGTATGAAATACTTTGACGGTATCTCTTTAACAAGTAATCGAATAACATTCTAATGAAAAACACACAGTTCGTTTCATCAATAATACTTGACTAAGTATACAAAATTATCGTGAAGTAGTATAATTATTACTTCTTGATATATCCTCTGTTATCAACTTCGCTGGAATCGCTGTCTGTTGGTTTTTCGGGGGATTGACGACGATCAGATAATATTAACGATTGAAGGCACGAGAATAACCGAGTAGGATCAGATGACCATGTTTCAGAACCAAAATCTAACTAAAATTGAAAAAAACACCGAATAGATAAGTTTAAAAAAAAAAATTGTAGTTACCGTATTTGAAAACTATTAAGTAAGTGACATTTTTTTTTGTACCTAAACTAATCTCAGAAAAAATAAATCTGTTTAATATTCACCAGTCATATACAAATTCAGTTCACGGGTTTCTTGTTCGTCTCTCAATTCGATTCCCCCCAAATATTTTAACTTTCTTTTTTCTCCTATTGTAATATATCTCTATTCAATTCATACATTAAATTTCTTAAAACCTTTTTTTTTTTTAATGCAATTCTCTTCAAATCCATAATTTTTTAAATTTAACTATAAGTTTAATAATATATTTTTTTAAGTACATACAAAAATGTACTATCCAATTTTCCTAATTCATATTGTTAAATGCCACTATCATCGTACCTATGTAACTATATTATAGGATTGTTATCACTAATCATTAATCAACAATGTTTATTAAACATAAAAAAATACAAATACAAATAACTATATTATTTTATTAATAACAAATAACAATTAAAAATTAGTAGCCTATAGATAATATAGGTACCTACGCCTAGTAGAAGATATTCTACTATCTTACTTAAGAATAAATAATAGATCAAACCTCTTGAACGCCACGGTGTCCATATTTATTAAGAAAATCCTCCACTTGACCGTAGGCTTTTTGACAATTATATTTCAACCAATCATAACAATTCTCTACAGGTAAATCGCAAAATTCTTTTTTGGTAGGCATTTCAGATATAACACTAGTAATGGCCTAAAATAATAGGTATTTAAGTATTAATATATTATTTTTAGACTATTAATTGAAAAAACATTATTATCAATTCTTACCTGTATATCGTTGAGTATCGAAACGTTTATTATGTCCGGTGTATGTACCGAGGAAGCTAAATCCGATAAAGTTTCTATTTTTGAGTCTGAAAATTTGAAACATCAATATGGTTTGCATGATTTAGTTTTATACGTTTGAACTTTTGAAATTACCTTTATTAAAACCAATTCCTAATGTCGCCAATAGAGTATGTGATACAATGTTGTTTGAACTCGATGCCATGTGACAAAATGTGACCTATAAATATGGTATTAAAATACAAATGTCATGGAACTTATAACATACTGTAACATTAAGTAAACGTACACACTTAAGTCGGGCCGGATCTAGGAGAGGGGGTGGACCGGGCCCTTCCCCGGAAGTCTTGGTCAGGAGGCGCTAAATTACCAAATAGTAATTGGATATATTAACAGTTTTTATTCATTCATAGAAACGTTTTTTGGAATCATACAAAAATTATTTAATTTTTTTTTTTGTAGTTCTATCTAAAACTGGGATATTTTAATGGATAACCTTCATTTATATTTAAAGGGTTACAGTACTACAAGATGGTCTTCAAATCAGAAATCAATCAAAGCATTAAACTTACAATTGTTTTATGTCATTAAAGTGTTTGTTTTATTAAATCGAAAAGCATTATCTGCTGAATTTAACGTTGATGCTAAAAACTTGATAAAAGCAATAAATACATTTTCATTTATATGTCTGTTAATCGCGTTGGACAAAATTCTTAGTACAATAATTGACATAAACATAATATCAAAAACTTAAAAAATAACGATTGATACTGGAAAAATCTAAAAATTACATCCCTAAAGTACCATCCCAGTCAGATTTCTTTTCAGAAAAAATGCTATCATTGTAAATCGGAGGAAAATTTCTGGTAAAAAAGTTGTTCACAGATAAAAAAAAAATAATAATAAACAAACCAATACATTCCTTGTTCCACTCAGAACCTAAAATGGGCACCAATTTTATATTTTCCCTCGGGTAAAAAAATGTTAAATCCGACCCTGCACATAAGTAGGTAATTTATTATTTCCAATATGTGTTAAAGAATATATTTTAAATTTATTGAAGACCTTTTCCAACACGTCCACGGCTCCGTCGATTTTGTTTAAAAGATCCAACACCGAATCTGACTGGTTCAAATTTACTCCGCAAATCAACCGATGTATTTCCACTAAACGTGATTCGAGGTATAATATTTCCTGAAGCACGTTTGTATAATCATTACAATTTACGATGCATGTTTATTTACTAATTTAAACGGATAGGTACCTTAAACGTAGAAATAGATTTCAAAAATTTTTTCAATGCAGAACTGCGATTTTTCAATAATATTTTCTCCCAAATGTCACTCGTCAAGAAAGATTTACCAGCAATCGAGTACTCGATTATATTCACGTACACGCTGCTAGGTTCTAAATCTTGAAACATCTTTAATATAGATATAATATACATATTAATAAACAAATCAACGTTATAATTAATTTTTTCAAAGACACTACTGAAATATTGTCAATCCATCAAATACCCCGAGTAATATCCTACCTGGCAAACGTTTAAACACAAGTTGTAATGAGTGTAACACAACTGTTTGCTGCGGTAGATATCAGTGGGCTCTCCTTCGATAATTTTGAACAACGGGTACGCCGAAAAAAAATCCAAAGTTAACGACAACGGGTGTACGGGATTTGGATAGACTTCTCTGAAATTCGACATAAACATTATCATCAAATTACTTAGCAATGAATGCTCGCGATCATATAGGTATATTGTTCAGTCTAACTTCACGTTGTAAAACATCGCTACATCATCGTCCATAAACGGCGTATCGAATTCTCGCGCGATTTCGTCATTATTCCAAGCGAATATAGATGTGATCGGTCTCGACTGGAGTAAGTAAATTCGATCCTGTTAATATACAAACAAATCATAAGTAATTTAAAAAAAACTTTTTTTTAAATAATAAAAACAACGCAACAATAACAAAAAACCTACTTCGTCAGCCGCCCATTCTATGTCTTGCGGTGATCCGAACACGTCTTCCACTTGGACACACAACTTGGCCAAATTTTTCATCAAATCGTCCGAAGTTCTTAACCGCGCATTGCACTCGTCGTTTTTTACACCGAAACCTGCAGATGTTCGAAATAGTTCGAATTAACTCGGTATATATTGTATACAGGGTGTCCTGGAGAAAAATGTGACACGTTTTTTTGGAACTCTCTTACTGAGTTACCAAATAAGGGGTCACTCGATTTTTTTTAAAAATAACCATTATCACTGCTATTTTTGGCTTATTGTATCCAAAACCGTAATTTTGGTATGATACATGCATTTGTATGTACATTAGTCATGGATTCCGATTGGAATCAATTATATTTTATTTAAGCTCTAATTTAATGATTCCATCAGAAAAATACGACTAATTTGAATGTAAAAACATAATTTTTCTCAAATCCAGTTGTTTTTATTCAATTTGATTATTATTATTATTAGCTACAAACAAATTATTTGAGTAACTGTTCAACATGACCTCTGTAAACTTCAATACATTTAAGGAGTCGTTGATGGAATGACTTCCGTTCTCCAAACAGTTTATGATCAAGAAATTGCCTATACGGAACAGCTCAACGAGCGTATAACTAATGTATCAAAAAAAATAATACGAACTCAGAAAATATTTGGAGGTCATTCTATCAACACCTTCTTAAATGCATTTAAATTAACGGACGTAATGTAGTTGAATAGTTACTCATATAATTTGTTTGTAGCTAATAATAATAATATAATTCAATAAAAACAACTGAATTTAAATATTTATTATGATTTTACAATCAAATTAGTTGTATTTTTCTAATAGGATCATTAAATAATAAATTAGCACTTAAATAAAAAATAATATATTCTATCAAAATCTCTGACAAGTGAACCTATAAATTCTTATGTCGCACCAAAATTACTATTTTGGACATGTTTGCAAACATAGCGGTGATAATGAATATTTTTGGAAAAAATCATGTGACCCAATATTTTTTAAGAGAATTTTCCAAGAAATTCACTGGCGTAGCTTATTTTTATTTTATATGGATACAATTAAAACCAATAAAACCAAAGTTTTGACATTATAAAAAAAAAATCCTATAAAACCTATTCTTATGGTCACACATAAAGTACCACTCCGTAGAGTTAGCCGTTCTTTTCTGGAACACCCTGTATAACGGAATATGTAACGCGATTGAATGCATCATTTGTGTTTACTCTGCGTCGTGATCAAGTCTCCGATGTTTGTAACGATGGAATCATCGTCGACCGTTGCCAACAGTTGTTGCCTTGACATCACCACCGTGTCCGCTTCGACCGATCCCGAAACGACACCCTGTATAACAACACTACAATATGCCGAACTCACCGTACCTCGTCTATATGGAAAACCGGTCGCGATCACAGGTAAGTGGAAACATATTATGACTTACTTCACCAGGGCCGTGGGTCGCTGCTATGGTAATTTTCTCGGGATCCCCGGTGTTCGGGTCCCTAGTGAAAGCAACGCCGGCAACTTGGCCGTTCACTTGGACCTGTACGACAACGGCCATGTCGCCCATCAAAGGTTGTCCGTTGTTCCTGAATGGACAAGTGAACAACAACAACAATATTACTGATGTAAAAGCGCATTATATTTTCGAGGTGAATCGATAGCGGGTCGTCCAGACTATTCGGCCAAGGCACACGAACATCAACATTATCAAATTTGCTGATTCGATTTGGATGCGTTGGCACGTTGTTCAAACTATACCCGAACTCTATGTAATTAGTCCATCGGAATAAAAAAAAATTATACGGTAACTAACAAAACCAGTTTAGAAAAGACAAGTCTTAGTAAAATAAATAACTTCTTTGGTACGCTCAGAATTTAAAACACTGCAGATCTTACGGGGGGCGGGGGGCACAAACGACTTTTTTCTAACACATTATACGCCCCCCTTCTCTCGCCTAGAAGGAAATTATAACCACGCCACTGCAGGGCCGTATAGCCTAGACGACGAAGCTTTAAACGTACCTTCGATATGTTAGAGCCCGTGCTGAAAAGTTCGACGACCAACATTCCAAAATCGCTGCTGTCACTTCGTCCAAACGGCCGGCACAGCCGAGCTTGGTAACGTACTGGCCGGCTGATGATGTCGATTCTCCGTCTTCAAAAGTTCCGGACGATCGGACGGCGTACACGCCACCGGGTTTGAGAACGCCGTTATTCGAAAGCGCTGCCAACAGTCGGGCGTCTATTTTCGACGATAACCACCGATTTTTCAGTCTGCAATTGAACCACCGAGTGAAAAAAGGATAATATCCCAAAAATTACGAAAAATAAACCGAAACAGCTAGTTTGTAGCTGAAAGATTATATTAGTTTGTACTAATATAATGAGCGTAAAAAGATAGTATTCCATTTTCAACAAGTTTAAATATTGAGTGTACGTTGTACAGACGAGTATTTTATTGAAATAAAATCTAAGGAAATAAACTGTTTATTTTTTTTTTTAATTTCCCTAAAGCTGGGTGTTTAAGAATATTATTATTTTTTCACTCGGCTGTTCAATTGATATTGCGCGTACAAATTTACGACGGACGATTTCTTGTACATAAATCGAAAATAAAATATATTCTGTTCTTATTATTGTATAATACCGTTCACAATAATCCGACAACTTTCCGAAATCGTTCTTCTTCGCTATTTCGATAGCGCCGTATAAATCGTTCAACAAATTTTCATTTTCGTTTATATGATTTTTCAGTGCGAACGCCGTAACGCAAATGCCGTTCGGAACGACAGCCTTTTTTCCAAAAAATAAAATATAAAATTATAATACTTAATGAATGGTGAAAATTTTATAATTTATGTGTAACGTAATAAGACGTATAATATGTAGCACATCAGGTACCTATACTAATAAGTTATATAGGTACCTATAGTTTATTCACTACGAAACTAACCTGTTTAATCAGACCCTCGGAAATGGCTTTTTTCAACAAATGCAAGGACTTGGCTTTGTTTCCTACTATATCACTACGCTTGCATACTTCAGAATCTAAATTCACGATCGAATTGAAATCGGCGTCGATCTTCGCGGACATTTGTCCGAATTTCGGTTTTACGTTGTTTTTCTGCGGTTCTCTAGTACATTACATTTGCAACAACAAAACGTAATCAGTATTAAATACCTATACTATAATTAACAATTCCCGATATTTCCGTAAATTATACTGTTCCGAAACTTATGAATATACAGTAAAGTTTAGTTACGGGTTACAAGTTATTATACCAACAATAAAATTAAGATTATATCCGATACCCGCATTTACTGTCTCAATCTAACCAACGAGCGACAGAGCGAAATTACGTTACTTATACAACATCAATATTGTGGCGTTCAAGTTGAAATTATTCGAATTTATTGTTTTAACACAGATATCAACAGGAAAGCTGTATTTCCGAAAGCTGTAAATAAATTACAAACTAAACGCAATTTATGTTTTATGTACCGTAATTTTGGCGGGCGTGTGGTAAGACGGAGACAGCGCAACATGCGAACAGGGCCGTGCCTAGGGGGGCTCGAGAAATGACCACAGGGGCGCAAATAAAATTTTTAAAAAGTTCTGTAATTGAATATTTGTCATTAACAAACGTATATGAGTGAACGAACAGGTTTAATTTTTTTTTTTTTTGCTCATTCATCGGTAAATTTTTCTAACGCCTTGTGCTAGGTACGGCACTGCATGCAGATATATTACAATATATTTTTAATAAGACAATAATAAACATTATTCTCAAATATACAAATAAAATTATTGAAATGTACCAAAAGTCGTTTTAATAATGGCATTACTATATAATATAAGCGTTTTCGTTAAAGAATACAATTTTACCTGAAGCACAAAAGAATTCCGCGAAAGTCGTCTCCGAAAACCGTTTTGATTGATAATATGCCATTTAGCACGACCGGCAGCGATCGATTTTTTACATTTGTATTTAAATCGAAATTAATACCTATGCATCATAACAGTAGTAACAGTTGGTAGGTATATAAAATTTATATTTTAGCTTAAAAATATACATTAAAAAAAAAACAAAAAAACGTAAAATTATTTGTACTATAATAATATATGTTTACTTCGACGTTGTATAGAAATAATCGGATTGTCGTTTTCTGCGCGTGAGAAATCTATATCGCTGTCCGTCAGTATTTCGTGTTCCGAACTCGTTTTTAAATGACCGCGACAGTATATTCTATAGGTAATTCACTAATTACAAAACCGTTAATGTTGTTCCAATATCTTTACAAAATAATGGCGTATTTAAGGGGAGGATGGGAAATTAGGTAGATAGATAACTTTTTTTTAGTATTATTCGTCTTCCCCTTCGCCTTCGTCCCAACTATATTTTGAATCGGACAAACTCGTGCTAAACTTCCCCTTGACTAGATCCACCACATCGTCCTCGCATACACCGGTTGTCCTCGTATTATTATCAATCGTGTCCTACCATCTATGTTTCGGTCTTCGTCTTCCTATATTTCCGACAACGTATATTTTCATTACAATAATTCTCACTGTTTCTGATTCCTCCTTTCTCCTAGTGACATACACAAGTCATCTCAGATTCTTTATTTTCTCTAATTTTGTACACTATTGAAGTCACACTTTTTTTTAGTGCCTATACCTATTTATTATTAATCAATTATTTATACATATATGAAAACCTATGTCATATTCTGAACGGAGCGAGGCATGTATTCAATTTAAATTCAAATTTCTTAACTTTTTTGTCAGAGAAATTAAAAATGTGTTAGTATAATTCTTTGGCTTGGGTCAAAAAAGCCAATCTCATTTTTAATCAATTTCGAGAAATTAAAAATAAAACATATTTTTAGGCCTTTTTAATATTGCAATAATCATTTTTCTAACAACATTGGTCTTCTCTTTTTTTGATTTTCTAAGCGGTTTTCATGATACAAAAAACGTAGGAAAAATGGAAAAATGTACGTGCATGTATAAAAGGAACTTTGCTTCGAATTGTTTTTCGTTAATAACGGTTTATCTATGCGTACAAATATAAATACAATTCCCTTCTATATCCTAAAGGTACATTTCCAACTTCTCACTGCTGAGGCATTACTTCCGATGTATATCGATACATCGGAAGTATAGATACCTATAATGTACTTACAACGATCTTAATTTCTTTTTCTTTTTTTTTACTTAGGTATTTAAGCACAATTATATTTCCAAATTCGACATCTTTCTGTCTCACTCTCTCTCTCTCTCCTCGATAAAATCATAAATACGCCACTGTTATACACTATCAACATAATTAATAATTATATACAATCTGTCCAATTTCTGTACTGAACAAACACTACAGCTGTCTGTAATTCCGAAAAATACAGTATCGTCTGTTGACATGTTCCAACGTCTTAACTTTATTGCACGAGTGTTGATCGTCGTTTCCGTTTTACCGTCCACAACTACCACACCGGAAATCCGACCGAACTGATCGAATCCTAATAAATGTCGAGTACTGAAATTATATAAATTAAAATTCGAAACATAAAATGAACCTGTATGTATAGTGTATACACATTTCAACAAATTAAAAGCAAATAATACTATATTTTTTACATGTTTTCGTCGACGTCGTCGATTTCGTTTTTGAAGAACATATTATTTTTATCGCAGTACACCGGAAATCCAAACGGTTTCCACCTAATAATAATACAAATTAAATCAACGATTAATATTCATTTTCAACATGTTTAGATTTACCTACTTATTTATAGGGTTGTGAGTAATTAATGTATAAACCTTTTAAAAAAAAGCATTTAGTTCACAACAAAATAATCGCAACTTAAAAAAAAATAACGCCCTTGAGCAACATATTGCGTTATATTAGGTATATTATTATATTAGTGTCAAGGATGTGCCTTTTGAGGGGTTTCAACTGTCAACCCCTGCCCCTATCATATATTTTAGAAGGTTGTACAGACGTACAGCACTTACAGTATTGAAATTGACAGTATTGTAATATTTTAGTATTCGATTATTTATTGTTTTACAAAGAATATTTTTATAATAAAAAAAAATCGGAGGATTTTACTCAAGCAACGAAACTCTGTTGTACACAGGTGTTCTTTTAAGTTGTGATTGTTTTTTTTTAAAGGTCTTTTAGTGAATTAAATACAGAGTCGGTTAATTGCATTCTAAAAAAAAGTCATAATTATATACTTTGTAAATTGCGACACAGGTATATTTTATACATACGTAAATTACGTAAGACTTTTTTTAAAAAATCAATACCTATTTTCCTTCCCATTTTTCAGACTTAGGACTGGCAATATAATTGTATTAATATTTTAGCAATTTGTGAAAGCAAAATTTAAATCCATCAACCATATTCAACGTTTTATTCCTTTTAGGCTTTCGCTTTTCATGACGTTTATTTATATTCAATTGAAAAAAAAAATACATTATCTCATAAATTGTTACCAGTTTCTTAATTACAAATTTTGAATAATACACATTTTTACTTGTGCTTTTTTAATCATAGCAATTTTTACCCGATATACTTTATTACTAATTGTTAATAATACATTTTCAATTATAAACAAAAAACAGAAAAACAAATATTTTTAACCATACCAATATTAAATAATACAGAATTATATTGCCAGTCCTAGGTCTAAAAAATTGGAAGGAAAATATTGATTTTGCAAAAGAAGTCGTAGACGTAATAAATTTACGTATGAATAAAAAATATTTAACCATAAAATATACAAAATATAACCAGACAATAATTTACTTACGTATAAAATATATCCGTGCCCTAATTTCCACAAAAATTTAAAAATGTGGATCAATTTACAGCGACCCATTAAATGCACACCTCTACAGTTATTTGTAAATATAGCAGATTTAAAAGAAAATTGTCTTCGTAACATTTTTTAATTTTTCGACCGATTTTTTTTTTTGCGGGTACTACGTGTGTGGGGAGTTCCATGTAAGTATATAACACTGCAATTTAAACTTTACTCCAAATACGTATATTTTTAAATAGTTATTGTTTTAATAGCTCAACTATCGAAAGTAGGTACGTTCCTACATGTTTTTTTTATTTGTAAACCAAAAATACCTATCTATTAAGTATACCTATTAAATAAATATACGTAAGTATTGTTGGAATTATTTTACGTAATAATTTCAATATTTTTTTTATGACAATCACAAGTAATAGCAAATTGGTGAACTAAAAATAAAAATTCGCTAGTAAATACCTATTACACGTATATCGAGTAGAAAAAAAAAATGTTTAATAAAGATAAGTATAATAATATTACCATTATATTATAATGGTTTACGCAAATAAATTATGATTCGAACGATATAATAACACTTGTAGAGCGTCACTCCTATAGAATTATGATAGGCGCCATTACCTGTCTAGATATTTATATTTTTATGACGAGCGTAGGTAATTTATAATGTGTCATTTGAATTAATACAATTTTTACAGCTAAACTATTATTAATTTGTATATGTACATTTTCTTTATAAACAGTCAATATAACAGCATGAATCCCATGAAGCGGTCGAGTCATGACAAAATTACTAATTATAGGTGGGTATGCGTATGTGCGACACTTTATATCATTAGATGTGATAAAAACAAATTAGAAAAAATAAAGTACAAGAACGTCTTATATCTTTATCTAAAAAACAAAACTCCACGCCGCTCCGTCATAGTAGATACCCTATCCGCAACATAACTTACTATCTACTTATGTCTAACAATTTGCGAATCTTACTCACCTATATATTTCAAATTTTAAATATTCGAGTTTACCTATTGTTTTCCTTACATACAAATATTTGTTAATAAATAAGTAACTTACAACAAATGTATTTTCACATGATGATTATTTCCGCGGTTACTATAATACGCAAAAACAAAACAGAATAGACATTAAAATAATTGATACTGCACGTAGGAATATATAATTTTGATTATTTATTTTTGACGAGCTCTTTCTAACCTCATACGACCACTGAAGACAATTCTCCACGTTTGCATGGGCACTATACACTGGAATTGTAGACTAGAAGTTTTCCAACTCGAAAACTCGTAAAATCCATTATTAGATTCTACAAAAAAAAAAAAAAAAAATTACCTAAGAAATAATATTGGTGGGTTCCTACCTATTTGTTTACTATAACTTTATAATAGCTGTGGTATTCAAATTTTACCTTTGTTGGTGAACTCGAGTCCGTTATGATCCCGAATGTATATTAAAGAATTTGACTGTTTAAAATTATGATTTTGATTAATGCATAATAAAACCATGTTTCCGATTTTGTCAGTACCGAAAAACACAATTAAATCTTGAAATTGCTAAAGCGAAAAACAAACAATTTTTGAAAATTTGTTTTTATTTCTCATACTTTCATGTATATAAATTGGTAGGTCTTACGTTCTTTCTTTCTCGGTCTAATAAAACGTCAGAATCTGTTGGCGCGCAAAAACATAATCTCTGTCGAAAATTATCCATGTTTAGAAAACTTTTTTCGGCCAGAATATTGACAGCCAAATATTATAATGCGTCTGGTTACCTTAAAAATATCAACTCATCGACAACGATACCAATAAATTGTAAGAGTTAAATGATCCAAAATATAAATCTCCCATTAAATTCAATGTACAAGGGCCTGGTTATCCAAAATAAGAGCCAAGTTCACAATATTTGTACCTATAACCTTAGTACTTACCTAGTAACAATAACCTATACGATGTAGCAATTTATTTAGGTATATATTGACATATTGTTAATTGAAATCAATATATCCTATGTTTACATAGAGTGCTCAAATTGAGAAAATTAAAGTAGGGGAGTTCTACGAATTAGCGATTTAGAATCGTGGGGACTAATAAACGAAGTTATCAGTCAAAGTTCCACTTCAATTCCAATTCATAATAAGACACTTATATTAGAACAGTACCTAACCGTTATGACCGTGGCCATTTATCAATTCACGAATTTCGACGCTTGTTATCAAAATCTTGATAAACTACCATAAAAAAATAAATAAAATGGTTGCGGATAAATGCATAAGATTAAAAAAGATTTCGATTTTTTTTTATGAAACCACGATAAATTTAAAATAACTTTAAAAAAATGTTGTGTTGATGTTAGCTTATAGCTGTTTATGTTTGAAACTTTTTTTTTTTTCAAGTGATAAAGTAGTTTATGTGACTGTTTTATAGTAAACAAATTTTTATTATTATTAACCTTTATAGGTAATGTATATTGTATACTATTTGTCATATTCGTATTCATATGCAGTTTATCAGTCTTACTGGTCGAGTAAGGTTGTATATGATTAAACATTGAACCGTGTCGTATACAATGATTCAATTTAACGATAAGTGCGTGTTTACGATTATATAAATATGGACTGTCGGAAATGATAATAATCAACATTTAAAACAGTATTAATTAATTAAGTTATACGTAATTGTAATATCAATTTAAATGTTTTGATGTAAATAAAAATATTATATCGTTACTCAGGCAGGTAGGTAAATACTTAAGATCGAATAGGGTTAAGTATAATACTCAGAAAATAAAAATATCTGCATAGAGACAAATAACTAAACAGTTTTATTAAATAATATACATTTGGATTCATATTTATCGAATAGATATATTGATAAAAAAATAAATATTGATTTTCGGTAAAAAGACACCAAGATGTTAGGTACATAGTATGGAATAGTTACTTACGTTTATTCCTCAAAGTTTAAAACTGTACAAAATTCAAGTGGTTAGCGTACCTATAAATGTATTATATTAATAAAGTTCGAAAGAATATAATAATGTTGAACATTTGTCTGTATAAAATAATTATTAATTAAAACGCGATGACGAACTGTTATGCAAATTACAAGATTCCAAAATAATATACGTTATAAATGTACATATTAATTATTGAAACATAGTGATCACAATAAATCATAGCAGGTATCATATTGTGTTGTTTAATAACAATTTCATCAAAAAACAACCGAAGAACGCAATGTGTTTAGTGTTCGTTTTACTGTGTTTGGATAAAAACTGATTATTTGGCCGTCATTAGATTATGAACATAACTTCAAGTAGGTACTTGTCTTATTTAAAATATAATGCGACATTACCAGCATAATATTATAAATAATATTATGCTGGTAATGTCTTCGAAAATCAGTTGTCATCTCAAGGACTTTGCGATCAATATTACCGTGCGTGTAAAAAATATTAGATTAATAATATAACATTTTAGTAAGTCAAAATCGAAAATAGCTAAATACTCGACTAACCTTTATTTTTATATTTACATGAAAAATATAAATAGCTGATACAGTGGATTGGTGTGCCACGACTATCATAGGTGGGAATTTGGGATTTGGGAATGTAGGATGTAGATGGGAGTTTAATTTACATCTGTACGCAACGATTAATCATTGTTAAAAAAAAAAACGATTATGAACAGAGTTTGACTATACATGTTTTAAAAATTTTACCACTACTAGAAGAAGCAAATATAAGTTTTCTGACAAAATTGAATGTCTGTGAATATTTGTACCTACTGGAAAAATAAATACCTTCATAATTATTCAGGATCTTAAAATATACTTAATCTTTTTTCAGTTGTATTAAGTTAGTTTACTTCTTCTTTACAATATTTAATTGCAATACAGTGAATATCATTCATATTTATTTTTTAACATTTTATCGGTCTTGCCCCGATACCGATACCGGAGCAATATCTGTTTGTAATGGGGCAATGCATATTATGGCAGGTACCTAACCTAACCTAAAATAGATATCAACGATTAGGTACGCATTATAAAAACCAATAAACAATCGGTATTGCCCCAAAGTACAATTTTTACAAAATCGTTGATTACTTATACAATATTATTAAATAAAATTAGGTTAATGATTGCAAAACAATCTTTACAAGTTGCAGATTCATACTAAACGTGTATGACAATTTTAGCAAATACTATAGATATCTGAAGTATTTGATTGTAGTCTAGTTCTATTATAGTTTAATCTTGTAAACAAAATATGCAAATATAATAATAATTACCTTCAAAATATTCGTTATCGAATAACAATTAAAAAAAAAACGTTGCAGTTGATGTTAACAGTGATAACAACGGGTGCCGGGTAGTTGTACGAAAATTATGACATTTTTATCAAAATCGTCTACATGTATACCAACGTAACAGAATAAAATATCTGAATTATTTGAAATATTATGAGTATATTATATTCATATACGTAGTGGCCGTAGCCAACAAGTAGGTACGAACTTACCCATTTTTCTCTGAAAATTAACACAATTTTAAAATCACAAAGACGTCCTAGGATAATAGGCAGCAACTGTTAAAGGTAATTTAATGTACAACCTGTACGCAACGATAAACCATTGCTAACGAAAAAACGATTCTGATCAGAGTTCAGTTGATAATGATGCTTTGTCAACAATATTTATATATTATGTCTTATTATAGTAAAATAAAAAAATAGGCTTTTTTTATTTTCTTAAATAATATTTTTTAAATGTTCTACCGATTTTCTTACGTTTCCCATGTTTTTCCCGGTTTTTCACATTTGCTGAGAAAACTCCAAAAAAAATCAAAAATTACCTCTCTAAAGTACCTCCCCAGTCGGATTTCCTTTTACAAAAATTGCTATCAATATAAATTAGAGCAAAACTGCCGATAGAAAAATTGTTCATAGGAGAAAAGGCCGTAATATATTTTAAACTAATACCTATATTTCTTATCCTCTCTACACCGATTTTCTTTCAGAAAAGGTGCTACACTTAAAAATCGGCAAGATTAGCAAGATTTCTAGTAAAAAAGTTGCGCACGAACAAAAATTAATAAACATCTTTGTAAAACGATAAGCTTTTTCACTCTACTCAGAAACTAAAATTTGTATTAGTACTTAAGTATTTCCTATTCAAACATTTATATTATCTTATCTAGTCTACCCAGAAAAATATTTATATTGCTATGTCTCTGTATATACGGATTATGTTATTAAATGCTATTATGCCATTAAAGTAATTTTTTTTTATTATTATTATTAGTGATAGTATTGATACAGTTATAGGTTAAATTAGTTTTTGCGAAAATGTTTTCACATAACTGTGTTTACAAAAAAAAATAAGCAAAAGCTATAATACTAGAATATTTTCCCAAGAAAAACATTTAACAAAGAAACAAACAAATGACTATAAATACAACTAGTTAAAATATTTTGTTAAAATAATTTTAAAAAGTAATTTTACAATAATCTTGTAACTATAATATAAGACAAAATTTATTAATACCTATGTTAAAAAAATTATATATTTTATAATTTATTTAAAAATTTAATATACAGCTTGATATTGTTTAAATCATATGAAATTTATGATAACTAATTTACCCCGCAAAAAACTTAGCTTCAAAAGGTAAATACATTTTAATTTATGTATGGATAGTATCACGATCTTCTTCTAAAACCATAGATAGTATAAATTAAATAAAGTTTTATAACTTATAAGATAATATCATATTGTAATAAGATGAAATCAGTGCAACACATATTTAAAATGTTAAATTATTTTATATTAAAAATTAAAAAGAGCTGATATTGGGGATAGAAGCGGCCACTGTTGCAGGTGAAAAGTTGGGAGGGTAGGATACACAAGGTTATTTCATTTATATCTGTAAGCAACGATAAACCATTCCTTAACGAAAGACGATTCTGAGCGCAGTTCGATAATACATCATTTGAAGTGTCGTAATTTTTTTTATGATTTTCGTTTAAATTTGATTTCAAAACACATTTTTAAAAAAAAATTTCCACCCACATCTAGGTAAGTTCAGTATATGTATTATTACCAAGTTTCAAGTCTCTACGTGTATTTATAACCGAATCACAGCGAAAATTAAAATTCCATAAAAACTCAAAAGTTTCGATGTAGATACCGTAAGAAAGTAAATCAAAAAGGCAACAAAAAAGGTGTTTTATGATTTTTTGATTAAATCATTTTTTCTGGTAAAAAATGTCGTCCGTGTTTTTTTTTTAAAAATAATAAAATCGTGAAATTGTACCTTTTCCTACGTTTTTTCTCACTTAAGTGCTTTTATTTAAAAAATGACCATTCTTATGTATCATGTTAACAACTTAAGCTTTCAGGAAAGTTGCTACACATAAAAATCGGAGCAAGTTAACTAGGAAAATATGTGTCTACAGACCAGAAAAAAGAAATAAACATCATTGTAAAGCCAATAGCTCCCTCTCTACGTTCGCAATCTAAAAATATTATGTTGGTAATGGCTATATTTCAAAATTATTGTACTCTAGGCTCTTATAATTTTCGAACAACTACTAGTCTCCTGACAAAAACATGTTTCATGATAAGGAATGATATAAATCTAAAATTGATAATTTTCATCCGTAGAATAATGCGTTCACTGAGATCTATAGTAAAATACTATAATATCGATATTTGTGAATACGTTATAAACAATATCAGTTTAACCCCGTGTTCCCCTATATCCTTAAGCAACGATAAACCATTGCTAACGAAAAAATGATTCTGAGCAGAGTTCAGTTTATGATGATACTTTGTCAACAATATGTATATGTCATATTATGATAAAATAATTAAATAGGAATTATATACCTATTTTCTTTAATATTATCCCGTTTCTCCTATTTATTTTGAAAACTCTAGGGAATATCAAAAAATAACCTCTATAAAGTATCTCCCAAGTCAGATTTCCTCTAGAAAAATTGCTATCATTATAATTTGGAGTAAAATTAATGGTAGTAAACTTGTCAATAGGAAAATAGAAGGCCGTAATATTTTTAATTAATACTTACATTTTTTACATTTTCCAGGATTTTTTTTTCGCTTTTACACATTTGATGAGAAAACTATTTTTGAAGTTGTCCACAAAAAAATAAAAACATTTGTAGAACCATAAGCTTTTTCGCCCCACTCAAAATCTAAAACATATCACAGTGAACCCAATAGACAAAATAATAATATAATTATTAATTGGGTATGTATTTACTAACCTCTACTCGTAATGCTTATATAATTTCCACATGATATAATATACAGTCTAAATGTAACTATAGCTAATTATTAATATTCCAAATTTATCTATACAGATTAAAGCAGCCAGTCCACAAGATTAAAGTTGTATTTCAGTATAATCTGTATTTGTTGGCCACAACTAAACGTCTTTTGTTAAAGATGAAAATTAAAGCTGCCTTTTCTCTACCATCATTTACTAAAAAATCAAACCAAAATATTAATTTGTGCGATAACAAATTGTAGTGGATTCTCATGATTAAAAGTTATGCTATCAAGTCTTTTTAATGGTCACTGAAGACTTTTGACTATTTCTCTTACAGCTTTATAGGAAATATTAAGTCATCTTAATTTTTCATTATATTTAGCTAATACATCATTAACAAATATGTCAACAATGTCAACAAGGTCTCATTTAAATACTTCTTGTTCTTCATATAACAGGTTACAAGATTTTTTTTTCTGTTCTTTTTGAAAAGATGATATTCATCCATAAGTTTACTAAATTTCCTTTCAAATAAATCAATTCTTTAAATAATAATTCTTGCACTTTCCTAGAAATCCAAAATGGATTCTACTGCAGCCCTTATACTTATTTCTATTCTATTTTTCTGTCTACAATCAAACATAGCCGGTCTTACCACACTCTTGTAGAACTTACCTTTAAGTTTTATAGGAATCATTTGATCACAAAAAATACCAGATACCTGAATTTAACTTCATTGCCAAAGCTATCATTCTTTTGAACAAAACACCTTAGGTATTTAAAGTAACCTTGTCTATTACTTTATCACTTATTGTTATTAAGTGTTTTTTCCTGTTTCACCAAACACATACTCTATAATATATTCTGTTATATAAAAACTTTCCAAGCTTAATATTGCTCAATTAATTGTATTGATCCAAACTCAAATTGTCAATTACTATGACATATGACAATTAAATAAAATCACGGAGAAAAGGTGGTGTTACGTAATCTAGCCAATACCTACACAAAATGAAATATTTTCAGACATGAAAAATTATTGGTTTTTAAATAATCAATGATTTTTGTTTACAAAATGCCTAAAAGTGCATGTGTAGAACTTTATATTTATTATTTATCAGTTATAAAAATATAAAATAATTATATCAATAGAAAACATTTTTCTTGTAAATAATATACAGCACTGCTACTGAAAAAGTAATAATTCTGATATCAATGGGTTTTATTTTTCTTTTACATATATAAAAATTTTTAATTTATTTAAAAATTATTTATCAAGCTATCAAAGTTATATTTTTAAGTATAAAAAACCTGACAAAAAAATTTGAGAAATTTTAATGTTGTTTACTAATAAAAAAAAATGTGTTACTACTTTCCATCGGGGTCATAATAAACATATATATTATTTATAACTATCCATGATAACTATGTTCTCTTAAGTAATTACTAATCAGATATACATACAATGTTAAAATAAAATATAATTTATTAATTATTAAAATTAATAGTATTTTTAAAGATTTTAATCTTCATGCAATTTTAAACTTATAAAATAAAGTTGAAGTTCAATATGATTAAACCATTTTTTTTTAAAAATTTTAATTTTTGAATAAAAACTTGAAAAACCACAAAATTTGATGAAGAATGTAAAGAAGAGATGCTAGTTTTTATGTCAGGTAGGACACCATGTACATGAGGTCTTTTATGGTCTCTTCTATTTCTTGATAAAGAATTTAAAGAAAACATGCTAGTTTTAACGTCGAGGTGGGCCACCACGTCCTCGCCCACCACTTCCACGAGGCCCTCCACGGCCTCCTCTACCTCTTGGACCTCCACGGCCACGACCACCCCTTCCTGGTCCTATAAAACATAATTACGTATTTGAGTTCAACTTTTATATATTTATATATTTAAAAAATAAAATACAAACCTCCACGACCACCTCGTCCTCCACGATTCATTCGTGATTTGGGTGCATCATCGACTAATAGTGTTTCAAGAGTAAGCGAATCGGGTAAAATATAGTATCGAATGTTATTACCTCGAATACTAAGCGATTCATAATGTATAGGTTGTTGATTTCTTACAGTCATTTTGACAGCTTTAAGATGAGTGTTCATTGCTACGTCAACACCTAAAATTTTATAAAAATTGTTAAATCATGAAATACAACTTTATAACATTAATGATTTAATACTGATTTACTGAATTATTAAATTTGTTTGCTGTATGTTATGAATTAATTGGGACATAGTATTGGTGGAAAATATTGTCCCAAGTAAAATAACAATTTATAACGTTTAATGGATTAGTTTTAACTTTTGTTCTAATTCTGTAAGCAAAACAAATTCTCAGATTTTTTCCTACAATGTATCATCCAGTATAAAATTTAAATTTTAAATTGTATATGCAATCAGGTGCTGTCTGGATAGGTAATAGTCAAGTACCCGGTTATCTACTTATTAATTATGGGAACACCAATTAATGAAAATGGCATAAAAATATGTAATAAATAAAATACACAATACTCCATGTAATGAGAGGATACGAGTATAATTATCGCACTCTCTGGCATGAAGTATAGATTGACAATTGATAAATTAAAAAAGGAACGTTTTAAAAATATTATATTTTTACCTGTGATAGTTCCATGTACACTAGTACCATTTTTGAGTTCTAAGGTCACAGTTTCATGACTGAGTTTCATTAAAAACCTGTAAAATAAAATTAATCATATTATTTACCCTTAAATTCAGATTTACAAAAATTTAGTACAAATTAAATTAAAATGTATTAATACAAAATAATGTAAGGCATAAAGTAAAAAACCAAATATTATCTACAAAGTTTTCATATGATTTGTTTATTTTTTACATCTTGGGTTGTAGGGTTGTAAAGTACTTATATACTTATTTTATAAGAAATAAAACGAAACAAATTGTTAGTAGAGTAAATAATAGATATATGCTAATATAACGTCTCTAAAATTCATTCAAATCCTTAAATTAAAAATCTTATATTTGGACTTCAATAAAAGGTTATTTCTTTTGTATCTTATGGTGCATTGTTAAATTATAAATCTTGTATTTTTCATAATAAAATCAAATATTTATAGGAAAACAAATAAACCGATGTATGCCAAAAACAAATTTTAAGGTTTGATGTTTGATTCTTTAAGTGATTAGGTCTAGTCATGGTAATTCTTAAAATTTAGGATATTATTAAATTAATATTTATACAAGTATACAAATGGCATTCATTTGTCTTAAATTAAATGTTTTAAAATCGCTTTAAACCAACATCTAATATAAAATCAAAGCTGTAAACTTACTTTACTAATTTCATGATTATTTCTGAATATTAATTCACTAAACAGTAGAAACTAACTAAACTTAAAAAACTCAATATACAAGTCACAGGAAAATAAACAAATACTTATCTAAATAAGAATAATGAAGCTAATACTTAGGTCGGCAGTAAGCAATGCGCCAATGCACATGATAGATGTTGTCAACGGTTATCGCTTACCGGTACGGCGGTAAATTAATGTGTTTGTCTATTGTAAACGAAATAGAAATTTTTCTTCAAAGTGCTACACTGAAACCATACAATATAACCCATAAATTAATTGGTATCAAAAATATCATATCATTATCTATGATATGATCTAGTGAATGACACTTATTCGAAAATGATAAGAACCGAGTTCGAAAAATGACGGTGGTGAATTTGTTGACAATCTAAAATGTTTGAACATTTTATAAAAATTAGTAACATTAGTATCATTTTCATTTGTGGGTACATATTCTTGAACAATTATTTTCCTTCAGTATTTGTTCATTCTGCAGGCATCAGACAATAGTAGTTTTTATCAGACAAGTATCACGAGTATCAGTGATTACCAAACCTCCCAAAATTGACAGTCAAGATTACTAATAGAAAGTTGAATTATTTCTATTTACTTGAAATTATGTTACGGTTGCTATAGGCCGTAAAATAACTGGAAATGTATTACAATGATATTAAAATTATTCTCCGGCATTAAATAATGTAAATTAACATATTACTTAAATTAAAATATTTGAGTTACTTTCTAATTGAATAATAAATTTGTTATATTATGCACCGAGTGTTACGATTTTACTCGTTAAATTCACAGTATAAACAATAACCCACATTGACATATTAATTATTAAGAATAATATACACGAAATTAGAAAATTAATATATTTAGAGACGATTGGTGTTCAATGATGAGATACTCGACTCTACTCGTCTGATAAAAATTTGTCTACTCTCCGAGCACGGATCTTATCTCAGTCTCAGAAGATAAGGCCGGACAACTTCCTATTCTCCCGCTTATTACAATATTTCCGTAAAGGGAAATAAAACGTTTCCCGCGTAGTCGCTACATATGTACATCTATGGTTGCCGCAAAAACGCTGCAGGTTGGATGTATTTTGAGGTTAAGAATGTTCGACAGTAAACATCGAAAAGCGTGTAAAAAAAATTATTCAATCTATTGAGATTATCAATATTATATTAATATTATGTGGATTATCTATATGTATGTAAAATCCAAATAACACTGACTCATTGGTCGCTATATCTCAAAAACTACACAACGTACTTGAAATTTGAAATAGTGGTTCCTTTAATTATTAAAGTATTAGAGTCTAATACTTTCACTGGGCTATCGAAAATGATCTTATCGGACATTGTCGATAAAAGCGATTCTGTATCACAGATATTCAATATTCGTTAGCCTAACGAAATATATTCGTTAAACCCCTCGATAACACGTCTTACCGACGATGGATAAAAGGAAGAACATGTTTCGTATTATCATTTATCGTACCTACCTATTTACAATTGTGATAATAATAGAAATGATAATAGTTTTTTATTCTTGCAACTGTAATTCTCTATTTTATTATATTAATTCTTCTATGCCATTTTTATCTAATAAAAATCGTTTTCATCAGTCACACATTATAAATGGCCAGTGGCGTCATTACGCCTCTGTAGGCTCGGGGCGGAAATAATTTGAGGCCCTCTCCAGACAACAATAAACTATAAAAAAAAAAAAAACGGTTTTAAAAATAATATCAGAGATGAAATTTATTTATTTAATTGAAAACAATTTATAAGCCATGAAAGAGTGAACTTGTATTTAGGTAACAATTTAAAAAAGAAATCATAAACTTTTCAAACAATCCATTCATTTTCTGCCTGCGCACTTTAGCTTCAGCGAATTCCTTTATAATTGCATCAAAATCCACCCTCTTTGCTGCTTCTTTTTCCATTGACAAAATAGCCAAGCCATTAAGCCTTCTTTGACACATTATTGATCTTAAATATGTTTTTATCAGCTAGTTTTGAAAAGCTTCTTCCATTAGAAGACACAGAAACACACACTGTCAAAAAACGTTTCTATAACTTGCTGTAGAATATCCCACCTGTGGGGTGATGCTGAAAAAAAATTATAGATATTCTCGAGAGTTTTTGGTTTTCTGAATAATATGTTTTGTAGACGATACGGCATTTTGAATGTACTTTAAAAGAGTCCCAGTTGTAATTTTAGTTTCTTGTACCATTGATTTTTTAATTTTCCGCTTTTGTGCTTCACTCGGATGTTGTCGTTTATAACCGTCAAATAACCATCAACCGTGTGTGTATGTTTGTATGTGCAGCGCCGGCACTAGACAATATTACTTGTAAATAAAATGTTATCAAATCCTAAACAAATTACAATATCCGGGGTATGTGTTTAGAGTAAATCAGTGAATACAAAATTTGTGCGAAATATTATTATAAAATATACGTAAAACTTTCAAAGAAAGTTAAAATTAACATGACTTCGTTTGATAGCTGACATACCTAAATACTTTTTTTTAGACAGTGAGCAGTAGTCGACAGCGCTCATTTCCGATTCAAAATGATCGGATCGAAAAACTTTTTAACTGTTTTCTACAAAAGCACACGTTTAAGGTTTTTGAATTTGCACACGCAACGCATCTAAATCACGGCGGAACAGCATGTACGTTCGTTATTCGGGCAATACGATTGGAAGGAACTCTGTACTACGAAAATTCGGCGAAACCGATAAAGGAGTACGTCTGACACGACGGTTTTGGAAATAATCAAATTATCGGCCCAACAAAGAGAATTGTTCGCGAAAGTTCTTCACATGGCGTGGACGCCGCCCCGAGACAATAATGGTCGGTGGATACGGTGGGCCGGCCCCCGTGTGCTGCGTGTATTTCAATATAACGCGTAACACGAACGCGGCCCAATACAACAATTAGAAATATTACGAGGGTATTTATAAATACCGATAATTCCCGGGCGGCCGCCGACTGTTCACTGATAACGGATTTGTTTATTTAATCCGCACCCGTTGTGTTTGTCGTCAGTAATCGTCAAAACGCTAATGCGTCACGTAACCAACGCGACATTCGGCGGACGGTGACTTGTTCGTTCGTCAGAGCGTGTCCACGTCAAAATATCGTAACGATATTTTCACTATTTTGTACGGAACACTAGCAATATTATGTTGGTATTGTCACAGGGGCCTCCAGACGAGATAAAAAACCAAAAAAAATCGACGCCCTTTTGGAAACCCCCCCCCCGACGAGTGTGAGGGCGAAAAGCCCCTCCCCCCTCCCTGGTTACGCTACGCGTACACGGCTCCGGAATTTTTAATACGGGGATTTTTACAGTTGGAACAAAAAGTTAACTTACAAGAACACCGTTATGGAAACTTAAAAGACGGAATTCGAGAGACATGCAAAACCCATTTGAACTTGTCTATTGCGGAATTTTTATTTTTGTTCACTTTAAGTCCCGCCTGACGTGGTCGATTCTATTAGGATTCAGGAGGGATTTATTGACAATTGTGCCGATATTGTTAGTTAAAACAGCAAATAGACAAAAGACCAAATACGGCAAATAATTTATTAACATTATATCAGTGGTTAATAATAATTTTAGTTTGCGATACGAAAATGGCTCATCACCGCGAATTATCGTACAGTCGATCAATTAATTGTTCATAAATCTCTTGGCCGTGTTTCCATTACAACGGTGCACCGTATCCCGTGCGTATCACCCACCTCCTTGTGCCGCGTCTACGCTGAGACGGCAACTATCAACACAAAACAGAAACTCGCGTTATTCGCGACAAAATCGAAACGTTTTTAAACAATTATGTGTATTTCCGATAAATGTTTGGTCGTGTTTTTTTCAAACAAAGGCCACGTCCCGAGCGGCGTCGGTAAATATCGGAAGGTTTGTGTTTCCGTTTCGACGAATATTGTCGAACGAGTACGTACAGCGTTTCAAAAATAACCAACAGATAAGACATTGTTTCGGGATTTCATGAGTGCGGATAGCGCTATATTTAGTATAGTAGCGAGCGTGTAGTCCGTAATTTTCAACTTTCAACAATTTTAAAATTTTTCTACAAACGAATCTATTCGTATTCACTTGAATACGGGGAAAAATGGAATATAAAACAAAAGACCCGCGCAAGGTTATAGAGCTACACCGGAAATAGCCCATATTTTATTACATTTTTATGTACGTCTGAACTGCACGAAGATCAGAGCCTAAATGAATATCCTGATCCTTGAAAATGAGTTTTACAATTTCGAAACTAAATTGTTTGGTATATGTGGACAAGAGAAAAAAAAAACAAAATATTTCAATTTTGTTGAATTTTTAGTCAACTCGGTATGGACAGTATGTTTTGTTTCTTTAAACGAAAAAAGTTGAGTTTTTGTTTTGTTTCTGCGTCGTCTCAGTGCGAACCCGGCATTAGACCCGTTCAAAGACGTCCTTAAACTTATACTGTATAGACAAGAAATAATTCCGAGCGTGGATAGACAGAAAGCGCTTTTTGGTGCTTGAGTGACCGTACAATTATCGTATATATACTCGTATTCTATTTCTTTGGAATATCGTATTAGTTCCCGAAACCCGCGTTTATTTGATCATCCGCCGCCATCTTTTATCTATTTTATATTTTGTTAAATTGTTTTTTAAATATTACTTGAAAATGTTTATAATTTAATGAAACTGAGTTTGTTATAAAATTACTTAGGTTATGTGACGGTTGAGAATATTTGGTATGTTGGTTACACTGCGCACTAACGATAGCACGAGTCTCCGTGATACCGGCAGACGCTAAGCTTGTTTCGTATTTCAATGTGATAAATGATTTTGATAGGCATGGTTATATCGTTTTTTCGTTGTGTTATTTTTTCTCTTTAACTTAAAGCTGAAATTTGAATTCATCCATATGACTACTGCAGCTATGGCTACTCCACATAATTTCTATGCCGTGACGGCTCATAAGGCCTCAGCGGTAGTAGCAAGCCTGTCTGGTATGATATTAACTTTTTCTTAATTTTTGCATGTTCATGTTACTGATGATTGTTTTGTCATATAGACTTGTATAATTAATACTTGTCTTGTCGATTTTATGTTAAAAAAAAAAATTACATTGGAAAAAAAAATCCTGAAGTTTGGACATTTTGGTTTTGAATGTAAACCAATATTATAATATGTACTTGGTGATAGTTGTAAGCAAGGTTTTGTTTTTTTGATTTAAATACGTTAGAATAAGATTCATTTCAGTTGATTTAAAAAATTAGTGTTCAATCCATGACTATTAAAAAGTTACATCTTCCTGTATTGAGTTATAATAATTTATTTATAATGACCAGCAGAGGGTTAAATCGCTACTTATAGCCACTTATAGTTACCTTGCTATGGCCATTTATTTTTATTTTATTTATTGATAGTGTAATTTTGTAATTTGATATTCCATGTGTTATATGCATTTATATTAGTTGATTTACTGGATGATATCAATTATTACAAAAACACAGTTAACATAGGATGGCCTTAAAACAGGCAAATGTAATTTTAAAATATTAATACTTATTTTTCTCTCCATAATATTCATAAGACTTTGAAATTCAAACTATGTATAGATGAAGTTATAATTTATTTCTGGTTTAATTTTGAATTTTTTTCAATAACCATAGATAGATTGAATTAAATATTAACAGAAGTTCTTAGGATAGTCATTGGTGGTGATTCTGCTCTAATATTTACTCATTAAAACAAGTAATTATAGTTACAAACCTTACATTTTTAATTCACAGATAAACCATTATATTTTTAAAGTTGAAGATAGTTTTTTGACTTTCAAGCATGGTCTTTTTATATTTATCTCTCATCTCTCACTTGATAGTCGATAATTTGAACACATGCCAGCTTATCTATTTATTATAAAATCAATGGTTAACAATTTAAATTATTATGTTTATATAATTTATTTGTGTTTTTAGCAAACTTCACTTCACCAACTGACCGTAATTTACTTATTGCAAAGTTTAATCGTGTAGAAATAGTCATGGTCAATGAAGAAGGTTTGCACCCAATTAAAGAAGTAGCATTATATGGAAAAATTGAAATAATGAAAGTTTTTAGGCCTAAAGTATGATAATAAATTATATTAAAATTATACAGTTCGGTAATATTCATTTTTCTTCCTTTAGAACAAGGATAAAGACTTACTATTTATTGTAACTGCCCGATATAATACTATGATATTAGAATGTGTTCAATCACCTAGTGGCGATATTGAAATTATTACACGAGCTCATGGTAATATATCAGATCAAGTTGGGAAAGTATCTGAGATTGGTACCATGGCTGTTATTGATCCTAGTGCAAGAGTAATTGGGCTAAAATTATATGATGGATTATTTAAAATTATACCTTTGGATAAAGAAGGTGAACTTAAAGCTTACTGTTTAAGGTAAAGTATATAATATTTATGTATTGGTTTTCACTTGTGTGTATAAATTTGACATCTTGTTAATGTTTTCTTTTTCAATTTATTACTTTTAACTATTGTTTATTTATAATATGAATTTATGATTCCTAATTCATCATTGGTCTTTATTCTTTTATTTTATTTTAGATTACACTTCATCATTATTAATTTATGATCTCTATCTAAATCGACTCCTGGGTAACTCCTTATGGCATTCACCTAGTTTCTGAATATCTTTTTAACCATACTTATAAACTATCTGTTATGTTTCTATGTCTCCCAGCATTTTTCAAGTATACCTTCTTGGATTATATTATTATTAAACCCAGTATTAATTTATTTTTTGAAGAGAACTCTATTAGTCTGCCACTTCATTGTAAAAATCTCCAATTTCATCATTACAATTGTATAAGATAGGTATATAGGTTTAAACTATAATTGTAGGTTAGTATAAATAATTTGTGTTGAATTCTACCCTAATTTTTCTACCTATAGTTAAATGACAGATATAAGATACTATTTTGTGATAAATAATTTTAATAGTTATTTATGATTTAATTTTAGGATGGAAGAATTGGAAGTACAAGATATTGATTTCTTGTACGGCTGTGCTAATCCAACTATTATTATAATCCATCAGGATAATAATGGTCGACACATTAAAGCTAAAGAGATATCTATCAAAGATAAAGAATTTGTGAAGGTAAAGTTGTAGTTGTGTAAAAAAAATAATAGCTATCCATTTTTTTTTGTGTGTTAATTAGACTCCTTGGAAACAAGATAATGTTGAAACAGAAGCTTCACTGATTATTCCTGTTCCAGAACCTATTTGTGGTGCCATTATTATTGGTCGAGAATCAGTCCTATATCACAACGGTACATCTTTTATTGCCATTTCTCCTCCTGTCATAAAAGTAATGTACAAAATCAATTTATTTTTGAAAAACAATTTTTAAAATGTTCAAGTCTTTAATTCTTTATTTATTTATAGCAGAGTACAATAGTGTGTTATGCTAGAATAGATAAATTAGGTGCAAGATATTTACTTGGCGATATGGCAGGCCATTTGTTTATGTTATTATTAAATTATGATGTAAATCCAGATGGAACATATAAAATGAAAGATCCAAAAGTTGATTTATTGGGTTAGTTACTAAATAATATTATTAATATAGGCCAGTTCTTTTATCATGATTCATTACCATTATTGTGAATCAATCTACTCTGGTCTACATTTTAAACCCTTTTAACTGATAAATGGTAAATCCAATATTAGTGTTTGTATACACAATTTTTAGAAAAAAATTTTTTTTATTCTTCGTTAAAAAAAGGGGTTGACATGAAGATTGAAAAATCAAGTTTGTTTTATTTTATGGTATAAGAAGTAGGAATAGAAATTTAAAAATAGTGTTAAACCTTAAACAATTTTATTGAAAAATGATTTAAAATGACTGAATCATGATGAAAGAATCACTCTGTATTATTAAGAGTTTTAATTTTAATAAACTAATAATAATTTTCAGGAGAAATTAGTATACCAGAGTCATTAACATACTTGGATAACAAAATAATTTATGTTGCATCGAGAGTGGGCGACTCTCAACTTATCAAACTCCATAAGAAGCCTGATAATACTGGTTCACATTTAACAATTATAGATACATATACAAATTTAGGTCCTATTGTTGACATGTGTGTCATCGATTTGGAACGACAGGGTCAAGGCCAAGTTGTTACTTGTTCCGGTTAGATTATAGTTAATTATTATATCTGCTAAGTTTAATTATTAACTTTTTCTTTGTATTTAAGGAGCGTATAAAGAAGGATCTCTCAGAATTATACGAAATGGAATTGGAATCCAGGAAGTCGCTACAATTGAAATGAATGGGATTAAAGGAATGTGGCCGTTAACTGTTACTATTGATAGTGTTTTAGATGATAGTTTAGTTTTATCATTTGTTGGACATAGTAAAGTTTTGACATACCAAGGTGATGAAGTTGAAGAAATTGAAGTAGAAGGTTTTCAATCAGAGTTACAAACATTTTACTGTGGTAACTCATTGGATAATAAAATGGTCCAAATAACATCTGCTAGTGTTAGACTTATTTGTCTAAAAAAAAGGTGTTTAGTCAGTGAATGGAAGGTACCTGTTGGTGAAAGCATTAACGTAGTTTCGTGTAGTGGCCAAACGGCTGTTTGTGCTACAGGAAACAGTTTATATTACATACAAATTGAAACTGATAAAGTTCTTAAAAAAGGGTAAAAATAATTCATTATTTATACATTTTTTTTCCGTAATAATATTTGGTTATTCATTTTTATTTTATGCACCTATATAGGTTTATTAATTTAGAACATGAAGTATCTTGTCTTGACATTTGTTCATTTGAAAATGAAGGAAAGTCTACAAATTTGGTAGCTGTTGGTTTATGGATGGATATATCTGTAAAAGTATTTAAACTTCCAGACTTTGAAGAACTTGTTCGTGAACCTTTAGGCGAAGGTTAATAATGTAATATTTATTTATTTTTACTATTTTTTTTAATATATTTTTTTTTTTTTTAATATTTACATATATATATAGAAATTATACCTCGGTCAATATTAATGGTGACTTTTGAAAATAAAAATTATTTATTATGTGCTCTGGGAGATGGTAGCTTATGTTATTTCCATTTGAACTCTAAAAATGGTGTATTGAGTGAAAAGCGTAAGGTTAGTATTTATATTAAATTATTATTATTTTTATTTATTAAATATTAATTTAGGTTAATCTTGGCACTCAACCTACATTAATTCGAAAATTTCAATCACTTTCTACCACAAGTGTATTTGCATGTTCAGATCACCCAACTGTAATCTATTCATCAAACAATAAATTGATTTTCTCAAATGTAAATCTGCGTAAAGTCAATCATATGTGTTCACTTAATACTAAAAGTTTTCCAGATAGGTAAGTAATGTTTATTTATAAATATATGAATGTGGTGAATTATGCTTCTGATCTCATAATTATTTTAATTCTCTATACAATTTTTATATTTAAGTAACTTAATCGTTTATTAATTTACTTTTTATAACTTGTAATAGAGAGTAGAAAATATTTTTATTATTATTGTTACTTAAAATAGTTGAAAACAAAAGGCAGTCAATGTAGTTTCTTTATAAAATGTCACTATGTCAAAAAAAATTCAAAATCAGTAACAAGTCATCTTGAATATATTTTTTTAGATTTGAAATGAATGATTCATATAGAATTTAAATTGGTGTAAATTAAATTACTGAAATTTTATGTTAATTTATATCCACTCTATAGTACAGATTTTGCACTGTGTTTTTACATTCAGTGCTGAAAAAGATTTAAACATGCAAAACTCAATTTTAATGCAGAAGTTAGGTTTTATCATTATTTTTCACTTAAATGGAAACATTTTATTTGGGTTTCTTTAAACAAGTTCTTATTAGTCATTGAACATAATATATTAATAATATATTACACAATATCCTACCCTCATATAAACATTATTAAGTTGTATTTCCTTGATTTCATATTAAAGTTAATTTTAATTCTTAGTTTGGCTATGGCTACTGATAATTCTATTATTATTGGTACAATTGATGAAATGCAAAAACTGCATATACGCACTGTTCCTCTTGGAGAAGCTCCGAGACGAATAACACACCAAGAGTCCACCAAGGTATATTTATTCAGTATTATTTACTACTTTATTTGAAAAATAATAAATATTTTTATTTTTTAGTCCTTTGGTGTAATAACAATGAGAATAGATGTTCACGAAGGAATAAATGTAGTTCCTGCAAGAATTAGTGCTAGTACTAGTGCGCAGAATATTACTAATGGAGGTAATCATCGTAGTATTCCACATACTACATCAACAACTAATAATACTCAAGGTCCATTAAGTATCGGAAGTAATGAATATGGTCTTGAAGTTGAAATACATAATATGCTTATACTGGATCAAAATACATTTGAGGGTGAGTAAAAAACCTATAACAAAATGCAATCTTAACAAGATGTATTTATATTATAATTTATTTTCTAATATAAAAATTAGTACTCCATGCATATCAATTGAATTCAAATGAATACGCATTAAGTATCATATCAGCTAAATTGGGAGATGATCCAACTATTTATTATATATTGGGTACAGCTGTTGTAAACCCCGAAGATCAAGATCCTAAATTAGGGCGCATTCTTATATTTAATTGGGATGATTCGTCATCAAAATTAACACAAATAACTGAGAAAGAAGTAAAAGGTGCATGCTACGCTCTTGCTGAATTTAATGGCAAACTTTTAGCTGCAGTTAATTGTACAGTAAGTTGAGTCATTTATATTATAATATGTATTTATATAACGGTATATATGTCAAAACATTTTAAAATAATAAAAGGGTTATATTATTTTTACTGGTATTCTAAAATTTATTTTAAAAATTGTTATGATAGGTACGATTATTTGAATGGACAGCTGAAAAAGAATTGAGACTTGAATGTAGTCATTTTAATAATATTGTCGCATTATTTGTGAAAACAAAAGGTGATTTTATTGTTTGTGGTGATTTGATGAGATCATTAACATTGTTACAGTACAAAACCATGGAAGGTAGTTTTGATGAGGTAATATAATTTATAGTAAAATATTTACATTAATAGTTTATAATAAAATATTGGTGTGGACATTTTTATTTTTTGTTCTCGTAGATTGCTAGAGATTACAATCCAAAATGGTCAACCGCCATAGAAATTATTGACGATGATCTCTTCTTGGGTGCAGAAAATGATAAAAATTTATTTATTGCACACAAAGATAGGTATTTTAAAAATGCATTCAAAATTATGTATTTGTAAATTATTGTATTTGAATCCAGGCTCTAGTTATATATATATATATATATATATATACTATGTTTATTCTTTTATTAAACATTTTTTTATTTTAGTACATTAGCAAATGATGAGGCTCGACATCAACTTCAAGAAATTGGTCAGTTTCATTTGGGCGATCTAGTAAATGTTTTTAGACACGGATCATTAGTAATGCAACACTTTACGGACACATATGTATCAGTTCAAGGAGGTATTCTTTATGGAACATGTAGCGGAGCTCTAGGTAATATGAATAATTAAAAAAATGTATGTAATGTATTTGTTTGATTTATTGTAGTTTTGTTGTATTATTTTACAATTATTAAATATAGTAATTAACTGGTCATAATATAATCGACAATTAAATTGTAAAATAACCCATTTTCATTTTAAATTGGCAAATACTGGTGTAATTATTAATTATTGTTTTTAAAATTTCACTATTTGAATGTTAAAAACATAAAGTAGTACCTCTAAATACACCTGAGTTGATTTATTATTTACTTATTGATTGTTACAAATATATCAATGATTTCACAAAATCAGAAACTCAACTAAAACCTTTGATATCCAACAATTTAAATTCTAGTGTCTTTTTGAAATATAGTGTGTGCTTTTTGTTCTATGGAAGTAAGTGAATGTTGTTTAAGTCAAATGCTGTAATTATATTTTAATAATTTCCAAGCCTTAGATTCATTATTCATTCTTATATTAGGCTTAATATTGATCTTGGTTAAAAAAAAAAGTAACATATTGTTGCAATATAAATTTTATAACAACAAGATGATCATTTTTTGTCACCTTTATAAGTTTTACTTTAGGTTTTAAGATTATAACATATGATTAATTAAGGTTGTGTTAAAATAAATTCAAATAGTTAATGAAATGGTTTAAATATTTTTTTTTTTTTATGTTAGTATTTAATTTGTATATTTGATTTGTTATTATTAGGATTGGTTACACAGTTAACTCCAAAAATGTTTGAATTCCTGTCAGATTTAGAAAGAAGTTTAGCAAATGTGATTAAAGGAGTGGGTAAAATTAAACATAGCTATTGGCGAAGTTATAATACAGAAATAAGAACTGATCCCTGTGAATCATTTGTTGATGGAGATTTGATTGAATGTTTCCTAGATTTATCAAAACCTGATATGATTACAGTCGTTAATGGACTCAAGGTATAGTTTTAATTTTTGTTAATATTAAAAATTAAAATATTTAATCTTAATTTATCTCTAAGAGAATGTATTTTCGCCACTGATATATATATATATATATGTTGTTTTAATTTTATCAGTACAAAATTTAATTTTAATTAAAAGCAAATTAACCTGAACAAATAACTATGGTGAAACTAAAATTATTAAAATTTTCTTATTATACTAATGTACTAAAATATCAATGTTTTATATTTAATCAATTTTAAAATTGTCAGTCTCAAAATTTTGTTTTAGCATCTTTTCATTATCTAAAGTTAGCTGTTTAATACCACTGATTACTGATTACCACCTTATTACTATAATTCTTCTGTTGTTTATATTGTATGTTTTTGAGTTTAATTTATTATTATTAAAGATTAAAGGTAGTAACATTACCTTTCATATTTAATACTTATTATAGTTTTTTTAATTTTCTAGGGAACTTATGATAGTCAATTCAAAAAAACTATGAAAGATACGAAGATTGGTCTAGACGATGTTATCAAGCTCGTTGAAGACTTAACCAGAATTCACTAAGCATATTTTATACTTAACACAAATCTTACTGTAATAAATTATAATTTTTGTATTACTGTTATTCTAATAGTTTTACAAAAAAAAATAAAATATATATATATACATATATGTACATATATTATGTGCTCCATAAATTAATTTATAAATTGTATGTAATTTTCTTATATCTTTTAGGATTAAAAATGTTTGTTTTGAAGTTGGCAATAATGTTGTTTTTTTCTTAGTATAATTAACTACAATTAACTAATAAGTTTTATAAGCTATTTCACTTTTTTAATACATACTGTAATATTTAACTTTTTTTTTTTTTTTTTTAGAAAAAAAATTGCTGTAATATTAAGCATTTTTTGTTTAAAAAAAAAAAAAAAATTGTTATATTTTTCTACTTATAGAATGCTATGATTTAAATAAATAAGTATTAAAAATCTTTATACTGAATTTAGTATTCAACATTTTTTATTGGAATGATGGTAATTTGATTTATAAATTATAATTTATTATTAATTTAATGTATTACAATTATTTTCCTTAATGGGTATACACATATCGTATTAGTTAATAACTAATATTATAGCTTTGCTTATTAATCATTATACTGGTATTAAATAAACATGAAATCATTATCATTAAAATTTGTTCTGTTGTAGATTCTATGATATTTTAACTTTTTATACAATATATATTAAATATTTAGTTTTTATTTTTTGAATTTGTACATACTCTTCAGTGGAAATTTGCATTGGTGTACTTTATTTTTATCATCATGGTGTATAGCAGTGACGTGACAGTGCCTTGAATGTTACAGGATTCCACCAGTTGTGATTTCTATTTACACTTATTAATGTTTCATCCGACGTTGTGTTCAGTGCGTGTTATATGCTAAAACTGGGAAAAGTCAATACCTAACTAAAAATCACTGCTATGAAATGAGAAAACTATCATCCGAAAGAAATCTCGCTATCACGGCACGGTGACGGTAACAGTACGATCACATGCTGGACGATTGAGAACAAGCTTACCATTTCTTTAAGAATATTATTAAGCTCTGGCAGAATCTTAGTACGACCATGGCACTGTCACGTTACTGTTGTGTGTAAATATATCTTAAAAAGTATTTTATTTACATTTTTCTATAACTGTTGATTAATAAATAGAGCTCATAGGTTTATGCACTAAAAACTAATTAAATATAAATTTATATGCTTAAAATTTTAAAATAATAATTCAAATATTTTTATAAGTTATATTTTTACATTTTGTGTGGAACGAAGATGGATTTTTTTGTTATCTGTTTAAAACTTTTGTATTAGAAATCAGGCTCTTATCAAAAAACAAGATCTTTATGTAGCAATTAGAACCTAGTTGTACACGGGTAATTTTTTTAATTTTCTAAGTTGCTTTCACAATTATAAGAAAAAATTGTCTTGCTGCCCTTTCCTGGACAATTTTAATTGAAAATAACCCTGCGTGCATTTGTCGTGCAAAACCACGTCAGGTAGGTAACTAGGAAAATTGAAAAACGTTATATTTGGAATTTGAGACTCAATTTAGTCACTTACAAAAAAGTCAAAAGTAAGTTTTGATTAAACCAGTGATTAAGCATTAATAACAAATATGTTGAAAATGATAAATTCTAATTTAAAAATAAGCGAAATGGAAAACCAAACTTCACGAAGTTGTCCCCCATAATTATCAAATGAAGTTTGTTCGATTTTTTTTTATATTCTTAATATATAAGAAAAAACACATATTTTGAAAAAAAGAAAAAACCAAAAAAAACTAATAGGTTGCTAAACTAGAATTAGGTATGCCAAAACAATTATAAGACATTCAACTAAAAGTCACAAAACAGCAAGCTATCAAGTACCGAGGTAACCGTAATAGTATGACATTCACATATATATAATAAACTAGCTAAAATTCATAAGCTAGCTGGTCTATGCCACTTTTCTGCCATATTGGTTGAAGGCTATGGTATTTTATCAATTTCTATATCGTAGCGATTATACATAGATAAATTTGATCATAATTCATTAACTCAGAATTATTTTCATTAATAATTAATGTAATTATATATGTATTATGTTATATTTATTATTTATAATATCTGGCCGTTGTACAAAATCATTGTAAATGAAATTAATATTACATTTCTTGTTATATGTTTAAATAAAATTTTATAGCAGCTATCCATTTTTCTTTAACTACATTATTATTTGGAAATCTATTCAAAAAAGATTTGGTAAAATAATTGTTATACTGCAGTAAAATTATATGTATAGATGACCATGTCGAAAACTACTGATACATATAAATACTTGAAAAAAACCACTTTATCATGACCGTGACTATTAACACATCTAAGCACACAGCAAGTTAGTGACATTTTACTTACACTTTTGTAAACAAAAGTCAGGACACAAGGTTAAAGATCATAACATTTAAAATGTATATTTTAAAGTTCATTTGTTTATTGTTTTTTTTTTAAGAGTGATAGATATAATTTATTCTTAGATCATATATAAATTGGATATTTTTTTTTACATATTATCATCAAATATTGTTTATTATTAATTAATAATTATAAATAATCTTATTTTTTTTACAATCATTTTTATTGATGATTTCCGTGTATAATTTATTTTTCATTATATGTTTTACGCATATAGGTAATAATTTAGTTTTTAATCTATATATATAGTAATATGTAAGATTTGATTTGAAATACCCCCGTCAAATAATAAATTAGGTATCACGTAATTATGATAACACTGAGGAGCCTATAACCAGCATGGCTTTTTTTGACTTCTGCTATTATCACTAGTTATCAATCTAGTTTATTATATATATATATGTGATCACTGTAAATCTATTTGGTTATTCATTTTTAATGATAGTATCATATTATCATGATAAGCAAGAATGATGAAAGCGAAACAAAGTTCATGAAATTGTTAACATTAGAAAACCTTAAAAAAAATCAAACATTTTAGAAACGAATAAAAACTTTTATATTATTATTAAAATAAAAAAAAAAATTTTATCAGGTATTTTTATTTATCTTTTATCTTAAATAGTTATAACCCGAAACACGGTAACTGTGGGGGTATGTCTTATCCTTTATGTGTTATCTATAATTGAATTGTTCTCATTATAGTACCTGTGTGATGTTTGATTTTCGATCGTATTACTTCTTCAGTTCATAATTGTTTTTGTTGCGCTGTTGCTTTTACCCAAGTTGTCGGTTACCGTATTATTATAAATATAATAATATATAGTACTCAGTTTTTCCTGAACATATATTATTTTCTTTTACCCAAGTATTTATAATATTTTTTTAAAATGGCACAGACGTTATTGAAAAGGTAAAGTGTAAAAATTAAATAAGTGCTTTATAATATTCATTTACCTATGATATCATTGGTTTATTGAAAATTCTAATCATGTTTTATGTATAAATTATGTTAGAAAATTAATCGGTGAATAAAATACCCAAGTACTTTTTAACCAAATTATTCCTTTTTTATAAATAATTTAATAAATAAAAGCACAATACATTTTTATTGTTTTTATTGAACTACTTTTCATCAATAACATTAATTCAATCAAATCAATTCATTGTAGAGAATAAAAAACCTGTGTACTATAAGATAAAAATATAAAATTTTAGACATTTACAGTGAACATTTATGACCTTGACATTAAAAATTCATATAACAAATAACAATATTAGTTTACACTTTTTGAAATAAATCACTGATTGGTTTTTATTCAAAATTACTCTTGTGAATAAATTTACATTTTCTTGTATTTTAATAAATTAGTTTTGTTCATTGACCAGCGTGAATTATTTGTGAAAACTTGATCATAAATGCTATATTTCTTATTGATCAGGGTACCTATTAAATAGGTACATAGATTATATTTATAAAGAAAAAAACTATATACTTATTTTAAAGTTAATCGTTCTATAATAAGTAATACCTTAATGACAACCAATATTTTATCATATTAAATAACTGTTATTTATTCAATTTATCTGAATAAGTTTGATGGAATTAAATTACAAATACATAATATACCGATTACTACCTAATTAATATGTAGCTATGTAGATTAAAAATAAATTAATTGACTTAATAGTTCAGTTTTTATTTTCACCTTTATTAGAGTATAACCAGATTTATCTATTACGAGGTTTTTTTTTTACATTTTCATGAGGGATTTGGTATTTTTCTAAATTTTCTAAGAAACACTACATAAAAAAACTTAAGAGGCTCTTAAATTATAGACAGGTCCTCTTTGTTACTGAATTCACCTAATGTACTACCTACTTCAAATATTAATACTGTATAATTACTTATATGTGAATTAGTAAAATTGAACATTTCATATGATCATTTTTCAGAGTATCAGTTAATCACTTCAATATGTTGCAAATCAGAACAAAAGCCACATTGCCCCAGCTCACATTCGAGTACAAGGCATTGGAACCAACAATATCAAGGGATATTATGGAAATCCACCATACAAAACACCATAATACTTACGTTGTAAACTACAATAACACATTGGAAAAATTACAGACTGCTGTTGCTAAAGGTTGTGTGAATTAAAACATTTCTATTAATTTATAATATTCATTGATTTTTAAGTATCTATATTATGTGTATAGATGATACAGCGACAATCATTAGCTTGGCACCAGCACTTAGGTTTAATGGTGGTGGCCACATTAACCATTCAATTTTTTGGGAAACACTCACACCTTCTTCGACCAAACGCTCTGGTAAATTTTTAACTATTATTATTATTATTATTGTTATTATATTTTTTTATTCAAGGAAAATTAGATTAATATAGTATTATATTATTAATTTAAGTAACTTAAGTAAATATATTAATAAAATTAAACTACACATTGAGTGATGAATTACAAAATTTAATTATTAAATTTATTTAAATGCGCATTTGATAAAAAAAAAAATATATAATAATATTAAAATCACACAGGGTTTCTCAGTGAGGCTTAACATTCTTCATAGAAATAAAATAAAATAAATAAATATTCATGAATAACTCGAATATTACCAAATCTCCTATTCTTCTTCTTTAGTATTAGTATTGATTTATTTATTGTCTTTAGGTGATTTTGAAAAAGCTTTAGTTGAGAACTTTGGTTCATTTGAAGAGTTCAAAAAACAACTATCGTCGGCATCTGTAGCAGTTCAAGGTTCTGGATGGGGTTGGCTTGGGTTCAATCCACAAAACAAGAAATTAACTATCACAAGTTGTGCAAATCAAGATCCACTGTATTCCACCACTGGTTAGATAATAATTTTCCTAATTTCTTCATTGTCATTATATTTGTATATTTATTGAATCATTTTTTGTGTATAGGACTAATTCCTCTATTTGGCATTGATGTATGGGAACATGCCTATTATTTACAATACAAGAATGTTCGTGCAGATTATGTCAATGCCATTTTTGATGTCATAAACTGGGATGCTGTATCAAAACGTTTTGCTGATGCTTCTGCTTGAATATCCTCTTTTATAAATATTTATTTAAAATAATTAGATTTATTGAGTTATTGAGTATAAAAGTGAAAACAACTAAAATAGTTGATAGTATATATATAATTTATTTTTCAAGCATTAATATATTAGTTTAAATAAGGTAACACTTGTGGAGTATCTACTTTATTTTTAATTTTAAATAAAACAAATTTATAATTACCTAAGTATTAAATAAGAGTACTGTTCGATTTACACTGTTAAAGTTAAACATTAAAATTCAAAGAACATTAAAATGTATTTTTATTTTATTTTAATTTAAAGTTTATTAAAAAAAACTTGCCAAGATTTGTTTAGTAAGGAATACATTTTTAAATTCTAAGTTCAGCGAGGAACGTATTGGTTTTAATATGGTGTGTGCCTTTTTTCCCTGATAGTACACAATTTTTTACTAGACATTTTTAGGTGGGCTGCAGTTCCCTCAGTCCTCTCCTGGATATGCCATTGGTAAGTATCTTTAAGTACTTAATCATATTTGTGATATTTCTTCTTACCACATAGAACCCTAATGGCTAAACAGATTTGATTGGGATTAGGTGCAATTGGATACGTCTTAATGTAGAAAAGCTTTTTGAATGCGTACTAGGCCAATTGACGTCTTAATAAGAATAATTGGTGAAGTGGGGAACTGAAAATATCAAAAAAAACATTTATTCAGGGGCTGGTTTTTCCTACATAATTATTGCTTACAGTCCTCAAAAAAAGCTGATATTTATAAATAAAAAAATGTCTATAAATGATGATTCACTCAACTGAAAACACTCATTATCTTAGAACATGAGAACTTTTTTTGAAAATTTAAGAAACAAGCAGCTCTACAGTTTTACATTTATGTTATTTTGAGGGGTAAAACTACTGCCACTACTTTTGATTTTTAAATGGTAACCTATATTTAAATTTGCATAAATAAATTGAGTATTAGTATTAATAAATGTTGGTGTTAGCATTAACTATAACAATTATTAAAATCAATTTAAAACTGATAATTTCTGAACTTTTGTGTTATGAGCTAAAAATATCAGCATATCTACAGTAGGTAAAAATTATTATCTAGGTATTATTTTGTTTTCTCTGGCAAGGTACAAATTTATATATTTTGTTGTCACGGAAGCACTTGTTTTTATTTTTTTTTTCTATTATTTATTAATTTTATAATAATATGTAGAAGTCGAGTTCATTTTATTATTTTAATATAATATATCTACAGCAATTATTATTATTTTTTTTTTTTTGACAGAATACCGTAAATGTACAGTGTTGCCCTACAGGCAACAAACTGAAAGAAGCTATTTTCAGGGACTTTAAATATTAAAAAAACTGTTGAGTATTTTTACTTGATAAAAAAAAAAAAAATCATGCATTGCAGGGTTAATATAAATTTTTTTATTATAGTATACTTATTACTATATATTATATTATAGCAATACTATATTAAGATTTATTGTTTAAAATACTCAAATTCAAATAAATACTTACTGTAATACTGTAGATATAAGGTAGATATATTTATCAATAAATAGCAATACTTAACAGAAAATATAGATACCTACCAAGTAATTATTAATTATTCAGTTTATAATAAATTTATTATTTACTATTTACTATTTAGTATTGCTGCTGGGTCAATATTAACTATTTCTATTTCAATTTGTTGTGTTTGTGCTGTTTAAAACTTGAATAATGAATTCTTATTTACAGTAATAAGAAATAAACTAAAATAGTTAAAAAGTTACACATGCTATAACTTATGGTATCTAATCATTTTATCTACTCATTATGGTACCTCGGTAAAGGGAGTGCCTTATTTGCCTAACTGCTAAACTCAGTGGCGTACTCAAGGAGGGTGATGTGTCAATATATTTTTTTCTGTTTTGTAGTAACTTGTTATACAAAATGAAAGATATTAAAATACCAATACAGTGAAATCTCTAAATGCTGGACTTTCTCGGTCACTGAAATTTTGTTCAGATATTTAAAGGAAGAAAGTGTCCATTATTTAGTGTCCCGTATTTATATTTAGAAGCTTTTATATAGGTAAGTAGTGAAAATATCCTCGCTCCCAAAAGTAACATAGTTTTAATATAATTTTTTGATTAGTAAATATTATTAATGAATTTTTATTGATATTTTTAACAAATATTCATATCAACCCCCCCCCAAAAAAAAGGTCCTAGTTATGCCACTGTTCACTGACCGAACCGGAGCCACGAACTACTAAAGCGCTACGGGTGTTTTTATATCAAGCGCGATTCCGTTGAAAATTGCCCTCTCATTCTAACCCAGTTCAGTATTCTGTTGACTTGCGGCGGCGGTTCAGCAAATCGGCTGATCTGTTCTCAAATCCGTAAAACGACCAGAAATTATGAAGTTTTTCGTACGTGATGAATTCTACCGTATTTCAATAACTCGCAATGAACAGACAAATGTGGAAATGACACGAATATGAATTGTTAATGTACATGCGATAATATAATGTGAATTTTGTGAATTTCAAATAAAAATAGATCTATTCAACGCAGTGATTAACATGATCGTTTAATAATAATAATAATAATGTAAACACAGATCTTACACCACAAGGTATTTTTATAAGGTACTATTTATTTATTTATTTTTTCCATAATAAACGAGCATTTTGTGCAAGAACGGTCATAGATAGAGGGCGCTCTTCACGTGTGACTTGCGACTTTTACGTGGTATATTGTACATTGTACTCGTTGAACTCTGTATGGATAACATATTATACGGTATGTGTCGTCATATAGAGTTCAACGATTGTACAACATTGATGTGATTATACTGCACGCCGACGCGGTCGGTATATCTGACCGGTTACTATCTCAGTCGCTCTACAGGCATGGCCAGTTTATTAGTAGGTATAAGGTCTATAAATGTAAGCGTAAATGTGATTAGCGGTGAGTGTAACAGGCTAAAATTTTTTTTTTCCATGAAAAATATCTATCGATTTTTGTGTGCGTCATTTCGGCTGTCTAAATACATAACACAGTCACAGTCATCGTGGTCACAATTCACAAAATTGTACAGTAGAGCCATTTTAGTTGTGTGTCTAACGCGGGTCGCTTATGGGCTATTGAAATTTCAATGATTGATTCCCGAGGGGATTTAAATGTTTCACCACCAATTGACTGGTTTTAATCGTTTTGGCCGATTTGATCAGTTTAAATGTTTTTTCACCCATTTAGCCGAAAATATCGAATTAAGTCAATTGATCACTGGTTTAACCGTTTTGAGTGAATTAATAAAAAAAAAGCCAATCTGACCGAACAGCACCAGTTTGAATTTCGAAGACAGGATTAATTTTTTTGTATAGCTTCACAAAAACTGTTTACACTTATGAACACCTACCTACAACTTACAAGTAAAAATATAAAGAAGATGAAGCTCGAGTGTTTGACTTACGTGGCACCTAACGCAATATAAATGCGATGCATTTCAAAGCTGCACATTTCTATTTGTTGTGATGTAATCTAAGATTTGTCTAGAAAATCACGTGCCGTTCTCTCGTCTAGCTTTAGAAACCGTGAGAAGGTAGGTAATAAAAAGTAAGTCTCTATCTAATCAATAAATTATTGATTATGGTATCAATAATTTTTTCATATTATGTTTGTTTTATATATTTATAAAAAAAAAAAAAAACCCGCTATCAATGTAGTTAATAGGAATTTAAATAATTGTTATTTTTTTTTGCGTAATATTTTTACCTATTCAAAATAATGACACTTGATTTTTGATTTGTTTTTTTTTTCGGCGATTCGTCACTATTATCGACCACCTGAGTCCTTGCAGTGTCCTCCGTTCTTTCTCGTCGGCCACTCGCATAAAAATGTATTATAAGTAACAGTTATACTTACCGTAATATCTGTTTACGCTGTCCACCGAAGTCAGTTTTGGCTACTAAAATCACGGAGACATTATTACGTTAATGATTAAAAGTCAAAAATGGCAAACTTCAGCCAACAACACGGTAGAATAGTAGGTTTATAAAGCGGTATGCGCGCAGTTTATATCGGATCTTTTGTTCGTAACCTTATACACGTGAAAAATTTTGGAATCAAATGTACACCTACCTACCCATACTAATTCTCGAGTCTTAATGAATCGTTTGTTAAATAAAATTGCTCTAGGTAATGCTGTTGTCGGTGCGATAATAATAATAATAATAATGCTATTGGTGATACTATTGGCGTTGTAGCCAATACTTTCAGTCAAATGATTGTTTTAGGGTACTTTTTCCCTCTCTATATGTTTATTTTACTTGGATATTTTACTGACTTGCATGATGAACACGTGAATCAATAAGAATCTATTAAAATCGATTAAAAGACCACACAATCCACACCATGAGTAGGTCACATATTCTACAAAAAGGTAGGTCATATGTGTTGGTAGGTATATAAACAGTTTATTATAAACAGCTCATCTCTTTTGCTTATTGTTCTAGCTAGTAACGGATTGTAAATTGTATTGAATAAAAATAAAAAAATAAAATAAATTGTATTTATTAAGTTATAGAGGGGAGGTGGGGGACTTCTAAACCTCTCTACCGTTAATGCTTTTTAAACATTTTTTAAATGTTTTTTTTTTCACGAATTCTTCTGTTTTTATGGTTTTTTTAATGCGTACGAATCCCTAGTTATAAGTATAAATAGGTAGGTCACGTATATATATAGAGGTACCTACGACACGAATGTCGCGTATTAAGGTTTGATATTTATTTATCGAATTCGGAGTCTGTTTGTTTTACAGCGATGCGTTTAACAATAATATAGTATTTACATACATGATGCATACGGCTATTTACAAAGTTCACGAAATCGGCCAGAAAAAAAAAAAAATTAAAAACGTGTGCCTAATAGATACCTATACTAAATCACCGCGGCAGTGGCATTTCTACCGAGCGTGGAAGTGCACCCGATTACTGACGTAAACCGACCACCGGACCCACGGAAGTGACGCGATGTCCGATAATTTTTCGCGGACTTTGTTTGGTGCAATGACGTTCGGTGAATGGCCGACAAGAAAATAGCCTAATCGAGGAATATCGTGCGTGACAGTTTGATCACCATAGATTTTTTAGCTATACATATATGCATAGGTGCTTACATGGTACCTGTAGCATGGAATAGATGACATCCATTCTGTGTCTGTAGTAAGAGCTTATAGAAAAAACTATAAACCATGATCGAAAACAACGGTCGATCTATGGACGTAACCGTGGCCCTGGATGTATAACCTACCTACGTACCTGTCTATTATTCGAAAAACTTCCGCAATATGAAAATGGCGGCCGCGGTAACGCATCCACGGTAACACGAAACGCCTCCTCCTTGATTTTCGTCGGACGGACGGTGGTCGCGACTTGCGAAGTTGCCATCGAGTTTTCGATGGTAGGTATGAATTTTTAGTTTTATTGTCATTTATTATAAAAAGGTTTTGCTATTAAAATATTGATTAGGTTTAGATTATATTTTGAACGATTAAGTGTATTATTGGCACGCCGCGCAATATACCGCCATCGCCACACAAATAATACTCCACTAGTCTCCTCCAACCAAAACTTAAAAGTGGAATATCAAAAATTTCAACACTAAAATTTAATTTAAATAATACTCCATATATTTATGGACTTTGAAGTATAGGTTGCCATTTTAAAATCAAAAATAGGTAGTGGTTTTACACCCAAAAATAAGGGTGACAAAAAATAATATAAATATAAAATTGTAGAGCAGCTTGTTTCTTAAATGTTCTAGAAAACAAATTCCAGAAAAAATTAATACTTTCCAAGATAATGAGTGTACCCACTTAAATGGATCACCTGATAAGCTCCTACATAGTTATATGGTGACATAGCTATCCTATTCCAATTTCCAACTATTCTTTCGGGCGGTAATTTGAGCGTTTGGTATAATTTCCATTCACTTCAATCGTTTCAGTGTATCTTTAAATATCAAGGCTGTGGCTAAAAGCGTTTGTATCGCCGACGACTCACGACAACGCGGCCAAAGTGTTGTTTTCGAATTCAATCGAAAATCTTATGCCTTTTTTATATGCATAATGGGATTTTGACCGGGTAATAAAAATTTTAGATTCTGAACAGAGTGAAGAATGTATTGGTTTTATAATGATGTTTTTTTTTTTTCTATAGACAATTTTTTTATCAACAATTTTGCTCCGATTTTCAAATATAGCATTTTTTCTGAAAGGAAATTAGACTGGGGTGATACTTTCAAGAGGTTATTTTTTGATTTTCTCAGCTGTTTTCATAATAAATGGGGAAAACCTGGAAAAAAACAGGAAAATAGGTACAAGATTAAACAAATATTATTAAAGAAAATATATGATGCATAATAATTGTGTATGTAATTATTTTACCATAATCTGACATACATATTGTCGACAAAGCAACACTATTAACCGAGCTTCGCTCAGAATTGTTATTCGTTAGCAATGGTTAACAGATATACTTACATTAAATTTTCCCTTTACCTTCCCTGCAACTTTTCACCTACACCAGTGACCCACTCACCCGTGCGAAATACATCCGTCTTTTTTTTCATTTGTATTATTATTATTATTGTTATATTTACGAATTTACTGATAAAATCAATGCCGTGATAATGCGTGTTTTTAGGGGCAAAGTGAATTTAATTAATGGATAAATCCACTTTTGGCTAGTGGATTATAGACGTCGCAATCGATAGATTTATTTTATGTGTACCTATGTATTTATATTGTAGACTACTTGTAGTTTGAAAAAAGAAAAAAAATGCTCGTATACATAGGTATTTATATTGATGTTGTTATTATTGTATTGAACTTTGATTTTCTACTCTTCTATGCACCTATGCCTACCTTTATAGTTATATTTAACGTATGGACATATTTTAATAAGCAATTATAATAATAATTATATACCAATATAAAACGTATTGTGATTTCAAATAAACGCTATATATACTATTATACATATCTTGGTATTATTATTATAATGTGTGTAATAATTGTTTAAGTCGGACACGTGTACACGTAATTTGTATAATTTAATGATAAAATCGCGTAAATATGGCGTGTTCCATTGTTTTGCATATGATTGGCGCTGTTTGTTTGATTATACAAAAAAAAAAAAAAAAACAACAAGTTTCCTAGATCTTTTGATAAGTATATTAAAACATTAGACGAACTTTATCCCTAGAAATTCTCATGGTGTTGATTGGTAATTTTGGAAATGGTAATCCTCTCTTACGAATAAGAGATGCCGTTTTGATTTGTTTCGAGAACTATTAAAGTTCAAACAGGAACTGTGTGTAAAGCCGAATTAAGAAAAAGCTCTCCTATAAAAGCAATGATTTTCTAGGCATCACAGTACGGGGGCGTAGCTAGAATTTTGTATTAAGTGGACTGAATACGTATGCTTGAAACATGGGCGTTGGCGGGGATACTAAAAATGCCAGTAAAGTATTTTTATCAATATATTATAACACTTTAAAGTTTGTTTAAAGTTTAAACAAACATATTAACTAAAAATAATTGTTTTGGTTTTATTTCAAATTTTCTTTAGACATTTTCTATATTATTCGAAGTTTAAGTATTTCACGTTAAAATTTTTTTTTTAGGAGTTCATATTTTAGGTTTATATTTTCCAAATTATAAATTTTTTTTCAGATTTTATTTTTAATACTTTTGTTTTTTTCTTGATTAACTTAGCCTCTTTTGAAAACCGAATTTACCCTCTTTGTTTTTATATTTTGAATATTTTTTTAAATTTATTTAATTTGTTTTAAACCGGTTTTATTAAAATTTATTTTTCCCTAACGGTATAAGTAAATTATTTTCAAGTTTTAGTGAAACACCTGTAGTTATTAAAACGAAATATATACATAATATATGTCGTGTGATTATTTATTAAAAATTTCAGTTTATAAAAATACCAAAGTCAGTGACGTGTTCATTCATATTTTTACATTATCATTTTTTCACAATGTATTATTTTAACACAACCAACTCCGAGTTCGTTCAGAATAAGAAAAAAGAAATAAACAAAAGATAAGCAGAAATAATAGAAGTCAGCTGAAGTAGAACAGGAAATAAAGCGTTATAAAAAAAACTTTAAGAATTATTCTCCTATAAAGTTTATATCTATCATGTATATGGTGGTGAAGATATTGACGGTGAATTTTGTACAAAGACGTTTCGTTTAGTTTAGAGTTTAAATTTCAATGCATGCGAAAACGTAACTGTTATCGATTCAAATGTCGAGTCGTCAGTTACTGATAAGTGGAAACTTTACGATATCATTCTAAAGTATGAGATTTATGTCGGTCCATTCGGTGATGATGTGGAGGGTTATAATAGTGACTATGACGTCAATTGTGTCGAAATTAGTGAAAATATGTTTACTGAATTAATAGACGTGTGTATAGATACCGAAAACGTATACGGTCTCATGTAAAGTACGACTTTGATATAGGTTTATTGAATGATATCGATCATAAGTCTCGTTGTGGAAAATTGGTACGAGTGTTAAGACCGTTTATTGGTTTATCAATAAAGTGAAATTACGCCAGTAAGTCTTTTGGAACAAATTTATGAAAAAATTTGGCCTGGAAACGTTACACTGGATTTATACGAAAAAGGCATATAATTGTTAATCTTAATATTGATGAATCTATGAATAAAATAGAAAATATATTAAGTATTTTAGAATTGTATTCAACTCGAGAAAAAAGCATATTTTTTTAATAGTGGTGTGCATTTTTTATTACATAGTATTTTATATGTCGATAAGATAGTCGTGCAGAAGTTTATAAAGAAACAATATCATCCTTGTTTTAATATGAATTTATCAAAAGACACATTCGATTTTTTGATTATTATACTTATGCATATCGTGTATCGTTCGCAATAGTCAAAATCCAGAGTTTACCAGATTTAAATTAAGACTAAAAACTTTTGATTCATACATCTCATATATTTAGAAAAATGTTCATTGTGCGGAGCCTGTTTAAAATTCCTGGGCATCAAAGATAGTGTTCAATGTCTTAATTGTGGTTTGATTCTGAGCAATCGGAGAATTACAGACAACCCCTGGAAAGTACACGAGTATTCCATTTACTAAAAGGCACATTTTTTTTTTTTTTTATATAAAGGCAATCAATTCATAGATTCTGCTATTTATGAAAAATAAAAAGTTGTTTGCGACTGCGGTTATAATCATAGCATGATGTTAGTCGGCTAATTATAAATTTACCACGCGCCTATGTTATTTATGTAAATATTTTGTACTACTTAAATAAATATTCACGCAGTTTTTATTTCTTCTGGTCTGGTGGTGGCTCAATATGCTAAAGGAAGTAAGATTATAAAAACTAAATATTATTCGTTTTTCATTATATCATTTGTATGAGGGGGAGTGGGTCAATAAACAGTATAAATAGTAAGTATAAAATATAATAATTATACAATTATATTTATGGAATATACTTTAACAGTTTAACATAATTACTGTCACCAGCCACTGATATTTTTTACTATATAGCAGATATATATATATTCATTATTATGAGTAAAGATTACGACGGTTTTTAATATTATGTGAATCAAATAATATACTATATTAGTACAACTAATAATAATGTATTATTGAATATGCTTGCATCGCTACTCCCAACCGAACGCCAGTATAGATGCATCGCGCCCAATTTATAAACGTCATTTACGGTTGTGTGCTGGTAGGTACATCACGTTAAATTAGGAAAAGCCGTTATTTTGATACATAGTAGTATACGGGGTAAGTATTAGCGTTCACTTATTGCGGTGGGATAGAGTGTAGTGTATATACTATAAGGAAATAATTTTCAACGTTAAAATACCAGTCGATCAGCTACCGGTCAAAAAGTACATAGATCCAGCTTACCACCCCCAATCACAACGTAAAACAATCGTCTCCAGTTTTGAAAATATCGCTGTTTAACAGCGCCAGTAACAAAAAATACATCAGTTTCTAGCGGTCAGTAATATTACTGACAAGTCAACTAAAATCATGTAATTATTCACATTTTACTTTAAGTGAACGTCACACCCGCATCTACTGTCTCAACTTAATAAACTGGGCAATATGCAAAAACAATGCCTACGCAGACCAGTTAAAACTAGCTAATTTTGATTTTAGAGATACTTGGGTGTCTAGCCTCTATTGATTCATAGGTAATATGTTGATCGAACGTCGTAGGTGCCTTCTTCACAAAATTAAAGGTCATCTCGGTAAAAAATGTTTAAAAATTAAGAAAATTCAACAATTTTTATTTGTCATGTATATATTATAAGTACTAATTTTATTTTTTAGTGCACACTTCTCAAATCCATACCACACACTTCTAATTTTGGATTAAACACTTTGTGTTCACTAAAAAAAAAAAGGGTTTGCAGTTAAGCACTCTTCTAAAGTTTATGAACGCCCACCAGAATATTTATGATATGTAAGTAATTAGATTAAATCATATGTTAAAATTATTTAAAAGTATATGTAGTTTCACCAAAATTATTCTCCATAATACATTTATATTATATATACCACTATACCGATTGAATATCGTACAGCTCTAGATTATTAACCAATTTAGTTTCTCTGAATAATTATTAATAGGTATAGATTATTTATAGATACAATCATAAAGTCATGAGTCACCCATCCACTGTAAAAATGCAGAGGCCACAACCTCTTCAAAATCCCTTTACCATGCCACTTTGTATACCCATTTTACGTAAGGATGATTGAATTGAAAATAAAACATGCCTCCAAATAACCTCGTGACAAATGGTACTGCAACCGCATTACTGTAGGCAGTTCCATTAAAGCTGGTTCCGAACGCTTCGGCTTTTTTCGAAATGTTCTTTTTAGGAACGATACATGTTCCTTATATATGCGCTCATTCATTTTCATTGTTTACCATCTGGTGAAATACTAAAGGTTTCCCTTCAAGTCTATACACAATTTCAAAATTGAGCTATCGTAAACCGTGATAGATCCAAATATCAAAGTGAGATTGGTTGGGCGATAGCTTGTGAATTCAAAATTAATAATGAAAAGATATTGTCCACCTCTAAAAAATAATGCGAGTAGGTGAATGAAATATTATGTAAAATAACATTTACGTCAAGTATTTTCATAATAATATGATATATATTTTGTAATAATGTAAGTATGTAATCAAAATTATATTCTGTAACAGAAAGTTGGTTGTTTTTAATAATATATAACATGAACTAATATTATCATAGTAGACCGGATAATATATGAAAGTGACTGTAGTTTCCATGTGAATTTAATTTGTATCATTTTAGTTTTAGATTCTGATTTAAGCGAGGAATGTATTGGTTTTACAATGATGTTTATATATTTTTTTCTGTGGACAACTTGTCTACTGGCAATTTTGCTCTGATTAGCAATGACAGCACTTTTTCTGAAAGGATATCTGATTAGGGAGGTACTTTAAGGAGAACATTTTTTCCCAGTAGTTTTTCTATTAAATAGGAAAAACTGAAAAAAAAACTGAGGAAAATCCAGGAAAAACGAGAAAATAGATAAAATATTACTAAAAAAAAATATATAAAGTATATGTAATTATTTTACCACACATGACATATACACTATTGAAAAAGCAATACTATCAACCGTATTCCGTTCGTTTTTCGTCAGCAATGGTGAAACGTTGCTTACAGATATACATTCAATTTTTTATAACAGTGGTTGCGCCCATCCCCATTATCTTAGGACAGCTGTTTTTGTTTTACAAATGTAGTGTACAATTTTTTTTGATAAAAACATACAATTTTGTTTTTGCTGTATTTACTTATAAACGAGTACACACTACTCGGTTTAC